ATTAGATGAGATAGCCAAGCAAGTAAAGATTAGAGTAACACACATAGGTACACATACAAGAAACAAGATGAGACTTCCAAAATAATGATATAGTAGATAAACTTTCCAAGGGATTGCAGGTAATTAAGTTAAAACCATCATGGGAAGTAAGAGAGAACAGGGGTGGAAGATTAAATTAAAACAACATTGGGAAATACAAAGGCCATATATACAGGATATACCTATAAATAGAGAAGAAATTCTATATTTACACAAGAGCATAGGACACATAGGACAATGGGCCATGGAGCAATGGTTTAGACAGAGAAATCTTAAGGCAAATAGAACAGATATTAAACGGGCACTACAGCAATGCAAAGACTGTCCAGCATCACAAACGAGATTTAGACACAATTATAGAGGAATTGTAGGACACAAACTACATTTAAATGAAATAGTACAAATTGACTATATTGGAACATTGTCGAATTTTAAAAATAAATATGCATGTACAATGGTGGATATATGTACAGGATTAGGACTACCAAGAGCATCACCCCATCCAGATCAACAAGGTGCAATTATGACAGTGTTAACATGGTGTATCATGCAAGGAACACCAGAAGTAATACAATCAGATCAAGGAACACACTTTACAGGCAAGGACACCCAAAGAATAGCTAAACAACTTGACATACAATGGGATTTCCAAAAGGCATATACTCCAACAGCTGCAGGAGCCATTGAAAGAGTTAATGGCCTGTTAAAAGTGAAATTATTAGACAAAATCCTCCTTAAAAAATAATTTTAAAACTAGCATGTATAGAATTAAATAATAGACCCAGATTAAATAGACAGAGTCCATTAGAAGAAGCAAGACAAATGAACAATATGCTAGATTACCCTACATTAGAAGATAAAACACTGATTAGACAATTTTAATCAATATAAAGGGATATAATAGTGTAATACATTATGGCATTATACATATCAGTTATAATATAATATTATGGAACAATACAGGGAGTGAAGGAAATTTTCTAGTGATTCCAAATAATCGAACACACATATCAATTATGTTTCCTGATTGGTCATATGTAATAGCATTAGAAATAAGTATTCCAAAGAAGCCAACAGAGAATAGACATTATTATGCCAATCAAACAACTTTAAAAATAGCTGAGTTTGATGTTTTATTCATTATTAATGTCACCATATGTAAATGTTAATATGATATAATCACATGGAATATACATAATTCTAGATTATATTCAGAATATGATAAATATTGTATTTGTGCCCACCAAACAGGAGGACAAGATGAATTTCCAATTCCACTTAATATTATTGTAAAGCCTGAAAACCATACAATCCCTGTACATAATGAACAAATATTTAAAGCCCCTAAAAAACTCCAAACATTATATAAAAAGACATTCCCTGGATGAACATTTAAGGTCCCTAAAATATTCCAAATATTGTTTGGAGAAACATCCAAAGTTCCCAAAAAGCTCTGGACAGGGAGCAATGAGACAGAATATATATTGCTGAAGTAGAAGTGCTACAAGCATTACATGTAAAACAATTAGACACAGTAAAAAGGAAATGGTTTTGTAAATAACCATATAATAGTGGTGCATTGGCTAGGATAGGGCTCTCCTAGCAAAGCTAGGACCCCTTTTGGACTCTGGACAGGACGGTTACTACTGATTTTCTCTGCTCCATGCCCCAAACCCGAGCCTCAGCGTAAAGCATGAGCTTGCTCCAGTGCGTGGACCCCCTGGGGCCATGGTCTCGCAGCTTGGCTGCTTGGTCCTCCCTGGCTCCCCGGGATGCTTCCGCTCTCCCCAGGCTTGGGTCCTGGTGCCCACGGTATGGCACCCGGGGCCGGGGCTGAGAGTCACCGCTATGCAGTCCAGCTCCCGCCGCAGTGGCTTCAGCGGCGGCAAAGGCCAGTCCCGCCCCGGGCTTGGATCTCTGTGCTTAGCGGCAGTGTTGGTAAGAGGGTAAGTGATCTGCTCGGGACCTCTAGGGGGAGGCGAGCCAAAAGGGACCGTGTTGTAGGAAGTTATTAATTTACTATTGGTTTATCTTCTGGCGATGCTGCTGTTAATCCTAATCATTTTAATAACCAAATCACCACACAGAGACTGGGTTTTTAGTTAACCTAGAACACAATGCTGGGCAATATTTACTCATCCTAAACCTCCAAGCTCTCAGTTTCCTAACATTTAGATTTCCCACATTATACTTCCTTTTTGTGAAATCTTAGGTCTGGTTCATGCTCCACGTCCTCCAAGATCTCTCTTCTAGCTCTGCTCTCCTAGCTCTTCTCTTACCCCTTCTCCTCCCACTCATCACCTGCCTTCTGGCTCCTCCCCTCTTTTCTGTCCTCTGGCTCCTCCCAGCTCAACATTGTGTCTAGTTGCTTTATTTGTCCTCAACAAGAGTTGAGACAGGATGCTTAGAATGAGTATCACAATGCAATATCCAATTGAAACCAGAGAGTTGGGGGTGGGGTGGGGGAGATATCAGTATTTGAATGAACAAGGGTAAGATGTATACATAAGAAAAAACATTATACCAACAGGACCATGCGTGTTTGCTATTCTGCCACCAACCCTGGGAGATTCACGCCTCGCTAAAATAAACTTTAAACGCTTGGTGTGCTGCTCTGGGTAGGACAGTTTTAAAACACCGGCAGGTGCCATGTTGGTCCTGGGAGGAAGTGGGTGTAACTATAGCTTAACCATTCACTTAACATGGCACAATGCCATCTTAGGTTCGGGCAAAGAGGCCCGTACCCCCCATCCCACCAAGCTCTGACTATTTCCAAGCTCTCTCTTCCTAATTTCTATACACTCTACTCTTATATTTTAAAATGCTTTAAATTCCTTATTTAACTCTTTATATAATTTATATAATTTTCTCATTGGGTTTGCATTTATAAATCTTAATCATAATTAACTGTTTATCTTATCTTTTTAGACCAGGCCACAAGAACAAGCCTCATTTCAAGTTGGTATGGATTTTTATAAAAATTCAAAGTTATATTTTACTGTCTTATAATTCAACCTTGCTTCAAAATAAATTTTATATAATAACAAAATTTTAAAGTTATAAATATTCAAATTAAGCTGGTTTAAAATATAAGACTGTTACTGTCTCCTATGTGTTGCTAAAATATAATTTTAAAATTGCTTTATACTGTTCTGCTCAGGGGTTCATTATCACATACAAGTTGTTTATCAATATTCTAAATTAGGATCTATTCATTTTAGAGGTATTTATGTTAAAACTGGGTCAATTTAATGCATCTCTACTATCAAAGGGTTAAAATATACTTGGTTAATTTTAAAACTGGTTTATACTGTTCTGCTAAATTGTTGGTTTTAAACTTATAGCTCAAGGGTTTGTTATTATGTACAAGTTGTTTACCAATATTCTAAATTAAGATCTATTAATTTAAATATATATTTGTATTAAAACTGGGTCAACTTACTATATCTCTACTATCAAAATATAATATAATTGGTCTTGTTCTCAAAAAATGATGTTATTAATCTGTAGTATAGCCTTAGACTATTATAAGCTATAAACTTTTATATATTAAATCATACAAAAACTCTTGTGCTCTTACTTTAATAAATTATATTCATGACTTTTAAGGTTCTAACTTAGCAAGGACAAAACCTAAAGTCCTGGTTGATATTTACTGGTTAACAAATGCAAGTTAATAGTCATTTCATAAGATACATATTTATAGTCCTATAGATGCAAACATGGTCTCATTGCAATTTTTAATAAACAGCTGTGGATGGTCGTTGAGTCACCATATAGGAGTTGGTAAAAAATAGTAAGCTGTCCTGAAGGGCTCTAGACCTAGCTGCATTCCGAAGCTGCTGGTGTTGCCGCAAAAAGGCAAGAGGTTTGCATGGGCAAAAGACCGTTCCTCCGGTGACGTTTTCAAATGCAGCCAAGTGGATGCTGGTCCCGCTACTGACATGCCAAAGCTGGCTGCTGGCAAACTGGCCTCTGGAAGTCAAAATACTCCTAAGCAGGCTTGTCCTCTGTGCCCAGTCATGGAGGTTCAACCAGCACAAGAGCTACAGACACTTCCAGCCTTCTAGCTCGTTGGCCTGGCGGAGGACAAATGCCTCCTTGACATAGCAACCTCCAAAGCTCTCGCACAGGTCTGTTTTTGACCTCAGAACGAGGTCCCATGGACATATTGACAACTTCGGTGTTGGGAGACTTCAGGTGCCTTTCCAGTTCTCTTTACATGCAGAAGACCAGGCCTTAAGCCTTAAAGCTGCTATTTTCAGGCCTAGACACAGTCCAGACTCAAGAAACAGGCCTAAATGAAACCTTTTACCATCCCTTTAGCTAAAGGACAATAAATGTTCATAAGTTTCAACTATGTCTCATGGTAAATAACTAAATGCAAAGGTCCCTCTCAAAAAACATATTTGAGAGATGTCTTAAGGTTAATAAATACAAGTTATACATATTTGAGAGTCTTAAAAAATATCTTAAGGTTGGTAGATACAAGTTATACATGTTTAAGAGTCTAAAAATGTGTCTTAAGGTTGGTAATACAACTTATAAATGTTTTAGGGTCTAAAAAATGTTTTAAGGTTGGTAAATGCAAGTTATAAAGGTTACAAGGTCTAAAGTGATTTAAGGTATCTTAAATAGGTAAAAAGGCTTAATATTTCCTTCTGTTGTTATGCTACTGTGCCGGGGACCGAGAGGGACATGACGGAGGCTGACCACCCCAGTAAAATTCCTATGACTCGAACTCCCCTGTTCCTGGCCTTGAGTAATTGTCTAACAAAGGGCCTTCAAGACAAATGGCCTTCAAGATAAATTGTCTCCTTGGAGACAAGCAAGCTGGAACTTCCCGAGAGAAACTGCAAGATGTTCCTTTTCCAGGCCTGCTTGCTTGCTTCCTGATAAAACTGCCTTAAAAGAAGTAGCTTTCTTTTCAATAAACAGACCTTGACAAGACTTTGGTCAGCTTGGTCTCGTCTCTCTTTCTCGGCCGTTTCTTTTTTTTTCAGGTAGAGACCCCCTCGAATTCCCCCTACGAATAATCCAGTCCCGAGGGCAGGACAGGGTGGCACCCAGACGTGGGGCTCGAGGAACAGACCCTCTACCAGATGGAGAATTAGAGAAGACCCCGGGTCGACTAGTTTTTGTGGCGCGCGCAAAACCGAAAGTGAGGATCGCCATCCGCAGCTCATAGAACGTGCGCTCCCGAAACTCACGGAAAAAGACATGTAAGGTAAGAGACGCATCTCCATCTATTACGAAATGGGCCAAAAATTGTCTAAGAGGCGGTCTTTATTCGAGACCTGAAGGCCTCTCTCAGAGAAAGAAGGATCGGAGTTAAGAAAAAGGATCTCATTCAGTTTTTTATTTTTGTCTCAGAAGCCTTTTCATGGTTTGTCATAGAAGGCCCAGAGAAAAATCCTAGTAAATGGGATAAGGTGGGCGCTTGTCTAAATAAACTTTTAGAAGAAAGGGGACCCAATGTTATCCCCATGCAGATTTTTAGTTATTGGAACCTTATTAAAGATATTCTTAGATCCTCATCTTCAGAGTCCAGTAAAATTGTTTCCCTGGCTGAGGACTTTATTAAACCCCTTTCAGGAGCCCCATCGGCTTCGTCCCTAAACTCAGCCAATTCGACCAAAGAAATAAGAGCCCGCTCACCGTGCCCCTCTGTTGTTATTCCAATGCCTGTATCCAGTGATCAAGATATTCGTCCCAAAATTCACAGACCTTTATGTTCTCCCCTACCCAATTGCAGAGACGAGGCATCTCCCAAAAATCCTTTTACTTTTCCCGTGTTTTCTAAAAATAATCCCGATCACCTAGACCCCCCCAGAGGAGAGCAATCTCGAGGGAGAGGCTGCCAAATACCGTAATCCCAGCTGGCCGCCCATCCTTCTTGCTTACCCACCGTATGTGCACCTGTGCTTTCTCCTCTCTCATCCCAAACCTCCTTGCTTTTAAAAACAAAAGAGGACCTTACTAAACAGGTGTCTGAGCTCCGTGAAGTCCTCTCCTTGCAACGAGAGTACACTGATCTTTCAGCAGAACTTGCCTCTCTGCAAGAGACTTTTAAGAGGACTCTTTTTACCGGACCCATTAAAAAACAATCCCCTAAGGTTGCTAAAGGACATAAAAAAAAAAAAAAAAAAAAAAAAACCCAAGCCTAAGTCCGTTTTGACCTTCCCCGTTGTTACTCACCAAGGGGCCCGTGAAGCCCAGTCCTCAGATGATGACTGCCCTGATGGCCAAGAGGCGGAGGATTCGGAAGACAAAGAAGCTGAGGGATTAGAGGACGGAGAGGTGGTTCTTAATAAATCTGCTGAAGCTAAAGGCCTCATGGCCAAGTCATTAGGCACAGAATATAAAAGACTTAAATTCAAACACCTTAAAGAATTACATAATGCAGTTAAAAACTACGGACCTAATGCCCCTTTTACTATTTCTTTGCTTGAGGGCCTCTCTGGGGCAGATATCTTACCCCCTCCGAATGGCTCCGAGTGACCCAAGCAGCCCTTTCACGAGGGCAATTTCTCTCTTGGAAAGCTGACTTTATGGACAGATGCCAAACCTTTGCTGGACAAAATCAAAACAATTCCAGGGGGAAAACTTCCTGGACTTTTGATAAGCTCACTGGGCAAGGCAAATATGTAGCTGAGAGCTGCCAAGCTAAATTGCCTACCGGGCTCTTGGCCCAAGTTAAGGAGGCTGCCCTTGGGGCTTGGAGGGCAGTCCCTGCAAAAGGGTCCCTCACAACCCCTCTGACAAAAATTATACAGGTCCCTCAGGAACCTTATTATGATTTTGTAGCCAGGCTTATGGAGGCAGCAGAAAGAATTCTAGGATCCGATGAGATAAATGGAAAGTTTTTAAAACAATTGGCGTATGAAAATGCTAATTCAGCCTGTAAGGCTGTCCTCAGGGACATACAAAAAACAAAGATATACATGATTTTATTAGACTTTCCTCTGATGTTGATTCCCTTTCTTACAAAATTTCCCAAAGTGATAATATGGCTATTGGGGCAGCCTTGCAGCCGGTAAATCCGCCTAAAGGATGCTTTAAGTTCGGGCAGCCTGGACATTTTGCTAAACAATACCCAAAGGCAATGGGGACACCCAATGGAACTCCCAATAATTCGGCCCAAGTATTTGGCTCTCCTTTGCCTACTAGTTTGTCCCAGATGTCGGAGAGGTAAACATTGGGCTAACTAATGCTATTCCAAGACAGATGTCGCTGGGAATCCGCTACCCTCATTTCAGGGAAACAGGTGGAGGGGCCAGCCTTGGGCCCCTAGATCCATTCCATTCCACCCAGCTTCGGGAACCAGTTTAGAGCAGGCTCAGGCCCCTTCCTTGGGCCACATCAGCCCTCCCAAATCCACCGAGCCACCACAGGGAGTGCAGGATTGGACCTGTGTACCTCCACCGATACAATATTAAAACCAAAGGACGGAGTTCAAATCCTCCCTACTGGGATCTCTGGGCCCCCTCCCTCGGGTATGTTATTCTTGATCCTGGGAAGGGCATCCTCTATCCTCAAAGGGCTTACTGTTCACCCCCATTGGTTGATAATGATTACACTGGGGAAATAAAAGTCTTAGCCAGCTCCAGCCTAGAACCCATATCCATCACAAAGGGACAAAGAGTGGCTCAGGCCCTCCCTCTCCCCTTGCAAACTGATAGACCAGCCCTTCATGGACCCCAGGGGGCTACTAAACCAGGTTCATCTGATATCTACTGGGTGCAGGCTATCACCCGTGACTGGCCCACTTTACGTCTTCAATTGGATAAAAAATGGTTTACGGGTATTATTGATACAGGAGCTGATGCCACAGTAATTTCATGGGACCATTGGCCTTCAGCCTGGCCCCTCCAAACCTTCCTTAATGAATTTACAAGGCATTGGCCAATCTAAAAATACCCTACAAAGCTCTAAAATTTTAACCTGGGAGGATCAAGAGGGAAATTCAGGCCCAATTTGCCCATTTGTAATTGAAAAGTTACCCATAAACTTATGGGGGTGTGATCTTCTTAATCAGGTGAAGTTAATTATATGTAGCCCTAATGAGATGGTTACCACTCAAATGCTTCATCAAGGCTTTTTACCAAAAAAATAATCAGGGCATTACCTAACCTATTATTCCACACCAAAAGGCTGATCGTTGAGGTTTGGGTTATCAGCATTTTTCCTGAGGGCCATTGCACCTCCTGCACTACAGGCAGATAAAATCACTTGGAGGACAGATTCTCCTGTATGGGTAGATCAATGGCCCCTTTCAACCACAAAATTATCAGCGGCCATGGAGTTAGTGCAGGAACAATTGACCGCTGGACATATTGAACCATCCACCTCCCCTTGGAATACACCCATTTTCGTTATACAAAAAAAAAGTCAGGAAAATGGAGGCTTTTACAAGATCTTAGAGAAATTAATAAAACCATGGTTCCCATGGGGGCCTTACAGCCAGGCTTACCCTCTCCAGTTGCTATTCCTAAGGGATTTTATAAAATAGTTATAGATCTTAAAGATTGTTTTTTCTCTATTCCCCTTCATCCAGAGGATTGTAAATGCTTTGCCTTTAGCCTCCCCGTTGTTAATTTTGCTGGACCTATGCCCCGATTTCAATGGAGGGTATTGCCACAGGGCATGGCAAATAGTCCCACTTTTTGTCAGAAATATGTTGCTCAGACTATAGACCCATTTTGTCTTCGTTGGCCTTCCCTCTATATTGTTCATTATATGGATGATATCCTATTGGCAGGCCCTGATGCTTCTCATCTTCATATTGTCTCACAACAACTTATAAAAGTCCTTCAACAAAGAGGTCTTCAAATTTCCCCTGATAAGGTCCAATTAAAGCTCCCCCCCATTTATTTTTAGGATTTGAATTGTTTCCTCATAAGGTTATTTCTCAAAAAATACAATTAAGAAAGGATTCCCTTCACACCTTAAATGATTTTCAATGGCTCTTAGGTGATATTAATTGGCTACGCCCTTATTTAAAGTTAACCACTGGAGAGCTAAAACCTCTCTTTGATATTCTTAAGGGAGATACTGATCCCTCATCCCCTCACCAATTTACCGAGGAAGCCCTTCATGCGTTAGCCCTAGTGGAGGCTGCCATTACTAACCAGTCCATTACTTATTTCTCCCCTATTAAACCTTTAAATTTTATTGTGCTTCCCACACCTTTTTTTTCCACTGCAGTTTTTTGGCAAGACAATCCACTTTTTTGGGTTCATTTACCTGCCACATCCTTAAAAATTCTTCCCACCTACCCCTCGCTAATGGCTCAAATAATATGGTTAGAAAGAAAACAATCCCGAAAACTTTTTGAAAAGGATCCTGATATATTAATCATTCCATATAGTTCTCCCCAAGTTTCTTGGCTAATCCAAAATGATGATCAATGGGCTATTAGCTGTGTGTCCTTTCAGGGAAAGATTGATAATCATTACCCACCAGATAAATTAATTCAATTTCTATACAAGACACCCATCATTTTTCCAAAGGTTACCAAACGTCACCCAGTTCCCAATGTTAATTTGGTTTTTACTGATGGCTCCTCTAATGACCAAGCCGCTCATTCTATTAATGGCAATATTACACAATTGCCTACCCCACATTCTTCAGCCCAATTGGTGGAGTTACAAGCAGTTATTGAGGTTTTTAAAACCTTATCAAGTTCCCCTTTTAATTTATATACTGATAGTTCTTATCTTGCTTATTCTGTTCCCCTCTTAGAGTCAGCCCCATACATAAAACCCACTACCAATGCAGCTCCCTTATTTTCCACTCTCCAACGCATTATTCATAACCGTGTCCAACCCTTCTTTATTGGACACATACGGGCACATTCAAGACTGCCAGGTCCCCTGGCTCAAGGTAATAGATTGGTGGATCAGGCAACACAACTTATAGGCCTAACAAAGGACATTGGTTCTGGACTTCCTGATCCTTTACGGCAGGCACAGTTGGCCCATGAGTTACATCATCTAAATTCTCAAACGCTTAGACAAAAATTTAAAATTACTAGAGAACAGGCCAGAAAAATAGTTCGTCAATGTAAAGGATGTGTGACCTTCTTGCCTGAGGTTCATCTGGGAGTCAATCCCCGCGGACTTATCCCTGGAGAATTGTGGCAAATGGATGTCACCCACATAGCTGCCTTTGGCAAATTAAAATTTGTCCATGTCACTGTGGACACCAATAGTGGGTTTATATGTGCCACCCCTCAAGCTGGGAAGGCCACAAAAAAATGTTATAGTCATGTCCTAACATGCCTAAGATAATAAAGACAGATAATGGGCCTGGATATACCAGCAATGGTTTTAAATAGTTCTGCTCACAATTTGGCATTAAGCATATTACTGGCATTCCCTATAACCCATAGGAACAGGGAATTGTTGAAAGAGCACATCAAACGCTTAAAAATACAATAATTAAATTACAATCAAATGGGGGAATTGTTTACCCTCTCGCAGGAAACTATAAAAATTTGCTCAATCATGCACTCTTGGTAATAAATTTTCTTACATTAGACAAAGAGGAAGATCCGCAGCGAATCGCCTATGGCATCCCCATATTTCCCAAAATTATGCTCAGGTGCTCTGGAAAGATCCATTAACATTTAAATGGCAAGGACCTGACCCTGTACTCATTTGGGGAAAAGGACACGCCTGCGTTTATGACACCAACACAGGAAATGCTAGATGGCTACCTGAAAGGCTCATAAAGCAATTTAACTCACCCAGGGACCACCCTGAGAAAAACCCTAATTGTGCTTAATTACAGAAAAATGTTTCCCACGCTGGTCTTGCTGAGGTTCCGCACTCTTGTGTCCTGCTCCTCCATTCATCAGATTTTCAATTATACATGGCTGGTCATCAATCAAGCAGGTGATATCGCTTGGAGCAATTCCACTATTTACAAAAGTATCCCCTGGCTTACCCTTACACCTGACATTTGCAAATTGGCCCTAGGGGCCAACCCCTCCTGGGGGCACCGGAGGTTTATCTTCCACAGTCCAAGGCACCTAATAGTGATCGCACTTGGAGAACAGTGCCAGGCTGTGCTGGTCCATCAGAGAGAGCCTTTTTGCAGGCCCATAGTGGTGGCATTTACGTTTGCCCTAGCTCGCATCGTGGTCGAGGCTTAAGCAACAAATATGGATATGCCCCCAAGGATTATTACTGTGCCTCCTGGGGTTGTGAAACCACTGGGGACACCTATTGGAAACCATCCTCCTCCTGGGATTACATAACGGTCAAAAAAATTCATCTTCCCTCTTACTGATTGGGGAGTTTACTCTTACAAAATCCCCTCAGATTGCAAGTCAACCCACAATGCAGGAGGATAGTGTAATCCCCTCCTGATTCAGGCAAACAAAAGGATTGGACAGGGCGAGGATTTGAGTGGGGACTAAGGTTATACAAGAATGGTCCTGATTTTGGCCTTACCTTCAGAATACAATTAATTAAAGCCTCTCCTTTTACCACTCGAGCGGCTATAGGGCCCAACCCTGTACTCCATTCCTCAGCCAAAAAGGAGTTCTCATCAGTTAAGGGCATGGCCTCCTCCGTGACCCCTGGCAGCCCCCTTTCTACTCTTTTTGAGCCCACCCTTCCAGCTGGGCCCTCTCCTTCAGCCAACTTAATTTTGGCCTTAGTTAATAATTCATGGAAAACTTTACATGACGCCAATTCCACTTATGCTGATGATTGTTGGATATGCTACCATTATCCCCCCCGCCCTTTATGAAGGGATGGCTATTCTTGGAGAAATTCTGCCTACCGATGAAACCTCCTCTTTACAGTGGCAGCCTGCTGCCCAGGAGGGAATGACACTTGCTCAAGTCTCTGGAGTGGGCCTCTGCCTGCAGGGACCTCAAATGCTTCTTCCCTCAGCCATAAGACCCCTATGTAATAAGACTATTGTGGTAAATTATACCTTTACTTATCTTTTAGCACCTAATGTTACTTATTTTGCCTGCTCGTCTGGATTGACTCCTTTTGTTGTTACAGGTACCCTACTTAAAAAGCATGATTATTGTGTTCTTGTACAATTATTTCCCCGCCTTACAGTACATCCGTCTGTAGATTTTTTACATTTTTGGGAACAGGGCACTCTCCCATCCAGAGTAAAGAGAGAACCTATTACTGCCATTACTGTTGCAGCTCTCCTGAGCTTGGGGGCAGCAGGAGCAGGTACGGGAATATCTTCCCTAGTCCTGTCTCAACAACAATATCATCAACTTAGTTCAGTTATTGATCAGGATATTCGAGAGCTCCAAGCTGGGTTAAAAAATCTCAAGGACTCTGAGAAGTAGTTTTACAAAATAGATGAGGCCTAGATTTGGTCTTTCTTCAACAAGAGGGGCTCTGTGCTGCCCTTAAAGAAGAATGCTGCTTTTACACTGATAAGACAGGATTGGTAGAAAATAGCATAAAAAAGATACGTGAGAGCCTCGAAAAACAACAACGAGAAAGAGACAGAGGCAAGGCTTGGTATAAAAATTGGTTCTCTACTTACCCTCTTTTGACAACTCTCCATCCCTCCATTCTTGGCCCCTTTGTAGGCCTTTTACTTCTCCCCTCATTTGGACCTTGGGCCTTTAAAAGGCTAACTGACTTTATTAAGGGACAGGTCGAGTCAGCCACCAGACATTCCGTGTCTGTCCATTACCATCAACTTAATACAGCCGAGGTTGGCCAAGAGCCAGATGAAGAGCCATGGGGCTCACCCTCACGAGCCAGCCTCAAGAAGTCAGCCTTGACTTCTCCCAGCTGGCTCGAAAAACACCTTTGGGCATCCTCCCCAATTGACCTCGAAGTCTTCGATGATGGGATTAGCATGGTGCCAGGTCCAGAAGCAACACCATACAGGCTGTGGTTCCGCCAGAGACAGGAATAACATGGGTCCATGTCTTGGGGGCCCACTCTCTGCAGGAGTGCCAAGAATGGATGCAGCCCATGTAACCTAAGACAGGCGTGCCACCCAAAAAATTCGATAGTGGTGCTGGACCTGAGTGCACATCATGTAGTCTAAGACAGATGCTTCGCCCTAAAAGATAAAAAAGGGGGAGATGCCGGGGACCAAGAGGGAGATGCCGCAGGCTGACTGCCCCAGTAAAATTCCTATGACTCGAACTCCCCTGTTCCTGGCCTTGAGTAATTGTCTAACAAAGGACCTTCAAGACAAATGGCCTTCAAGATAAATTGTCTCCTTGGAGACAGGCAGGCTGGAACTTCCCGAGAGAAGCTGCAAGATGTTCCTTTTCCAGGCCTGCTGAGGCTGACTCCCCCCGCCCTGCTTGCTTGCTTCCTGATAAAACTGCCTTAAAAGAAGTAGCTTTCTTTTCAATAAACAGACCTTGACAAGACTTTGGTCAGCTTGGTCTCGTCTCTCTTTCTCAGCCGTTTCTTTTTTTTTTCAGGTAGAGACCTCCTCGAATTCCCCCCATGAATAATCCAGTCCCTCGGGCCGGACACTACTGTTGCATTGACTGTCCAGAGTAGGTAAAAAGGCTTAATATTTCTTCCTGTTGTTATGCTACTGTTGTATTGACTGTCCAGAGTTTTAACCTTTATCAATAGGGTTTGAATTTATTAATCTGACTCTGATACAAAAACATTCCACTATACCACGTACTATTATGGTTCTAAGCTCAAGATTGCAAGCCTCCATAATGTGTATGCTTATACTAAAAGTTAAGATCAAATGAGTTTCCCTTTTACTTCATAAAAGGCTTTTGCCTTTTCAGACCTCACCTTAAAAAATACTTATGCTATTAACACAAATTTGTATGTCTACTGCCTTTTTCTCAATACAGAGTACAATTGTGATACTAACATGTCTAAAGTTTTATCTCCTTCTTAAAACTTAAAAGTAATTCTTGTAAGCTGCAGAAAGTCCACCTAAATCCACCTCTCAGGTCAATTGGACTCCAGATAAGTACTGCACTTATTGCCTATCTCAAAAGGTGGGACTCCTCCCCTTTCCCTGGTTTTGGGACTTCCTTTCCTGGCTACCAGACTGCTATTTACTGCATGCAACCACTGGCTGGATTAGTGAGTTCTCCTTATTGATCAGCCACTAGATTGGTGACTTCACTCAATTTTCTCAGCATATACGCCTCTCTTGGTAGGGGAAGCTTGACCGCAGAGCTCCGGCAACTTCGTACTATCTTTTGAGATGGAGTGAAAATCCCCCCAGCCGTAGCCTTAACTGTCTAGGTTTGACCCCCTATGCTGACCTCCATTTTAGGGCCTCACTCTCCCTTGAGCAGTATGTCCCCTCTCGCACACGGTTCCTTCTCCCCCTCTCTCGCTCGCTCATGGGAAGACCTAGCACTAGGCAAACCATCATGCCGTGGCCGAGCCCCACTGGGCACCGTGCCCCGGTCCCTGGCCAAAAGCTGATGAGCTATTGGACCAGGTAGCACCTCTCTTGCTCGGAGTCACACCTTGCCATTGGGACACCTCTGGAAGGTTGCTGACTTCTCTACCCCCAATGGGAGATGCCCAGATGCCCGTCCCTCCAGATAGGATGTCCTCTGGAGAATTTTAAGTTTCTACACCTAGTGCCAGCTGGTACCAGGGCCTCTAAGTATATATGCTTCTGTAACCAAACCTCACCTCAATGACAGATAGAAAACAAAGCCTTCTTTAAATATTGCCAGTGATTGGGTAAATAAAGGTCCCCCCCAGGTAGACAGGGGTTCCCATGTACAAGCATCATCGATCCAAACCTTCTATTCCTGTTTGCTCTCCCAAAAATTTTCAATGTATACTTACAGGATTTTCTCCATACCTACTCTATCTTTTGCCTATATATGTGTTTCAGTGTCCTGCCAGACACAGATGTTTCCTATAGCCACAACAGTGCCAAAGCATCTGCAGGTGTTCAACTCTGACCTCACAGACTTCCAACAGGCTGGACCTGCACCTTCCCTCTGTTCTCGAAGACCCTGGAAAGCATCAAAACAGCCTATTCTTCCTGGACTTGGCTGACATTTCAGCCTTTTGGCCTCCCTACAGCGCCCCCAGTGTCAGCAGAAGTAGCCAGAAGAGAATCTACACCCGTTATTCACTTGTTGTTAACAAAAGGCTGAAATGGTGTGCTTCAGGACCAGGACAAGCAGCTCCAGGTTCTCCCAGCACTCCCCAGCCCCTACCTGCTGCCTTGCATGGCTGGCAACTCTCTCTATTGACAACTCTCTATACTAAAGGGCAGAAGCTTCCCTTACTCTTGACCTTGCAATCTGACTGTTTTGTTGCTATAATCTTCTCTCTCTCAAACTCTTGCATGACAACCAAGAGCTGCTTCCAATGAGCCTAAATTTATATGCTTTAACTTACCTTATAAAAAGCAGCCCAAGCTTCCCATTTTTTAATTATAGAAAAAGGGAGGAATGTTAGTATTTTGGAACACAACCTGCTTCTGGGTTACCCAGCAACTTATGATGTCATCATGTGTCGCCAGCCAGGTGGCCACACCCGGAAGGCGTGGTTACCTTGCCCCTTAGAGGGCTAACCCCAACATGTGGTCTCTCTCTTACACTCTTTACCTCTCTTACACTCTTACTCTCTCTCACTCTTACTCTCTCTCTCTCTCTCTCTCTCTCTCGGGATGCCCCCTTTTCCCCTTCCCTTTTCTCTCTCTCTCATGTCCTGCTTCCCCCTTCCTCCATACCCTCCTAATAAACTTCTTGCAGAGAATATCGGTTGAAACCAGCCTCATTGCTTTTTTTAATAAATAATAACACCCTCACAGTCGTAATATTACTACTTACTGTTGGGCCATGTTTGCTGCCGGAGCCAGTCAGCAGAGTCGAACGGTTCTTGAGTCGGGAGTGAGGATTAATATTAATAAAATAAACACACAGCACACAGGAAACTTTTTAAAGGTCCAGACTCGACAGCCACAGCAAAAGGCAGGCTGCCGCAGCAAGCAGCACAAGCAGCAAGTCTCAAGTCTCTGCCTCCAGCCCTCTGACCTCTTTATTTGTGAGGAGTTACTTTTAGCCAGTAAAACATCTCAGAACAATGGGTTAATTTTCACAAGATGCCTGAGGAAGAGGTGTGACCCTCACAAGCTATCCCACCTGCTGTCACAAACAAAAGGAGATGGACTTGTAAGTTCTTTTCTGCCATTAGTAAAGGCCTGCTAAAAGCCATCTCTCCGCCGAGATTTAAATATCAAAGCAGGCCGCTGGAGTCACGGCTCCCAACAGTTTGCTGAACCAGTTAATGACCTACTTCAGGCAGAGACTGGGGACTATCCAGGTAATGGTGCTCCACTCACAGTACCAACACCTGACCACAACTGAAAACAACACCAACTCATAAATTCCCCTTCCCTTCAAAATAATAACTCTGTTTCTAGTCTGTGTCTAGTCTGACAGGTTTATTCTCCATGGAAGCACCTGCGACTCTGTGTAAGCTGATGGACTCAATAGGACTCATCTTAGACTGATACCGGAAACTTCAGCTTTGTCAACAGCCTCACGGTCAGCATTGAAGCAGCTATAGAAGACAAGATCCACAGCCCCTGGTCCCACTTAGCAGCTGAAAATGATATAACCCCCCCCCCAATACCAAGCTAAATGGCGCATCTCGAAATTTTCCTCTTGAAAAGGAGGAAATGAGAGGTTCAAAAACTTAGAGTTAATTCCTGGGACTGGGGCAAAATCACCAGATCACAGTCTTTTCAGAGCAGAGGTCCAGAAGCAGTCCCCCACCCAGATTAACCTTAGGGTGTGACTAGGGTCATGTAGCTCCTAAGAAAGCCCATGGAATGTGTTAACTCCTCCTCCCCCTTGCTACACCCTAACCTGCACGTACGGGGGGGGGGGGGGTGTTAGGTGTCCCCCAGGTAGCCAGACCTAACCATTTGCAGTTTTGGCACCTAAAAATAAACCAATCATTTTAAAGGTCAGCTCCCCTAGAGACCCTTTCACCCAATCCTGTAATGCCAAGACCTGCACTTCCCAGCTTGGGTTTTGTCCCCTTAAAAGCCCTGTTCCCCCAGAGTTGGGGGTCGCTTGCACCTTTGATCTTGTAAAGGGCAGCCACCCAGCTCGAGTTTGTAATAAAGGACCCTTGTGTGTTTTATATCAGACTCAAAGCCTGTCAGTCATTTGGGGACTCGAGATCTGGGTATTTCACAAGCAGGAGGTGGAATGTGCCTAGAATTACAACTCAGCGAAAGCTTATCTACCAGAAATGAAAGAACAAAACCAGAAAACAAATGGAAGGGAGGGGTGTTGTGAAAATAAGGATGAGTTGGTTGTGTGTCCCCTATTTAAAAAAAAAAATCTTCAATAGTGTATAGATAGATAGATAGATAGATAGATAGATAGATAGATAGATAGATAGATAGATATATATTTTTTTACAGGAAATGTACTACTTACATTTTTCCTAAATCATTTGAACAAAATTTAGACTAAGCCAGGCCTGATGCTGCAGGCCTGTTATTCTAGCTATTTCTCAGGCTGAGGCAAAAGGATCACAATTCTAAGATCAGCCTGGGCAATTTAGCATATACATGAAAGGCTGAAATTAAAAGTGTACACCCCCAGGCTTGACTAAAAATTATTTTTTTATTTTTTTGCTGAAAATTATTAATTTTTAAAGTTCCATTTGTGAACACGGTCATCCTTTCTTTTCACGGAAACTGTACTTATGTCATGTCAAGGTTAAATAATTCATGCTTCAAGCCAGGCATGGTGGCACATGCCTTTAATCCCAGCACTCAGAAGCAGAGGCCAGCCTGGTCTACAAGGCAAGTCCAGGATAGCCAAGGCTACACAGAGAAACCCTGTCTCAGAGAGAGAAGAAAGAGGAAGAAACTTTAAATGATTCCTGCTCCTATCCACAGTTTTCTGAGAGTCACTTCTTTGAGGTTCTTGATTAGCACGATTAGGCACAGCCCTGCTGAACAGGCTCCTTTGCAGTGTCAGCTGTTTCTGAGACATGAGGACTCATTTTATAATCAGATGCTCATATCAGCCTTTCCCCCTTCTAAACCAAAACAGAACAAAAAGACCTTTCTATGTCTGCCAGGCTGAGGGTACAGACATGCAATCCCAGCCCCTGGCAGTTACAAGCCCTTGTCTTAAAACGGGGTGGGGGGGAGGTGGCACTGGAGAGATTAAGCCACTCTGTGGCTAAGGGAGAGACCATTGCTCTCCAGAGGCCCCGAGTTTAACTTCCAGCACCTACATGCAGTGGCTCACAACCAATTGTAACTCCAGCTCCAGAGCCTCCGTGGGCACCTGCACTCGTGTGTATACACATACACATAATTAAAAAGAAAATAAATACTTTTTGATGAAGTGCTAAGGATGTGGCTCAGCGTTAGAGGCTTGTCTAGCACGTACAAGGCTCTGGCTTTGACCCTTGGCACTGGGGCCAAAAGAAAACCTAGCACCACCACTACCACCCAAAGCTACAAGTTAACAAATATGATGATTGAGTATTCTGTGCCCTTCTCATCGATATAAATAAGGTGCTTATTTTCTCCATCTCACCCCTTTAATCCAGCACCGCTATCTCCGGGTGTTTGTGAATACACCAGTTTGTAATGTCTAGCTCTACTGCTAGGATACGCAAAAGGTAGAAGATGAGGTAGCTGTGAAGTGTCAGGCACGATAACTGACAATGTTAAGAGGAAGAAGCAGCCCATATAGAACATAAAGCTGACTGTAGATCTTGCAATGTGTGTAAAATATCAAAAAGGAATGGAATAGGCATAAACAAAAATGAAAAAAAAAATACACCTGGGCCATGAGATACTTAGGAGCTTTTTATTTTCCTTTTTCCAGTTCTTAAGCTGGTGAGATCATATTCTGTTGCTCTCTAAAAATGCCTTAAGAGTGTTACACCACAAGCAACTCTTTACCTTGGTTATTTTATTACACTAAATGTATTATCTATACTATTAAGGCCGTGCAGCAATACAAGGAGATAAGACAGAGAGAGAGAGAATTCTTGGCATGACTGGATGTCAGGAATTTTTCTGTTCAATCCATGGCTAGGACAGTTGCCCGCTAGGTTCAGGCTGCCCCCATCTACTCTTACTGTAAGGCTCTGCTCACATCATGTGGCTTCCTATGTTCCTGATGAATGTACAAACTAGGGAAACACCCCTAATATAGTTCACACTGTAAAGTAATGGAATGGCATTTTCACTCATGTGTTTGTCTTCTGTGACCTTGGTTAACAGAAAGTTAACCCCAAGAGACTAGCTAGACCTGGTGAGAAAAGGAAACCAAGTTTGGACCTGCAAAGCTTGAGCTCCACAGCCAGCATAAGATGCTAGGTACTGCCTTCAAGACACCCTGCCTGGGCTGGAGTGATGGCTCAGTGGTTAAGAGCACTGTCTGCTCTTCCGAAGGACCCAGGTTCAATTCCCAGCATCCACAACTGTCTGTAACTCCATTTCCAAAGGATCTGACACCTTCACACTGATGCACATAAAATAAAAATTAAATAAATTATTACAAAAAAAAGACACCCAGCCCAAGTAATTGGTCTAAAGGATATTCTACCATCACTCCCCAAACAGCTACAGAGCCGGGAGCACACTAGAAACAACAGGAGATGGAGGCGTGATCAAGGATGGGGTCAGGAGTGGAAGTAGGCACCATAGCCTTGGAAATGAGTTCTGTCCAGAGGGTTCAGGAACTCCCTGGAGCAGAGAATTTAATAAAATCTGCTTAGGATCTTTGGTTGACAGAATGAAAGCTGGATTGAGTTGGGAAGATTGGAGGCAGAGAACCAATCGTGCTTCTCTTGTCACCATCCAGAAAAGAAAAATGGGCTGAGCAAAGGGCACAGCCACTGCTAATAGACTGCTTCATCCCAGAAAATACAGCTCCAGGCCATAACGATGTGCCTTCATTTCTTCACTTGTAATATTAAAATGGATCGCCCACCCATCTGGGAGGAGAGAGCCCTTTTGTTTGTCTTCCTGTGTTATTTAGAATAGTTTCAGAAGGCTGTCCTTCCATACAGCAAATAGAGGTGTTTAATGGCTCTTGAGGCAAAGCAGAGTTTATGAACCCCCTCTGACTGCACGGATGCAAGACTAAGCCCAAACACAATATTCCGCACCATGCCTGAAAACTGCTGAATGCTATCTAAAATGATGCTATTGCTACAAACATCGGCAGCGCTGCTGAATGCAACCTCCATTGCCCCACGGTCCATTGCTCTTAGCAACGCATCCTTATATTGTCCTTTGTCTTCCTTTCTCCTGTACAGAATTGCTATGTCTTTGGGCAGATAGCCATCGTGGAACAGGCTGTGACATTTTTCTGCCACATAGTTGGCAATTTGTTCTGGTGTCAGGTCAGCCTTGATCTCACACACCCCAGGCAGAGCCTGGGTGTACATTGCTTCCTCGTAGGGAGCCTCCTGGAACATTGCCAGGGTATCTGGAGATATGTCGGAGGGAGGGTTTTCTTGGATCCACTTCATTTCTTCTTTCATAACCTTTGCGATTTCCACAGCACAGTGCATCTGGTTGGTGATAATTTTTCGAGGAAACTGAGAAGAAGGAGCAGGAAGGCCACTGATATCTGCATGACGGATCTGGAAAGGATCCAGAAAAATCCAGAGGATCCCACGGTGAAGGCTGCCCCTTGCAGCCCCCTTCACTTTTGGATGGGTGATGCTCTTAGCCTTCAGGTACCAGTCACCATGATGACTGCAGAAATTCTCAGTCTCGTCCATCACTATATGTTTAATCTTTGGGAACTCATCTCTCATGAAGGTCTTCCGGGTCACAGCTTGGCAGGTGACCTGTTGCCTGTTACCATGAAGGAGAAAACAGGGTGTCAGGCATAGAAACAAAGATAATGGGAGCTTTTCTTACTCTCTGGATTGGAAGTTGAGGCTAATTCTCCTTTGCAGACGGATTCACTAGCAGAGGCAGTGCAATAAAACCGCTCTGCTTCTAAGATAACCTACAGATAGAGAGCAGAACTTGGGGATTGTTTAGTTAAATCTTCATGTGGAATTTTACTACGAAGTAGTTAGGCAGTGCAGTGGTTTGCACCTATAATCCCATCACTCAGGAGGCTGGGGATCCTGAGTCCAAGGCCACCTGGGCTACGTAATGACTATAGGTCAATCTGGCCTACAAAGCAATGCTTGATCTCAAAAAAAAAAAAAAAAGTTGGGAGATCTTGTTATTTCTACTGGTCCAGTTGCGATGCTTGGCAGGGGAAGGCAAGACCACTGCAGTTAAATGAAATCTCAGAAGTAACTCATGCCTGTTCCTACTTCTTTAATGTGTCCTTTTAGACTTAGGGAACAGCCTCCTACAGGCATGTCATAATCTACACATGCGGAAGAGTTTTGTGCTAATTCAAATTTTGTCTAAAGCAAGCTTTGTTTCTTTTTGTACAAAATCAGAAAATCCTTTGGGTTTTGGTAATAAAACACCAATTGTTGAGTCCCTTCAAAAAAAAAAAAAGAGAGAGACAAGAAAAATCACAGGGGTCTTCCTCTCTTGGGTTCATTTTCCTTCCATGGAACATTGTAGTATGCATATATGCTACACAAATATGCATACCAAATTTGGTTGCTTCTTATCCTCTCTAGGTTATATCCGACTAAGAGGGCACAAATTGTATCTAAGTTTAATTCCTGCTAAATACGGTGACTGGCTGTATAACCAAACCACTAATTATCCAGCAAACAGTTACTTAAAGTGAGCAGGCTCATGGCTCATTTCTACTTTCCTTAGCCCGAAGGCCACAGATAGTGGGGAAATGTCTCTACTTTATAGAGAGTCAAGGTTGGCAGGGTAGTGTATCTCTATAACCTCAATACTCAGGAAGCTGGAGCAGGGGGATTGAGTTTAAGGCCATCCTGAGCTGAGGAGGAAGACTGTCTCAGAAAACAAACAGATGTCAAGCACCCTTAGCTTGTTTGGGGGTTGAACGTGATAAATTCTCCATTCTGGAGCTCAACCTCATCTGTGGTTAACTGAAGTCTGTGCTAACTTCCACAGTGAAAAAGCATCATGGAACCTTAAACTCAAAAAAAGCACAAATTACTTTTGTGACTCTGTTGAAAGGCTTTTTTTTTTTTTTTTTAAGTTTAGATGGTAAAATTCTCACATCACAAAACCCCTTAGGGAGTCATTTTCACAAACATAGAGGATCTCTTTTGGTTTGCAGTGGAACACATCCTTAATTTTCTCCACAATCTTTATGGCTAGATCTGTCTTCCTGGTTCCTGGAACGCAGTGGATGAACAGTTCCCGGGTTTCCTGGAGCTTCCTGGAAAGAGAGTTGCCTTGTTCTTCCGCACACTGCTTGAAAAACTCGCAGCCCAGCTGGTCACTCAGCACCGACCTGGAGCACAGTGAGACCAGCACAAGGGCCTGCAGCAAAGCCTCCACTTCAGCTCTGCTGGAGAGCGTGTAGGAGCAGGGGTAGTACACGGGAGACGCATCAGGGCTGGACCCTCCGCCGCCGGTCAGGTATATCTGCCTTGGAATGACACATACTTTCCCCGTGTAGCCGCCAATAGATTGTAGCTGCTGCTTTAACTGAAGGGAGGTATTCTGAGTATAGTCAGATCTTCCATTCCAACTGGGGTCTGGTAAGATGGTGTAGAGCACCAGGGGGCTGTTGACTGCCACCAAGAGAGCATCACACAGGACGTTCTGCTCTTTCGTTAAACCAATATCACCAGCCCAGCTTCTAGAAAGTATCACAACCCCGTGAGAGCAGGAATGTGTCTGTGCCTTCAGCAAGTCCTCCAGGCCATCATGATCTGAGAACAGCTTCTCACGCAGGGACTCTGGCTGAAATTGTAGGTCTTCCTGTGTCTCTGAAAAATCGAAGGAATAGAAGTTACCAAAACTTTAAAAAGCGCAGGGCTGCTCTTGCCCCCTGGCAGAAAAGGACAACTCTAGCCCGTAGGGAAGCTGTCAGTGAAAGTGCTACAGAGAACAGGCTCCTTGGAGCTCTTTCCTGGTCCCGGATGTTCACAGCTGATGTGAAGAGACTCCTTTTTGCTAAGGGTTTTCTGGGAAATTGATGCTTTAGGGGAAGTAAAAATCTTCTTTTAGAATAGTAATTCTTTTTTTTTTTTTTTTTTTTTAAGATCGATTGATTTATTTTTACAGTATTCTGTCTGCATGTACACCTACCCGCCAGAAGAGGGCACCAGATCTCATTATAGGTGCTTGTGAGCCAACCAAGTGGTTGTTGAGAATTGAACCTAGGACCTTTGGAAGAACAGCCAGTGCTCTTAACCTCTAAGCGATCTCTCCAGCCCCTAGAATACTAATTCTTAACCAGAAGTCTGAAGACATTTTATGCTATTATTACACATGTGTGCATGCCTGTGTGTGTGTGTGTGTGTGTGTGTGTGTGTGTGTGTGTGTGTTTTCATCATAGACTGAAGCCAGAGACAACTTCCAAAAGTAGGTTCTCTCCTTTGACTCTGTGGGGTCCAGAGATTAAACTCAGACTAATGAAACCTGGTGGCAGGTGCCTTTGCCCACTGAGCCATCTCACCAGCCAGTACCGTGTCTGGAGACCTTTTGATGTTGTTACAGCTACAGGGAGGCTCCTGGTATCTAATGAGTAGAGGCAAGGGATACAGCTAAACATTGTGTAATGGACAGAACTCCCCCTCTGGGATGTGATTCAGATGTCAGTAGCGCGGAGACTGAAGGAAGTTTGCTTTAGAAAGTGTTTGTGCAACCCTCTGACCACCTCTCTATTAAAGAGCCATGGCACCGTTCTCTTATGATAGAGACCCAAGAATCTCCAGAGCTTTCCATTTTGAAGGATAAAAAACATAGGTGGTTATAATTCAATGCATTTGAAAGTGTAATGGAGATAAAGGACTAGAATTTAAGATCTCTCGCTCGCTATTTCTTCTGTGTGTGTGTGTGTGTGTGTGTGTGTGTGTGTGTGTGCGAGCTCGTGCGCGTGTGCATGTGCATGCACGAGTGTAATTGTAGGACCATCATCTGCTGAGTCTTATAACATGACACTCTCAAAGAAAAAAAATGTTTGGATTACTTGCTATCAACTCCTCCCAGCTTAATTCATTGCTGGGTATTGTACTCAGGACTTTGCTCGTGCTAGGCAAACACTATCAAAGAGCTATGCTTTATTTCATAAAACAATCTCAGCTGGGCGTGATGGCACATGCCTGTAATCTCAGCACTCGGGAAGGTAGAGGCAGGCTGATCTCTGCGTGTTCGACGCCAGCCTGGTCTACAAAGCGAGTCCAGAACAGCCAAGGCTACACAGAGAAACCCTGCCTCAAAAAACAAACAAACCAAAATTAATAAAGTGACCTGGTCAGCTGAAATGTAGAGAGAATACATGCACTGGAATGAGCGGCACAGTGAGATCCTGTCTTGAAAAACCAAACAAAAACAAACGGAGATGGGGATACCTGGAAGCAAACGACGCTGCAGAGCCTCCTTATGTTCCAGGACTTTTGTGAGGTACGCTGGCCTTCTCGGTGCAGATAAAGCTGCTGACATCGGGCGAGCACTGTAGTCTGTGGCGGGCGAGTTGGAAGGAGCTAAACAAGTATACAGAAAGCGGTTCAGATACAATGAAAAATCGCAAGTGGAAGAACTCTGCCATTGTTCTTCCTATAACAAATGGGTGCATGGCCCTGCGCTGCCTCCCATAGCTGTGTTTGAAAAATGCTCTGGGGGTCTCTAGTATTTTACCTCCCAGGGTATAATTCATTTCAAACAACTGTCATTTCTCCTATCTCTCATGAGGTGATGATCCCTAAGTTTCCTTCCAGCTCTAAAATCTGATGTGAGGGGCCCTGTAAGAAGAAAGAGAAGGGCAAGGCAGTGGTAGTGCACACCTTTAATCCGAGCATTTGCGATACAGAGACAGGAGGATCTCTCTGAGTTCCAAGTCAGCCTAGTTTATAGACTGAGTTCTTCCTAAGACTACACAGAGAAACCCCGTCTCAGAAAACCAAAAAGGGAGGAGGAGAAGCAGGCGCGGGGGAGGAGGAGGAAGCTACTAGACCCATGCTTTCCGCAAACGTCATGTGCAGCACAGTTATTTTAAGCTCTAGGACAGTGAGAAAAAGCACAAAAATGCAGGCAAACTGTAAACCATGGCAGACACGTTACGGAAGGATGGAGAAGAGGTGAAAGCCTTGCTGGCTGTCAGCAGCCCGTGGCCAAAGGCGGAAGCATAGGCTACAATTGCTTTTAATGTCAATTCCAAGGTAGGACCGAATTGAAAGGCGAAGGCTCTCACTGGGGAAAGGAGGAAATAGATGAAACAAATTTGGAAAAAGAGAAAGGTTGGTGCCATGAAGTCTGTAATGACTGGCTTCATCCGTTCTGCTGTCAGAGATCTAATCAAATTGGGATCTTCTGATTTTGCATACCTAACCTCGACTGGAAATCCCTTCGCTGGCTTTAAAAGGAGCCTTCTGACTCCTCTTGAGGTCACCATTTTGTATGAATGATGGTTGTCTCTGCAGAATAAAAGCTCTTTGCTTTCACATACTATTTGAGTCTAGGATCTTCCTTCAGTGATTCTCGGACCCTTACATACAGTGCAGAAAAGGAACTCACTAATTCATGTCTGATGATATATGACAACTTGCTCCCAAAAGACTGAAATCCATTTTTTTTTTTTTTTATTTCAAAAAGATCAGATTCTGCATCTTTGGAACTAAGCCTATTAGAAAAAGAACATTGTTGTGGGAGAGCTTTTGCAAACAATAGCACATTTCTGTTTTTGTTTTTTTAAACTAAACCATATGATAGAATAGCCTCTAAAGAAAAGAAGATGGTTCTTTCCCCAAAACTCAGCAATGCTTTCCCTCTCTTTTTACCTGGCTGAAGGTCGAGCATCATGTCCACCCATTGCTGAGCCACCAGCCTTGTGACAGTATTGTTCTTTATGATCCAGGAATCTGGGTCCTCTGCAAACACGACACAACAGAACGGCTGTACTTGAACCACACAGACATAACCATACAGGGCCTCTCTTTGGTAAACTTTCAAAATTTTGGTTGTGAAATTCACCTTGGGTTTTTCACGACAGAAATGGTATGTGGGCAACTTTTCTATGCAGTTTTTAATTTCTGTTTTTAGTGAGTCGGGGTTCACTTTTTCTTTCTTACATCCAAACACTTCTTTGCTCTTATCATCAACCCCAATAATTATGTATCCCCCCTGAGTGTTGGCAAATGCGGAAACATAATGAGCTAGAGTCTCTTTAATCCGAGGAACAATCTTTTTGGTGGTAAACCTTTTAAACTCGACATGAGTTGACTCTGTGAAGTTAAGCTTCTCCTTGTAGTTGAGTCTATCTTTTTTAAAAAATTCAGAGGCGCACATCTTAATATCTTCCTCTTCCTGAATGGATCGGTTGAGGGCGCATTCCAGAGAATGTAACCTGGGGGGACCTCTTTGGGCTTTAGACTCTTTCTCTCTGAGAAGCCCCAGGGCGCTGCTGGCAGTCAAGTTGATGGCAGAGGTCACATCCCTCTGGTATAAGTTGGAGCGTAAACTGCAAATCTTCAGTGGAGTGCTGGAGGCATCTGGGCTCCACGACTTCACAAAAATCAGGAGGTCATGGTTCTGTTGTACATAGTCGAGGTGCTTCGGTGAACCTGACGGAAGGAGTTTTTGAAAGGAAGTTTCCAAATCCTGCCCCAGCCCATGGCATCGGTAACTATAGTTTCCGTCATCTATCTCTGCTTTGATCACACCTCCTCCAGAATTCAGCAGTGCACACACAGCCTGGATGATACTTGAGTTCTCATGTCTTTTTAAGCAACTATTGGTCATCTTCTTCCTGTTCTCTTCTCCCAAAGTCACTTTGCCCAGATACACAGTGATCTCAGCATAGGGCATTTTCTTTACTCCCAACAATAACAGAAAGGTGTTCCTACAAATAACAGGACAGGAATATTTCTGCATTAGTGAGAAGTTTAGAGATGACAATATTTTCTTTAAGGCTATACATTATTGGAGATACATTTTAAAAATGGACATAATATTTTAAAAGATAGTGGCACTGGTAATCGAACCTCCAGCCTTCCCCATGCTAGGCAACTGCTCTTCCACTGAATTACATCCCCAGCCTTCTTTTCATTGACTGTTTTCAGATGGGTCCTGCTGTCTCAGACTCCTAAGTAACTGCAATTACAGGCTTTTCCCAATGGTCCCAGCTTTGAAAATAATCTTTGATAGCATTGTTTTTTAAGCAATTTTGCTAAATACACTTTTCAACAAGAATAGCCATAGATTTAAAAAGTGAACACAATAGTTTTCCACAACAGAAAAAAAAATTGCTGAAGATTTCAACCCACTTCCACTTAAAGCTGAGAAACACCAACACTGAGTCCAGGTGTGAGGGGGTGGCGTTTAGCACAGGAGCTAAGTGAGTTGTTAAAGCCTTCAGACAAGCAGGGCACGGTGGCACATTTGGGAGGCATTTCATGCAGATCCCCAACAACTGGAGGCGGGGGACTCTGACTCTGATGACTCCCTTTAGGTCCCATTTCACTAGCTGGGCTGCCCTGTCTGGCCTCAGTGGGAGAGGATGTGCCTAGTTCTGCAGTGACTTAATATGCCAGGGTGGGTTGGTACTCATGGGGGAATCTGTCCCTTCCCTGAAGAGGAAAGGGGAGACTGGGAGAAGGGGTGCTGGGGTGGGGACTGGGAGGAGAGGAGGGGGCTGCAATCAGGATGTAAAGTGAATAAATAATTTTTTTTTTTTAAAAAAAAGAATGTGCAGAAATAGAAGGTGACGCCAGCGACCCTATTCAAAATTCAAAGGGTGAGGAAAAGAAGCAGTGGGAAACAAAGGAAGTGGAATTTGGGGTTACGTGCAGTAGGTCTTCTGTGAAAACAAACATCAAGCTGAACATGGTAGCACATGCCGATAATCCTAGCACTGAGGAGGCCAAGGCAGGAGAACAAAGAATTTGAGGCCAGGTGTGTGGGTACCTGCTGATAACCCCAACACTCAGGAGATGGAGGCAAGAGGATCAGCAGCTGCATGCCATCCTTGGCTACAGGAAGTTTGGTGCCAGCCTTGCCTACTTGACACCCTTACTCGGACAAGCAAATGAAACTAAAAGTATACAGCTCATAAAATGTGGTATTTCCCATGCTACTTTATATAGCTTTAAAGATCTTATTCTGCTCTGGAAAGAATACCAGTTGATACCAAATGCAGAAATGGCTATTCACATATCTAACGTCACAAGACAGTGTCAATTTGTCACAGGCAGTGTGATGTGAGGCAGGAATTTGCCTTCCGTTCTAGTTTTGCCTGTACTATGAAGCCTCTCAGACTTGGAAAAGAGCCAGGCTGTGGTGGCCCACACCTGTAATCCCAGCACTCATGAGGCAGAGGCAGGCGGATCTCTGTGAGTTCAAGGCCAGCCTGGTCTACAGAGTGAGTAAGCTCCAGGGCAGCCAGGGCTACACAGAGATAACTCTATCTCGAGAAACAAAACAACAACAAAAAGACTTGGAAAATCACTTGAGCCTTTGGGACCTGGTTGCTAAATTGTTACCAAAAACCTTTTGTTTTAAGTCTAGAGGGCAGCCATCTACGTTAAAATTATAGTTCTGAAGAAAACAGAACACTTGCTTATTAACTGGAGCCAAGTGTCCTCCTCTGGGAAAGACTGTCCACCTGCTGTCTGCACACAGAGGTCCTGTGCAGGTTGTTTACAGTCACAGGAGAAAGCTGCATGCGGCTGGACCAAATCCTGACCCGTCACCAGCTTCCTCAGTTACCTTCCCCCATGCATGTTAGAATCACCCGGGGAGACTAGCTCTTAGCATGACAGCCTCTTCCATGTTCTTTGATGGCTCCATGGGGAAATTTTCCACTAATGTCCTGTTTAACCAACAGGATCACAAAAACATTAGAAAATTTTTGTTTTTTTGTTTTTCAAGACAGGGTTTCTCTGTGTAGCCCTGGCTGTCCTGGAACTAGCTCTGTAGACCAGGCTGGATTTGAACTCAGTGTTCCGCCTGTCTCTGCCTCCCAAGTGATGGTGGTATACCACCACTTTCAGTCTTACAAGGAATTTTAGAGACTGTCTTAATCCAAGTGTCTTGCTGGCCCTTAAATCTCTTTGCAGTATTCTCACGTCCCAAGAGCTTCCTACCCAACCACTTGGCTCCCTCCAATGACTAGTGATCTTCCAAAGCAATTCCATTCCATTTTCTGGAGCTCATCTGTTTGTAGTTTGCCTTCCTGGTAACTTTCATTGGTGGGGTCTATAACACAAATCTAAGTGACTGTGGGCTAGCACAGCATATGCTCTCCTGTCTCCCAAGTCTCATTGATGTTGCTCGGATGCTTATAACTACTATGGGATGACAGTGTTCTGAGATTCTAGGTCCAACTGAGCATCCTTTCCACGAGTTTGAGAAGGTCTCACTCATCTTTCTTAACAAATTTCTTCTAACTATTATATACACCCAACCCTTCATACTCTCAGGCCTGAACTGTGTCCAAAATAATGGTGAGATTAGAAAAAAACAATTCTTTACCTGGGGCTCTTGTTTCCTCCCAGTTCTCCAGTTCCTCATCTGTCTCTGGGTGGGATGTTTGTCTTCTGCTGAGGGCCCTGCTGCCCTGTGATATCTGCCTGGGAGGAACAGGAACTCTGCCAGAGTCCCTCATCCTTCATGACAGTGAGCCACTGAGGAAGGCCGATAAGGGCGCTAGAACAGCCTATGTCATGGCAGATTAGCAAACTAAGGTCTGCCTCGGGGAGTGAATCAGGTCCTCAGAGTGAAGAAACATGGGGAGTTCAAAGCGAGCAGCCAGAGTTCAGTTTATGTTTTCTGAAAGGCGTGAGCATCGCTTTCACATGTAACACAAGCACTTCTTTCCTGGCTAAATTTGTTTGCAAAACTCTGCGCTCGTTTAATTTTTTTTCGACACAGGGTCTCACTATGCAGCCCTGGATGGCCCAGAACTCTCTGTGTACATCAGGCTGGCCTCAGACTCACGGAAATTACTTTGCACTCTGTTTCCTGAGTGCTGGAGTTAAAGGTGTGTGTTACCATGTCCAGCTGCACTCATTTTAAATTGGGCTATTCTGTGACACTCATTGTGAGCAACGTTAGCTGATTTCATTATCTTCCACATTTCTTGTTGTATTTTATTGACTTTTATCCTTTTCCCTGTTAAATTTTTTTAAACTTATTTTTAAAGGTTCCATACAAGTATGTATGTTGGACATATTCCCTCTCTACTCCCTAGCCTCCCTTTTCTTGCCCCTCTACCCTCCTGACCAGCCCCTGAAAGTTTTATTTCTGCTTTCATGTCATCTAAACATACCTGATTATATATATACATATGTATGTATATATGTAATATACATACACATATATGTATGTATGTATATATATATAGAGAGAGAACCTAGGAGCCAGGAATGAGAGGAAACATACAACATTTGTCTGAGCCTGGATTAATTTGCTTAATATAAAATCATATTCGTTTTCCTGAAAAATGATATAGTTGTTCTTTATGTGCCAAAAAATTCCCACTGTATCTATACACTACATTTTCTTTTTAATTTTTAAATTAAAATATAATTACATCCTTCCCCTCCCTTTTTGTCTTCCAACATTTTCCATGTTACCTGTCCCTTGCTCATTCTCAAATGCAAGGTCATTATTTGTTATTTTATACACACACACAGACCTGAATATATATATACAACCTGATCAGTCCATATGATGTTTCCTATGTGTATATGATTTCAGCTCTGACCACTTGGTATTGGATAACTAATTTGTGAGCTCTTCCCTGGGGAAGACCATTAATCCCGCTCTCAGTATTTCATGGTTGCCTGTAGTTCCTTGTCTGTGCTTGAGGGCCCATGAGATTCCCCGCTTCCATATTAGTATGTATTTCTATGGTGTCCTTGTTCAGTAAGCCTGAAGGTGAGACTTCATAGGTGAAGCTTCTCTTACATCACTGGGAGAAGCAATCTCACACTCGACTTCTTCCTGTTCGCCAATTCTTGCAGTCTTTCTGGCCCCTCTCTTTGGCTAAGACCCCGGGCCTTAGATGCAGGAGTTGCGTTGTAGGTGTAGCAGCTGCAGCTAGCACCACATGGTCACTTGTTCTCTTCAGTTTGATTGATTATGGTTTTCCGTGATGATTTCTCCAGGTGTTGCAAGCAGACATTTCTTTGGTAAACGAGACCTATACTTGTTTGTGGGTATAAGGATAGATATTTAGAATGTAGTTGGGGATTATGCTGGTTTAGTAAAGTGGCAGTTGTAGATTCTCCTCCAAGATCAGTGAATTCTCTTGCCCCATGTAGCTGACTAGGTTTCTAGTACCGGGCATGGTTTCTCCTTTGACGTCAGCCTGGTGGAACTGATGTTAAACCTCTTGCTGTTAAAAAGAAGAAGAAAAAAAAAAGGAAGAAGAGGAGGAGGAGAAAAAGAAAGAGAGAAAGAAAGAAGGAAAGAGGGCTGTAGAGATGGCTCAGAGATTAAAAGCACTGGCTGCTCTTCCAGAGGACCTGGGCTCAGTTCCCAGCAACCACATGGTACCTCACAACTGTCTATAACTCCAATTTCAGGGGCTCCAACACCCTCACACAGACATATACGTAGGCAAAAAACCCAAACAAACAAACAAACAAAAAGAACAAAAACAACCTAATGTACATAAAATAAAAATAAACCATTTTTAAAAGTTTAAAAAAAAAACAAAATCTGAAAGAAAAACTTTGGGGATTAGAGGTATGTCTTACTTAGCAGTTGGGAATACTTGCTTTTTCAGATGTCTTTGGCTCAGTTCCCAGAACCCATCCACTTGGTGGCTCACTAGCATCCATAACTCTAATTCCAGGCAATTCAATACTTTCTTCTGGCCTCCTCAGACACCACATGTATACAGTACATGGACATACATGTAAAACACACATACACATAAAATAAAAGTAAATCTTTAAAATAAATATACCCCACACATTTCTTATATTTTAAGTCACCAAGTTTGTGGTAATTTATTATGACAGTCACAGGAAAATAAACCTCATCCCTAAATGAAGTCAGTAAAGCAGGGGTGGAGGTACATGACTAGAATACCAACACTTGGGAGGTAGAGTCAGGAGGATCAAAGGTTCAAGACCAGCTACAGCTATGCAGTCGTTTGAATGAGAATGACCCCTATAGAATCATGTATTTGAGTACTTGGTCCCCAGCTGGTGGAATTGTTTGGAAGGGATTAGGAAGTATAGCCTTGGTGGAGGTGTCACTGGGGTGGCCATTGAGGTTACAAAAGACTCAGGCCACGCCCAGTTAGCTCTCTCTGCCTCCTGCTTGTGGACAGGGATGTAAGATCTCAGCCACTGCTCCAGCACCATGCATGCCTGCCTGCTGCCATCTACCTACCATGATGGTCCTGGTGGTGTCCTCTGAAAATGTAAGCCCCCAATACATTATTACTTCTAAAAGTTGCCTTGGGCATGCTGTTTTGTCACACCAATAGAAAAGTAACAGGATACAATAGAAAGACAGGATACATGAGACCATCTGAAAAACAAAGATAAAAATTGAACTCATTAAACAACAATGTGTTTCTGCTTCAACTTGTGATGACAAAATGAGATTCTCAAGTAGGTCTCTGAACACCCTTATACTATATCATTGTTGTACTTAGCTTGAAGCTGCTGCCCTGAAAACTGACTGCTGATTACTCTTTGCTCATGTTCGGCTGAATGGAGTTTCCAGGAGATGAGGCAGAAGGATATCATGACGCATGATCATCCCAGCAGCATAGAAAGCTCTCAGCTTGAACTTCTTTTACTTATTTCATGTCTAAATGAATCTACAGTCTACCAGTCTTAATTCCCAACTCCACCTTTGCACTGAAAAACCACTCTTACTTATTCCTAGAGGGTTAAAAATGACCACTTTTTTTTTTTTTTAAACTGGAAATGTATTTACTAAACACTCGGGGCTGCCCTGGAAACTCTGTATATCACTCTGTATAACAAGAAATCTGGGACTTAAAAGCAGGTTTGTCTAATTCAAATGATTCAATAAGGATTCTGGGTCACTTGAGAACTTTAAACATCAGGAGTCTTCCTCAGTACCTTCTTTTCCTTTCTGTTCAACAGAAAGGACACTGTTTGGGCAGAAGTGCTGGGAATTGGGTTGCTCCCTTTTTATTCTTCTGCAATGCACTATTGGTGGCAGGTGTGAGTGTGAGTGTGAGTGTGAGTGTGAGTGTGTGTGTGTGTGTGTGTGTGTGTGTGTGTGTGTGTGTGTAGTGTTTCAGATCATTAGAAAGAGTAGTAACTGAAGATGGACGAAAGGGAATTTATTTTCCTTCTTGAATCTTCTTAGTTTTAGGTCTCCTGGATATAGTTTGTCAAGCCAGGAAAGACTTTACATCTCGGCTTTCGTATCTGCAAAGCAAATGTTCTTGATACAAAACAACTTGAAACCAGTAGTTTGAAAAGCATGTTTTCCTAGGTGTTGGGAAAATTATCTGGTCACAATAGTGACAATTATCTAAGAACTCCAGTCCCCAGTTTATTCAAGATGCATTCCTCAGGGCTGGGGAGATGGCTCAAGATCCTGAATTCAATTTCCAGGAACAACATGGCTCACAAACATTTATAATCAGTTGTGGTGCCCTCTTCTGGTGTGCAGGCATACATACAGGCAGAATACACAATAAAATCTTTTTTAAAAATGTATTCCTTCTGTTTATCAACAGTGGTAGTTCTGGCACACACAGCCCAAATGCTCAGCAGACACAGTGTCAGGACTGGTGAAGAAAAAGGCTAGTCTCTTGAACCCTCATATCTCTACATCACCCTCAGTTCTTCCAGAGATGTCTGGAATGGAATAAAGTGTCCATTTACCAAGATCAATGGTCCTGGCCATTACCTAACTCTGGGTGAGTTTCCTTGCATTTATTCTTTCACTCAGTAAGCTACTTCGGGGGTACCTATGTTGTTCAAATCCTAGCTCTGCCATATTCTGGCTAATAGACTTTGGTTAAACTTACTCAAGCCTCACAACCATTCTGTGCAAACCAGAGATAATATTGCCTTCTCTGGTATATGAAAAAGGGGTGAAGTGATACGCATAAAGATTCATCCATGGCCTTACATCAACTTTAGTAATCAGCTATTGAGCAGTTAATTACTACATTCCAAACACAACAACCTCTTTATGATAAAATTAAAACAAAACAAAACAAAACTGCCCTTTAGTGACTGCTTCACTTGGGCCAAATATGCATCTTTTATTCTCTCGTGTCATTCTACTACCTTAAAAGACATGAGTTATTTTCATTGTCCTATAAATGGCAAAACAGTTCAACAAGATAAAGCTCAAGGTTACCCATCCAGTAAAAAGCAGAACTGGATTTGAACACTGGCTGTTCTGCATCCAAAGCCCATCTACTCTCATTCTGCTACACCACCTTACTGATAGCTGAGAGAATAAAACATGTGTCCCATTCATAAGCTACAGAAAGAAACCATGTATTAATGATCCAATTAACATCAATGAGCACTCAATGCAGTAGACACCACTCTCGTTTACCTTATAACTGTTAGACACTATGACGAACCTAAAGAATCAAAAGCTTAAGATTCTTTGTATAACTATAATCTTTGTGTGCGTATGACTAACGTACTGAAGTCATTCCAGAGAGCTAGCTATGTACTGATGAGTGACAACAGTAGTTTATGAGAATCCTAAATGACATGATGTGTAGGCTAGAACCAAACTGGGAAAGAAGACAGAAAAGGGGGAAGATAAAACAGGCAGAGAAAACAGCACATACAAAGGAACACTCTCTTTACTGTCTTTTGTCCTTCAGCTACTAGGTTTAAAGATGATCTTAGAGCAGACATGGATATAGATGACGCTTTGCTCCTCTCTGCTCTCTCCTTTATTTCTTCAAGTCCCTTTGCCCACCTCTATCACTCATCACAATCCTCATTTGCCACCTCTCCATCTCCACTGCCATTATCACTTAGGCTCTTCTCAGCTCTTGAGATCGCTTTCAAGGTGCTTGCACTAACTCTGATCCAAACACAATTGCACAGTTTCCTTAAATATTGTTCTGATCACTTACTTGGCCTCTGTACTCAAGTCTCCCACTACTCTGAGTATCCTGACCCCTACATCCAACCAGTTACTGTTCTTAGCAAAATCTCAGCCTGCAGTGACTCAGAATCGCTCCTGGAGCGCTTATTGAAAATATCATCCTGAACTCAGACCTGAAGTATCTTATTGGGACGGTTTGGGGTCACAATCATTTTGGGGTTTTTACTGTTTTACTTCTTTATGCTGGGTGGTGATGTCTGTATTAACAGGTCTCTCTTTGTGTTTATAAAGCTCACGGAATTCTGAGAAACACCTCCATGGTCTCTATCTCTCTCGGGTCCCTCCCTGCCTCCCTCTCTCCAGGGTCTCTCTCGATAGTCCTGGCTGTCCCGGACCTCTCTATGTATACCAGGCTGGCCTCAAACTCACAAGATACCCTCCTGCTTCTTCCTCAGCAGTACTGGGATTATAGGCGTGCGCCACCACGTCCGGGCAATCTCCTAATTTTTAAGGCTTTTAAAGACCTAGATGAACTGACACCTCTCCTAGGAAATCGTCCGTGCTGGTCTTGCCAACTTGATATTTATTTAGCTGCGCTGTTCTCGGGGCACCTTATTTAAAATGCCCAAGACTAGGGTTTGATTACCGACACCGAGGTAGCGGCTCACAACCGCCTGTAACTCCAGTCCCAGGCTATCTGACATCTGTTTCTGACCTCTGAGGCCTCTGCACGGACATAATGCACAGACATACATGCAGGCAAAATACAGATGTATAATCATAAATTAATCTCTTTAAAAAAAATCTGTCTTTTAAAATGTTCAAAGACAGGGTCTCTCCTCTCTCCCCACTCTCTATTGAGGCAAATCACAATGCCTAACAGTCTTCCCGGGTCCCATGAACAGACAACTATGGGATGGATAAAAACAGCATCGCTTTCTGTACAGAAAACTACAGGCCTGACTCGCAGAACACAGACCCGGACGCCTACAAGAACCGGAGAAGCAGATTACATATTACCCCAGTTCCACCCCCGGCTTTCATTTCGCCCTCCAATTGGCTGCTCTTCACGCCAGCCCCGCCTTATGGTTGCCCTCGTGACGCCCAGGCTGCCGCGGGATTGGCTGGCTGGCGCGCGGGGCTGTGGGATGCAGACCCGCAGAGGCGAGGGCAGAGGGCGCGGGAAGCCTGCGTGTCCCGGACGCAGTGTCTCAGGGCTGGGTTTGGTTGTGCCCTGCAACCCGGAGCGCGTCCTGATTGTCCAGGTCCGAGACTGAGGAATGAGGAGTCCAGGCCGGGTGCCGATTCAAGCCCCGACTCCGGCCTCAGTCCCGTTTCCACACCAAGAATGGCTTCAGTCTCCCGAAGTTGGTGGGGTTTGGACTTTATCTCTTTTTGCTTTGGGAACCTACTGTGTGTAAGTCTTCGCTGGTCTGCAAAGGAATCTAAGGCGAGCGCCGTGAGTTAGAGGATGGGGCGATGAGAGCTTGGAGATGCCTGAGGTATGGTCCTTACCCGCGTGACAGGTTGGAGGTAAGATGGCATTATAAACTGTGCTGATGCTTTTCTAATGGAGGACCGTAGGGCTCAGTGGGGAGGGCTGCTTACTGAGGTCATTTACCGAGCACCTATGTTCCAGGCTGGTTACACTGTCCCCGTTCTTCAGGAGCTCAGTGGGATGGGGCTGGCGGGAGAGACGGGGCAAACTGGTGAGCTGGTGGTGCATAGTTGACATGTGCTAATTGCTGCGCTGGAAGGGAACGCTGTGGAGGTCAGAGGAGACCGGCTACGGTAGTTCAGGGCATTTAACAGGGAAAGTGACATTTGAGTAGCTCCAGAAGTATACCCACACTTCCTCTCGTTGAGACAAATGAGGAAAGAAGCTTCAGGTGAAGTGTACAGAGGAAGAGAACCAGGAAAATAACTGCTGGGCGTGGCGGGAGTTTGGGTTCAGTTATCGCGACTATCTGGCTCTTCAAGTGGAATTAGATCCACAAACTTTGCTTCCGTAATTCAGAGGAAGGGTAGAGCCTTGCTTTGCGATTAATTGGAATAAGGCCTCATGCAAAAAGTGGCGGCGTGGAGGGTCACAAACTGGAGAGGCAGAACTGAATGAATTGCAGGGCTTCTAAGTTTGAGAACTTAGAAATACGTGGTCTGTAAAATTCGTTAGGGTTATGTTATTAATTAGATACGAATTCATTTGGGTTTATTTTTGGACTTTTTAAATTTTAAGACAGGGTCTGTATAGCCTGCTGGCCTCAGGATCCTTCTGCCTCAGCCTCCCAGAGCAGTAGGATTACAAATGAATATCCACCTGGCTTTATTTTTGTTATTGTTGTCTTTCTGGGAATTTACCTAGGGCTTCACTCATTGGTTTTGAAATCCCTTGAATGCCAAGTGATTTGGAATTATTTCCGGGGCCATGGGGAATAATTGGATGTTTGTAGTGTCTCAATCACACTTTTATAAGTTTAAGGTCAGTGTGTACATGTGGTGGAGCCCAGGGAAACCAGAGGCAGGAGACCGACTGAATCACATTTTTGTCAAACAGATGAGCTGTAAAGTCAATTATTGGTTTGCTGAAAGAGCAGTCAGTGCTATTAACTGCGTGCTAGGCTTCTAACTCTTTGGTTCAAGTAGCCTCCTGTCTTATGCCCTGGAGTAGCTGGGGCTTCGAGCACAAGTCACTGTGCCAGACATTATAACTATATTTTTAAAATCTTCGGTGGTAGTTGAATTCTATGTTAAATGATGTATAATTTTGTAGAAAATCTTTTCTATAGCTACCACTTTAAATTAATGTCTTTTAACAGACATCCCTAAGATTTTTGTTAAAATAAATGGAGATTGGACTTATTTAAATAACAAAATTTTTGTTGTTTTGAGACAGTCATGCTCTGTATGTACCTTTGAGTTTTGTCCTGGAACTCTCTATGTAGACCTCAAATTTAGAGATCCCACAGCCTCTGCCTGTCAAGTGCTGAGATTAAAATTGTGCATCACCGTGCCTGGCTCTAAAAATTTTTTTGAGTGATAAATGTTTTGCTACCCTGTTGTGAAAACAAAAGTCCCTTACCCACAAAATTTGTTTTAACTTTTTGTATAGCAGTTAACTTACCACATAGTGGAAAGTATTTATTGCAAAATCAAAATTAAAACATCTAAAAAAAAAAAAAAAAAAGCAGCTTTTCTTGTTATGTAAGCCTAAATTTTTTTGGATATGAAAATAGGTAATATGTAGGTTATCCAGGGAGGTGAAATAGGATGATGCAATGATGAGTGAAGTATAGTCTGACCTGGTATTGCCATTGCTTTGGCTCTGGCTTTGACCAGGGCATGATCCCTTAATCTTCTCTCTGAGCTGATTCTGCTTATCTTACCACACAGGTGTATTTGAACCTATGTGGATAAGGGCTTATTATGTGTAACAGTATTTCTTTTGTATCCTTTGAATTACTGATACTTTTGTGTTTTCCTTCTTAGGTCCAGGTGAGAAGTCAGGGTTGAAAACTTCATGGAGGATTCATCATTTCTGCCCTGAATTGGAATCAATTCCTTATTGACTTATTACTGTATTAAAAGTGTTTTAATTAACTATGACATTTGTTTGGGTAAGACTTTTGTTTTGGTAAGGTTTTGTAAGTGTTTGTAAATGATTGTATTCTCTTCTCCTGGTATACATAAGCTTTAATATTTTTAACTCCACAGGATGGATTATCCACTTTAAAACTTAGTACTACGTTATATCATCTTTATGGTGTCAGAGAATGCACTCTCAGTTGCCAGCATGAATCACAATATTACATCAGGCACTTATACATTATTTTTATCCATCCTTCATTAATGATTTTTCAGAAGCTGTTTCTTCACCAGCTTGTCCATCCACTGTCATAAATTTTCTTAAACAAGCAACTGAACTGTTGTGTTTCTGGTAAATGCTATTTCATATAAAAGGGGGTATTCTTGTTAAAACAGTATTTTTGTCCTAATTATTGGATTTGTCTTTTTAAAAAGCAAAACTTTAATCAATACAGAAATACTTCAAGAAGTCAAAGGTGATCTGAATGAAATTTATTTAAACCCCTGAAGTAATCTTTTGAGTTTCCACATAATCATGACAGCATGGAACATTCTTTCTCAGAATCATGTACTGTTAAAATTTACTTAAATGTTTCATAGAAACTTTCATAATACCTAGGATGATTCATGTCAATTGAGCAAACTACCAACTGAGAAAACTCAGAAGAGCAAGCAGAAAGCTCTTGCTCCTATTTAAATATTCATTAGATAGGCATTAGAGAAATACTAGATAAGTGATTTACTGCATCTCACCATTGCTTGCTAGCTTTCATTCGTATTGAAATTTCCAGACTCCTCCTTTTAAACAAACCTTACTTTTCTTTAACCTGTTTCCAAGATGGGCATAGTTCATGAAGGAATCTTCAAAGGCTGATAAGCTGTAGTAGATGTTAATATGGTCATGGTATATAGAAGGGGCTTTTCTCTAAAGTGTTCCTAAGTATTTCTGTAAAGAGGAAGTCCGTGTTTCATATTGTATGCAGTCTGATAAAACCTGTACTTCACAGAGAAATGTTTTCTAAAGAGAAGGCCTGCTTCCCAAGGCACTTGCTTTCTAAGGTCTAACCAGGGTTCTCCTGTATGATTTTATCCCTCTTAATTGGTCTCTCACTTTTGTTTTGCTTTTTTGACAGTCTCCCTATGGTAGCCTAAGCTGGCCTTGAGTTCAAAATCCTGTCTCTATCTCCTGATTCCTATTATACTATCTTATCCAACCGAGAGCCTTGCTCTTAAGGAGGTGGTCTTCTTTAGTCCACCTCTGCATTGGCCCTCACACCACCTGTAATCCTGAATCCCCTGCTTAATGAGGTTGGTAGAGAGCAAACCAAGAGATTAGGATCAAGTGGTATACCCTTTTAAAAGGAATCCATATAGTTACTGAAAGTTAATGTAGTTATGAATTAGGGAAGTAGCAGTAACAGTAACAGTCTTGTGGACTTACAGTACAGAACTTGAGCTGTGAGATATGTACTAATTTCCTTCAATTTTCTGGAGAATAGAGTTTGATTAGATGCTGGACTTCCGTTGGATACCCTGTAATGGGACAGGCTTGATGACTCCTCACATAATTAAACACACAGCGGTAACAGAACACATAGCCGGAGGTGGCAAGAACCGTATCGTTCACCCGAGTTTTACGACACAGTGGGCACACTGTCTTCATTTTGGGTAACAGGGGAGAATCAGAGTTGTAGTCTAGGTGTATAGGTGGCGGTGGGGTAGGCAGGGCAGTCAGTGATTTGATGGTTTCTTGGTTCTCTGAAGAATACCACCAGTCAAGGAACTGCAGGAAGAACACACCCACCGAGAGGCCAGTAGAGAGGGACAAGGCAACACCCCCCACAGCTTTCTTCAGAGCTGACTTTATCTTCTCTCCAATGCTGTTGGGAAAAGAGAACAAGGGGCAAAGGAAATAGTTTGGTCTTAGGGTAACTTCTATAAGTGCAGTTTCACATATGATGGGCTGCTGGACTGGAGGTCTGTTGTGAGAAGGTCACTCATCTAACTCCCCATCCTACGTGTACGGCCAAACTCTGGTGTTTTGGTCCTTAAAGAACTTGATGTTTGTGTCTGCTGTCTGTATGTGTACCACATGTATGCAGGTACCATATGGGCCAGAAGACCTGGGGTTACAGGCAGTTGTGAACTGCCAAATATGGGTGCTGGGACTCGGTCTCTGGTCCTCTGGGAAGAATAGTACATGCCATTCACATAACCACTGTGCTGTGTCTCCAGATCCCCGAAACTGTTGAACCACAAAAAGTTACGTTTTGATTTGAGAAAGGTATTTGGGAATTTTTTAAGTGGAAGATAATCCATCCAGAAAAAGAAGTAGTTCCCTTAAAAAGTAACTTAGCAGCGTCAAAAAAATGTCTCGGCAGCACTGAGACACAGACTTGTTTGAACCTGTGAGTGAATGAGCACTAGCTAGAGGCGATGTGGCACCCTGATGAGAAGTCTAGCATTGTGTTGCTCTGCCTTGAACCTAGGCTCTGCCGTCTTCTGGCTGTTGTTTTCCCAGCTGTTAAATGAAGCCATTGCATTTAATCCATTAGGTTGTGATAAGGCAAAAGATAATGTACACAAAGCAAATGCCTCCCATGGGGCCCTACATACAGCAAGCATGCTCAAAGGTTTGGCTGTTGTGATGAGAAAGGTTACCAGGATGGTGGCCTTTGTCTTGTGGATATGAGGAATAATTTTTCTATGATTTAATAAATAACTGGGATAAACCAGATGATTAATGTACAGTTTTACGTTTTGTCAATGAAACGGTTTTAGAAAACTTTAAGGGCTTACCTTCTGGGCTCCTGCATCTCACTGGCTTCAGCCAGTCTGTGTTCGATAGCTTGTAGGTCCTGAGCTGTCAGTCGACCTAGCCGAACTCCAGCCAGTTTCAGCAGGGGAGAGTGATGCTCAGCTTTCCCCAGAATGTAGCGAAGTTGCTGTGTAAGAAACCAGCCTTCCCAGGCCATGTTAACAAACGGGTAGGCCGCCAGGAAGGCTTTGTAGAATCGTTTCCAGTGAGAAGAAGGGGGGTGAATAGAATATTCATCCTCTTCTCTCAAACTAGAAGCCAACTTCTCCAGCTTCACTTTTAGATAGGGAAGAAGAACGAGGAACACAGCAGATTTCCAGAGGTGCTCCTTGGGAAGACCAGCAGTGGCTGGTCTCTGAAGCTGCTTCGAGCCCCCTACTACAATCCGCTTTAAGCCATAAAAGTGTTCAGAAAATGAGGCACTAGTTCTAGAAAGATAATGCTGCTGGAGCAGAAAGTCTAACAGAGTGAAGATTTCATCAAACCACCTCCAAAAGAAGCCATAGTGTGCAGGATTTGATTCTGCAAGAACCTGAAGCAAAAACAAATTCATTTTGTAAGTCTTCAGTTTATATTCATATTACCCCTGTCCTTCTAAATTCAACACATCTGGCTTCAATAACTCGCTTCTGGGATATAGTCTAGCTCCCTGAGGTCCGAGGAATTAAGAGCAGGGCTCTTTGGATATCCAGTAAATCATGGATGTGAGTGACACAAGTCGATCAATGCAAACTTTGGGTTACTAGTAACATGTTTGGAGTTTTATCCAGTCGTCCCTGAATCCTTTTGGAGAAATACCTTACCTTGACCACGTGCTGAAGAGCGGGTCTCACTGCTGTCATTAAACTGTCCTGTGCTACCACCTCAAAGATGGATGGCTGGTCGTCCGCCACCGCCACCGAAGCAGTTGTGATGTGAGCCCCGTGCTCAGCCATAGTGTCCTGTGTGCACTGGGATTCGATTGTCCCACAAACACTCTAATGAGCATGAACTTGTTTTGTATCAAACGAGTGCTGAGTCTCAATCCTTCTGTATGGTACCCGAAACAAATTTAATTTCATACGAGTGAAAAATAAACTGGGGTAAATAAGAGTTATACGGAGGCGCGGGGGGTGGGGAAGGAGTCTCAAAAGTTAAGGACTGTTAACTCCGAAGCAGGGGGGTGGTGGCATGTGGGGACTGGGGAATGACTTGTCAAATGCTGCACCTCACAGGGCAGAGCGTGACTCGAAGGAGACAGGCGTGGGCCAAAGAATGTGTCGCTCGAGCTGAAATCCCGGAGCTCCGAGGCCCGGCTCCGGCTGCTGGCTGGGAAGCACGCGTCCTTGCTTGCTGACCTCGGGCGCGGCGCAGGGGACCCGTGACGCCACCTGCGAAGGGAGGCCTGGGCTTTGTGACAGCCGCTGCACCCGGAAACAGAAGCTCCGGGGACCTCCGCACAGCGGGCGGAAGACAGGCGCTCTAGCGTCGAATGCGGCCCCAAGCCGGAACTCGGGAACTCTATGACCAACAGGGACTTCCGCTTCCGCCCCTCCGACTTTAATCCGGCGACGGGCTACTGTGGTGGGTGGATTGCGTTCCTGGTTAGCTCTGCGCGAAGCTTCGGTGGAGGGCCATACTCAAGCCTCTGTGCCGAGCTGGGGCCCCTGCCTGACACCTGTTCCCACGGGAGATCGAGCTGGGAAGAAAAGATGGGCAGGTTCTTTCTGCGCAGGCCCGGCGCAGGTGGTGCTTAGCTCAAATTCGGCCCGAGAAGTTGAAGAGACCGAAGCTTCAGCTTTCATTATATAGTCAGTTATCAGAAAGCTTTACTGAAAGGAAAAAGATTATCCTAGTCCACCAGAATTTAGGATGATTACTTTCCATACAGGCTGGTAGCTAATTTGTCTACGAGATGTAAAGTTAAGTTATAACTCTAGGCACATTCTGCTAGATGAAATGGATTGCTGCCGTTCGGCTCAGTAGCTATGTCGTATTAACGATGCGGATACAGTGCAGGGATCCTGATCCTCGAGGTACTTTTCGGTTTGTATACCAAAGTGGTTTGCAAAGTCCAGATTGTATACTTAATTTGGTTTGAGTTTCAGATAGAGATAACGGAATTTGAATTAGTTCACCTCCTTGGTAATTCCAATTCCTTAGTTAAAATTGCTAGAAATATACCAGGTATTGTTCACTTCTTAAAGGACCTTAGAATGTAAAAGTAGACAATTGTTTTGTATAATTAGAACCTTTAAAAGGGATTGGGTTTAGTTTCAATTTTAGAAGTTATCTTTATAGCTCCAAAATATGATTTATATTTTACTAAAATAGCTGTCAGAAAGTGCAGTTGTTGAATTTCTAAAAAGTATTGAGTTTAAAAAAAAAAAAGACAATGTTTTATTCTTGTGTACCAATCCTTGGCTGGCCTCCAAGTTGGCTTTCATGCCCAATCTTAAATTTTAAGGACTAGAGATCTACATAAAGCATCTGGTAATTGTCACATGCTGACCATGTCAGTTTTTTTTTTTTTTTTAAAGGATTTTAGGTGTATGAGTGTTTTGCCTGCATGTGTGTATGTATGCCACATGCATGTCTGCTCTCTGCAGAGGTTAAAAAACAAAAACCCCAAAACTCCTGATCCCTTGAAACTGGAGTTACAGACACTTGTGGGCCACCATAGGTGTTCTGGGAACCAAGCTCAGATCCTCTGCCAGAGCAACCAGCACTGTTAACCACTGAGCCATCTTTCTAGCTCTGGTTATGTTTTTCTTAAGTGAATAGCAAAAATACAAAGCTAACAAATAGCTAAAACAAGTGGAAAATTAAACATTTGTATTAACCGTCGTTCTTCAGTTGCAAGGAACAGAAACAGGCTATTTTAAAATAAAAGGGATTCAAACTATATGGAGAGGTAGGGGCTGGAGAGATGACTGGGCAGTTAAGTAACTCCAGCTCCAAGGATACAGTTCTCAGCCTGGCCTCCACAGGCACTTGCACATACATGTATGGACACTACATATATATATATGTATATATATATATATATATATATATATATATATATATATATCCCTATGAGAGTTCTCTAGCAGGAATTAGGAATTTTTTATCCAAGTAGCCTTGTTAAAAATGAATGTCAAGTTGTCATTGTGCCCATGAATCAAATACTGACTGACAGGTAGGAAATGTTGGCATACACATGTAATCCTAACACCTGAGACATTGGGCTATATGTGAGGCCTTATCTTGAAAAGGGTAAAAGAGGAGGGGGGGGGGAGAAAAAAGATCTACTTGAGCAATTTTGGTTCAGTCTTAGGCAGAGGGGCAAGATCCATGAGATTACGCTTTAAAAAGGAAACTGTACTTGATATACAAGAAAAGGAGAAGAGTTAAATAATATGTCATGATTGGGATATAACTTAGTAATAGATTATTTGCCCAACGTGTGAAGCCCTAGGATCCATCCCTGGTTTTGGAAAGAAAAATAGTATCAATTTTCGTTTGGTAATGTGCCAGGTTTTAGTCACCAAATAATACATCAAAAACCCCACTCTCAAATGTGTAGTTTAATAGACATAGGTGTTTGACCTTTCTATTGATGGCATTAAAGGCTAAGACTGATCATCAGGTTTGGAGATCTTAAATATATAGTAAACACAAGTTACATAGGAAATTATATAAGAAATGCTCAGTAAATAACTAACTTGATTGTAATTGGTTTAAGTTGCTTATGTGTTTTGTGTCTTTGAGACAGGGTTTCTCTGTGTAACCCTGGCTGTTTTTTTTTTTTAATTTTTATTAATTACAGTTTATTCACTTTGTATTCCACCTGTAGCTCCCTCCCTCTTCCCATCCCAATCTCACCCTCACTCCCTCTTCTCCACCTATGCTCCTCTCCAAGTCCACTGATAGGGGAGGTCCTCCTCCCCTTCCTTCTGATTCTGGTCCATCAGGTCTCATCAGAACTGGCTGCATTGTCCTCCTCTGTGGCCTGACAAAGCTGCTCCCCCCTGAGGGGGAGGTGATCAAAGAGCAGGCCAATCAGTTCATGTCAGAAACAGTCCCTGTTCCCATTTCTAGGCAACTCACGTAGACACTGAACTGCCATGGGCTACGTCTGTGCAGAGGTCCTAGGTTATCTCCATGAATGGTCCTTGGTTGGAGTATCAGTCTCAGAAAAGACCTCTATGCCCAGATTTTTTTGGTTCTGTTGCTCTCCTTGTGGAGTTCCTGTCCTCTCTAGGTCTTATTATCTCCCACTTCTTTCATATGGTTCCCTGTACTCTGCCCAAAGTTTGGCTCTAAGTCTCAGCATCTGCTTTGATACCCTGCAGGGTTCTTTCAGAGGCCCTGTGTGCTAGGCTCCTGTCCTGTTCCCTGTTTTCTCTCTCTTCTGATGTCCATACTCTTTGCCTTTTTAATGAGGATTGAGCATCTTACCCAGAGTCCTCCTTCTTGATTAGTTTCTTTAGGTGTACAGATTTTGGTATGTTTATTCTATAGTATATGTCTAATATCTACTTATGAGTGAGTATATATCCTGTGTGTCTTTCTGCTTCTGGGATACCTCACTCACCCTGGCTGTTCTTGAACTCACTTTGTACACCAGGCTGTTCTAACTTAACAGAGATCCACCTACCTCTGCCACCTGAGTGCTGAGATTAAAGACATGTGCCACCACACCCGGAGGCCGCGAGTTTCTTTGTTTTGTTTAAGTTTCAAATCTGGGGCCTGGCGACATGGTCCACTGGTTAAGGGCACTGGCTGCTCTTCCAAAGGTTTTGGGTTCAATTCCCAAGACCTACCTGGCAGCATACAACTGTATGTAACTCCAGCTCCAGGGGATCCAACACCCTCTCACAGGCATACATGCAGGCAAAACACCAACGCACACACAAAAATAAAATGAAAAAGAAAAAATTGGATCTCTATCAATTCCCGAGATATGGTAGCCGTTGGTAAATATTTGTTCAATAGTAGAGTGAGAGAAGCCTGTGCAGAGGAACCTCTAAGCCTTAGAGTCAAAGGTGTATGGATAAGTTCAAAACACTTCGGAAGTAGAAGCAAGAGGGGCTCCAGTTCCGGGCTAGCTTGAGCTATATAGCCTGATGCTGTTTGTTTTCTCTTCTTTTTGAAGCTGGACATGGTAGCCAAACACCTGTAGTAAGTACCAGTTTAGTTTCCTAAAGAAATTTATATACCTTAGGTGTTTTAGCTACCTTATACCACTTCACGCCCAGCAAGACGCAGGGCGCAGGGGCGCTAATAAGTTTCCCCAGCCATAGTGGATGTAGGTGTTCGAATTCAGATCTGAATGCTTCCTAGCCTCTTTGAGTCGCTGTTTCCTAGTGCCGCTGCCCGTGTATAGTCCTGTTTTTTATCACCCCTTTCAGGCTTTTGAACCTTACAGGCAAATTAGCTGAGGTTTGCGTTTAAGAAAAACAGGATATCTCACACAGGTTTTACAAAATTCTTGTTTACGGAAATAATCCCGAGAATATCCACTTAACACATCTTTTGAGAAAGCCACTGCGGGTCCCTTGCTCTTTCAGCAACTAGCTACCCCGACCCAAAGAAAGGGAAACCTTCCCGTTGCCGAGGCGACAGAGCCACAGCCCGGCTGTTTGGTTCTCCCGCGCACCCGGATGACGACACGCGGCGAGATTCTCTTACGCTAAAGCTTCCGGCCCACCATCTTTGTCCCTGGCAAATTAGGTTTTGCGCAGTGGTTTAGATCTAGAGAGAATCGTGACGGGCAGGGAACCATTACACCACCACCCCGGCTGTGCTCTCCGGCTGCCGCCGCCACCCCGCCCTTGCCTCCGGTGAGTTCAAGGCGGCTGGCTTTGGGGTGTGTCCCTGGCTGACCGGGCTGGTTGTGAGAGGGGAACCCCAAGCCGGGTCGCAAGCTCGGGAGGAAAGGAGATCCGAGGAGCGTGACGGTTGAGGATGGAGGGAGTCCTCGGGTGTGACCGTTGTGAGGGAAAAGCTGGGAGAAAGTACCTCCTCGGTGGTGGGCTGGGGCTGCGCTGGGGTGTAGCAGCCGGTAGGTAGGTAGTCGGGGGCTTTGGAGCGAAGCAAGGTTTCGAAGACCGGCTTGGGGGAGGGCTGAGGCCAGGGGTGTGGCCGCTAGAGGCTGGAGGCCGAGTGAGAGCCACCCGGCTTTCCCGTTTGGCATCTGTTCATGGAGAAGCCCGTATCCAGCACGCCAAGGGAGAAAGGATTCCCCCGAAGGTTTGGTCATTGAAACCTCTCTTTGTCGCCCTTATTTGGGGTTTAGAGGCGTCTATCCTTACTTGCTGAAAACTGAATAGATCTCCAGGGGTTTGACCTAGGGAAGTGGGTAAGGAGAAAAGGGGACTAAATGTACTTCGAGGAAGGAAGGAAAAGCCTGCATAATTGACCCCCTGTGTGAAGGGAGAAGCCAATGACAGAAAATCTTAGCCTGGAATTGGTTGTTGTTGTTGTTGTGATTTTCCCTTTCTTCCCTGGGATTATAAGGAGCGGTCTAGGTTAGGCAAGACTGTAAATTCTACTAGAAGTGAAAAAACTGGAATTTACTGCCGTTTATTCTTTGAATTCACAGGGTATGTTAGCTTTCTAAGCAGCCCTCTATTTAGGGGAAGGCTCTTACTAAACTCAGGCTGTTTAGTTATGAAGCAGTGTGAGTGTGTCATGGATGCTTCGTTATTTTTTTTTTTTTAAGGGAGAGTGTGTTTTAATGCCCAAATGCTTTTGCAACCATTGCGCTTTAAAAGACAGAGAACACACATTAACAGCAGAAAGGCAAGTTGGCTAAGAAAGGTGGTCTCGGCGAGGAACAATTTAAATTATTAATTGCTTTCCTTCTGTAGTTCTACTGCTTAGCCTTAGGGTGCACTTACAAAGTAATAATAGAAAGCGGCAGGTGAGGTTAGGTGCAGCTCACTGGTAACACATTCCAGCGATGACTAAGTGAGGCGGAACATGAGAACTGCTCGCAGGTGTCTCGCAGGGCAAACTCCCTGAGAAATAAAGGCAAACAGGCTCCCTAAGGTAAAACTAATCTAAAGCAACCATTCTGACCAATTACAACTTAAAGACGCTCCCTTGCAGCCTAAAAGATCATTATTTTAATCTTAAGGCACATGTTCGAACCATGGTACACAAGGAGTATTGAGAGGACACTATCCTTTTTCCTCCTAAGGTTGTTTCCCAAAATGTCTTGGCATTTCAGAACAGCTGGGTGTAAAACTGTTGGGCTTCTTTATGGGTAACACTATATTGATGAGTTAACTTGTAGCTCTTTAAATAGAAACCGGAGGTGGATTTACCTTTTAAATGTTTTATTTCTGATAAGATCATTAATCTGAAGCTGCTCTTGTCCTTGTGTTACGAACATTTGGCCAGAAATGGTCTTTACACCTCTCACCCCTGTAAGCAATGGTTCCTGGAAGGAGTCTTCTGCTTTACAGCTTACCGAACTTTGGCTGGTTACTGGCTTTTATGTGCAAAGAAGGGCACAGTGGCCTTGCCAATGCTAATGTTAGCTGCCATTTCCCAGAGAACCGCCTGAAATTAAGACCTTATTAATTTTTTTTTTCTGACCTTAATCTACCCAACCTATTAGTCTTGTTTTGCTGTTGAGTTTCTCTTTTGGGGAACTGGAGGAAGGGAAGGATGGAAGGAGAGAAAGGACTTTGATAACCTATATTTGGCAGAAACTAGGTTATGTTAGTCTAGGTATGTAACCTTGTACAGGGAGGCCTGTGAAAGTCTGTGAAATCACAATGTGGGCCAGGGCAAGCACAAGTGATTATGTGCTTTGCCTGGTGGCTGCTTTGTTCTTTAACAGTGCCTCAGGCCACTCCAAAGTCAGCCAGTGACTTTCCAGGTTTGATGTTGTATAAGGTTGTATGAGTTCAAATTCCATTCTGGCTTGCTTATTTCTAAGGATTTCCTGGAAAACCAACATTTACCCCAGTAGGATTTTGAGTTTTGAAACACTAGGCAAGTTATATTTTCTCCATCTCCATTCTGTCTATTTTTCTGTGGCTTCTAATATAGACATCAGTTTTCACACCCTCTATTTGGAGAATTTGGTTTTGTCTTTCTGGAGGTGTGTCTATCTATTTGGGTGTATTTTATTAAAAAATATGTATATATAATTATTTTGAGTTGAAAGTAACAGTGACATTAAGGGTCTGTCACTACCATCTCTTCTCATGTTTAAATACTTAATATAAGTGTTTAAATCGAGTCCACCCCCTATTCCTTTCTTTCTGCTTTTTTGCTTTTGTTTAGAGTATATTCATTTTTCCTTGCAGTTTTTTCCTTTAAGGCAAGGATAGACTTGATACCATGTTTCTTTACCTGTATGATGGCGATTATTTCATCATAGTTGTTTACCATGATGTCAGTTAAGTGAGTGATGTATGTACCTGCTTAGTTTTCTTCTTCCTCTCCTCCCCCTTTTGATGATGGAGAGGTCTTATGTCTGCTAGGTGAGCAATCTACCACTGAGCTTTATCCCTGCACTAAAATGGCACTGAGGTTGAGCACAGGGTTTCCTATATACTCAGCAAGCCCTCTACCACTGAGCCCTTTTTGATTTATTTTATTTTGTGTCTGGGTATTTTGACTGCATCTAAGTATGTATACCACTTGTGTATTCAGTGCCCTCAATGGCCAGAAGAGAGCATTTGAGCCCCTGGAACTGGAGTCATAGATGGTTATGAGTTCGAGGAAGGGAACCCTGATCTTCTGGAAGAACAGCCAGAGCTCTTAACTGCTGAGCCATCTCCAGCCTTATTTTATTTTTTATACAATCTCATTAAAGTTTCCAGACCTACCTTAGCCTCCCAAGTAGCTGGTTCTATCTCTTTACCACTTTTTGTTAGAGCAGAGATTCTTGGTTTAGGATCGATGTTGCAGGCTTCTTTTTATTGTTATTATTTTATGTGTATGGGTGTTATATCAGTATATACCCCCGTGTGTGCTTTGTGCCCAAGGAGGCCAGAAGAGGGTATCTGGTCTCCTGGAACTAGAGCTATAGACAGTGATGAGTCTCCATGGTGGGTTCTGGGAACTGAATCATACAAATCATGAAATGTATAGGCTGCCTTAAGGTGGCTGAAGAGATTATGTTGAGAATTCCTGTTAGAATTTCATGTTATTTGGGTATGGCGGCACATGTACTTGCAGCACTAACAAAGCAGAAATAGGAGGGTCACAGGAGTAAGAAGCCAGCCGGTCTTTATAGCAGGTTTCAAGCCTGCCAGGACTAGACAGTGAAGACCCTATCTCAAGAAAAGAGATAAACAAACAAACAAAAAACAACGATTTTATATGCATGTACAGGTAGTTATGAGAGCTTTAGAGAACAGAATGCTGTTGTGCACTTTTCTCAAGTAACTGAGTGAAAAACCCAAAAGACCAAGCCGGCCTTGAATTCAAAGATCCACCTCTCTGTTTATGTGAAGAATTTGTAGCCAGGTTGTGGGGCACACATCTGTGCTCCCAGCACCTGGGAAGTAGAGACAGGTGGAGAAGGATTAAAAGTCAAGTTCAGCTACACAGTAAGTTTGAGACCATCTTGGGCCACGTAAAACCTGTCTTAAGAAACCAAAACAAACTCTGCGTGGTGTGTTTGTAAACCCAGTGCTCTGGGCAGAGGCAGGAGGAGAGGACAAATCAAAGGCCAACCACTTTATGTAAAGAATTCCAAGCTATCCAGGGCTGTACGGGGAGATGCTGTTTCAAAAAACACAGGTATCTCAGTGGTTAAGAGCACTTGCTCCTCTTGCAGAGGACCCAGTTTTAATTCCTGGCACTGGAAACCATCTGGAACTCTAGCTTCGGGGATTCAACTCCTTCTCCTGGCCTTCTTGGGCCAGGCGAGGGGTACACATGTACTTACATACATATAAGAAAATAATAAAAAAAAATAAAAACAAAAAAATTCCCTCGCTTTTCTACTTTTTATTTAATTTATTCTGTGAGTGGGTTGATTATAGCCTTCTCTGATTTTTTTTCTTTTTGCTAGAAAGACATGAAAACATTAATGCAAACCTCTACGTGACAAATGCCAAAAACAATTTCTGTATTCTACATGGTGTTCATGGTTCCTAGTTCTTTCATTTCTTTACTTTTGTTTTTGAAACAGGGTCTTATGTACTCCGGACTCATCTCGAAGTCTCTGTGTAGCTATGTTGAGGAAGATCTTGAACTCTTGGTCTTTCTGCCTCTCCCCCAGGTGCTGGGAGTACGGCAGGGTTCTTATTTTTCCTGAGAGCAGTACCTAATAGGTTGGCAGAACTGTTTTCACCTTTGAGCTTGGCTGCATTGAAACACATGTTTTGAGTGACTCCACGCTGAGGCAGGGAAGTCACGAGATTTTCCTGATTAGAAAGTTACCAAGAAGCCGGGCACGGTGGCGCCACCCCTGCCCAGCCAAGGTGCAGTTCTTATTTCCTGTGCTGCTTGAACTACAAATGCTGGTGGTAATAGGAAGAAAGTACTCATTTTGTTAAAAATCAGAAATTCTCCAGTATCCATGTTCTTAAAATTAGTCACATGCCTTGTTGGAGACATGTAATTTGGCGTAACAGTATTCTTTACTCTTACTGTAGGTACACGCTGAAGATCCAGAATCATGACTGACTCCAAGTACTTCACAACCAATAAGAAGGGTAAGTAGGAGAGCCTTGTCAAATCTTCAGATTGTTCAGTTCAGTTGCTGGGTTGGCCCCCCCAAGGAGAAAGTTCTGACTCTTTAGTACATGCATTTGCAGTCTCATTGGGAGTCTGAAGCTTCTGCAAATAGTGATATTTGAATAAGTTATTAAAGTGTAGGGGATTTTGTGTGCTTGCTTTCCAAGCCTGGGGATCTAATCTAGGGCCTTCCACAAACTAGAGGGTGTTCCGCCATTGAGCTACACCTCTGGTCTTTATTTCTTGAATTGCCTTTGTGGTCAGTAATCTAATACTGGGTTTTACCCCTGCATGTGGGCCTATTAACTAAGACTTCTTCTTCTTCTTCTTCTTGGAAAATCTAACTTCCCACATTGTCTCCAGATGGCTCATTTCTGGAGGTTTGGATGGCCCTTCCATCAGAGCTGTCTGTTTACCTTGAAATGTTCTCTAGTGTGTTTGTGCTGTGCACATTTTGCTTAGCATGTTAACTCCAGTGGAGTTATTGGTTATGTACCCCAGTTTCCAGTAAATCAGAGTAGGTACAGAGGGTTCCTAGAATTCAGTCTTGGTTTCTAAATAATATTATTCAGCCAGGCGGTGGTAGCATACGCCTTTCATCCCAGCACCTGGAGGCAGAGGCAAGCAGATCTCTGAATTTGAGGACAGCTAGGACTATAAAGAGAGACTTTGTCTTGAAAAACCAAAAATAAGTAACATCTTTCACTGAAAGCAACCAGAACTCTGGGCAATTACTGATTCTGGGGATGTGTCAAGTTGTAGGTGAGTGTCTTCTAAATAAGGAACTGTTTAGAAAATGATGGGAAATCATGGCTTCCACACGTTTAAGGGGTTTCCAGTAGCCAAATTTGGATAATTTAAGCAACAAAAACAGTGATCAAAGTAATGGATTATAGCCCATAGAATATAATCAATACGTGTGTGTGTGTGTGATTATATTTAGTATAAATCAGAGTTCAGGTAAGGGTCGTATGATGTTAAAATTAGCAAGTGGGAAGTTTGACGAGGAACAGGGTATTGGAAGGATTCCAAAGTTTTTCCACAAATTACTAACTACAGAGATGAAAAATACTAATTGTTTAGTGTCAAAATCTGACATTCGGGACTGTGGAGAGATGGCTCAGTGCTGCATCTGTTCATGCACAAGCCCTGGGGTCAGTAGCTCACAGATTCCAGGGAATCTTGCGTCCTCTTCTGATCTCTGTGGGTTCTAGGCAAAGCGTTCACAGACACGCCTGCACAAATCTAAGCAACAACAAAAATAATGACATTTAGAACCTTAACTATATAGTTATTGCTACCATCACTAACAACTTGTCAAAAGAACACCATTTGCCTTTGGTGTGGTGTTCTAAGAGGTCAGCTTACCAGAAATTCATAACCTTATTGCAGTGCAGAAAACTCATGGTGAACTGGAGCTGCTTCTAATAAGGGCCCTGTACTTAAAACATCTGAGCATATGCCAGCCCTTGGGAGGCAGAGGCAGGTGGGTTGCTGTGAGTTCAGAGCCATCATGATCTACATAGTTTCAGGCCAGCCAGGACTATACAGTGAGACTCTGTCTTAGATATAAAAATATTTTCATAAAAATAGCTTTAGAGTAATGGCTAAACCTAAGACATTACAATAAATGTAGTGCATATTCTTAAGCCAAATGCTGCCTCAGAGGTGGGAATGGCACGGAGTTTTGAACAAGGTCTGTTTGGATTAGATGATGATGGTGGTATGTTGATAATTTAATATTAACACTTTAATATTAAAATAATTAAGGAAAGTTCCTTATCCTTAAAAAACACAAGTTATATATTCAAGGCTGAAGAGGCATTATGTGTAAAACTTTAAATGGTGTAAGAAAAAAGTCTCTCTGTGTAAAGAATTACAAATAATGTGACAAAATCATAACTGGGGGATAAATACAGTTTGAAGATTAATTTTTTTTTAAGTGTGTGTGTGTGTGTGTGTGTGTGTGTGTGTGTGTGTGTGTGTGTTTGGTGTTTGCAAGTGCATTGAAGGCCCATGGTGTGTTGTTAGGGTAATCTTCCTTTAAAAAACTGTTTATTGTTATTTTATTTGATGTGTATGGATATTTTACCTGCTGTGTGTGTGTGCATCACATGCATGTCTGGTGCCTATGGAGGCCTGGAGAGGACAATCAGGTTCCCTGGGAAGTAGAGTTAAAGCTGGTTGTGAACTGCCATGTCAGTACTGGAATCAAATTCAGGTCCTCTGGGAGAGCAACCAGTAGTCCTAACCTCTGAGCCACCTCTCCAGCCTCTGTTCTCATCTTTCCTATCTAGAATCTGTTTTAGTTACTGTTGAGTTAGAGTCTTACCACTAAGTAGCCAGGTTGTCCTAGATCTTGTGATGTAACCCAAGCCTAGACTTCTCTCTCCTGACATCCTCTCAAGTGCTGGGATCATGAACATACGTTGCCATATCGGGCTGAATATTGAGATTTTGAAAGCTCTGCAGATTTTTTTATGTGTAGCCAATACGGAGACCTCTTAGCTGCTGACAGTGCTTGGTAGATCTGACTTGTGGAAGGAGTGGAGTTGGGTAATAAAATGTGTGCATGCAAGATACTTTGGTTCTCCTAGTGCCTATCTTTAGATCCATTCAGTTTCTGCTCTGTCTTTATCATTTAGGTCTCACAATAACCATTAGCCTGCTGGCCTGGTAGCATATGCCTAGAATCTCTGTACTTAGGAGGCTGAGGCAGGAAGTTTGTGAGGCTAGATTGGGCTACATAGCAAAATACTGTCTCAGAAATCAAACAGGGCCACTGAAATGGCTCATCCAGTAAAGGTGCTTGCTGAATAAGGCTGGCAACCTGAGTTTAATCTCTAAAGGAGGAAGGAGAGAACCAACTCCACAAAGTTGTCCTCAGTCCTCCATACACTTCCTAGGGCACTCTCGCCCACGTAGATCTCTCACACACAGTAATAAAAACCCCACAGAGAGAGCCATTAACTCCTTGTTACTGTTTCAGCTAACTCCCTAATCATTTGCATATGTGATTACTCTTTGACCAGTATATTGTCTATAAATGGCATAGGAAGGCTTTTGTTGTTGTTTGAGACAGGGATGTAGCTCTAGCTGTTCTGGAACTCACTCTGTAGACCAGGCTGGTTTTGAGCTCACAGAGATTTGCCTACCTTTACCTCCTGAGTGCTAGGATTAAAGGAGTGCACCACCTGGCCCCTTTTATTTTTATTTTTTATTTTTTAAGGTTTTAAAAATTCACCTAATTCATCAGACTTTTTCTTGTAAAGGGCACAAATGACATTTTATAAAAGTTTGGAATGTACAAATTGAATCCCTGCTAGATAATATCATGTTTTTCAAAAATGGATAGACCATGTTCCTTTTGCTTCCTGTGACGCCTACCAGAACCGCCTTTGGAGCAGATTTTTTAAATTTATGCTTGGTTCTGGAATAATTTCAGTTACATCCTGTTTCAATTCTGCAGCTCCTGCTGCTGCTCACAGTTCAGACTCTCTGAATCCCTGCTGTTTGCCCTTCACTGTTCCAGAAGTAAATGATGGGAGCCCTGAGAACCACCTTTGACAGCACACGGCTCAGTAAAGAGAATGACTCTTTAAAAGGCCTAGCCTTTCTGCCAGTGTTATTTTTGTAGCTGTCAATTAAATGGAATAGATTTTTAGAACAATTTGCCTGCCTGTTGGGGATTGATATTGATGAAATAAGCTTTTTCTGTGCTCCATTTTTTATGTCTCTTGTCAATATACTTCCTGTCAGGGGCTTCAGGGAGATCACATATTGTGCAGACTGGTGGATGACGTCTAGGTAAAATGAACATTGAGAACAGTCTAGAAGGTAGTGGACAGGAGGCAGTATTTGCAGTCAAGTTTGAAGATATAGATGGGAAAGGTGGGTGAAGTGCTACACACCTGTGATTCCAGCACTCGGAACGCAGAGGCAGGATTACCTATTTGATAAGAGACCAGCTTAGCTTACATTGGGAATTCCAGGTCAGCCAGGGTTACATAGCAAGACCCCATTGCAAACAAAAAAAAAAGGTGGGGCTGTCTATAGAAGGGAGAAATGGGAGTAGCCCTGAGCGTGACGGTATGGGGTAGCCTTCTTTTTATCCCCCCTCCTCTATCTGATGAGGGTTATTGCCTTTTCTCATGAAAATGGTGGTGTGGGATAGCCCTCCTTCCATTCTCTCTCTCCTTTGTCCGACTAGGACCATTGCCATTTTCTTTTGTCCCCTGTGTTCCGAAAGCAGGTGGGGCTAGAGATAGGGCCTTAAAATAGTGGTGACAATCTTTGACACTTTTTGAGTAGTCTTTCAAAACTGGGCCTTTAGAAATGACCCTAGTTTGTATCATTTTAAGCTTCATTTTTCCTCCTCTGGTTTTCTGAGACAGGATCTCGGGTAGCCCTACATGGCCTGGAACTTATTAAGCAGACCACAGTGGCCTTGAACTTTGTGGAACTCTGCCTTCCTGTCTTTGCCTCCTGAATGCTAGGATTACAGACGTGTACCACTATGCTGGGCCACATTGACTTTCATTGAATTGATTAGGCTGAGACCTTACAACCCACTAACTTATTAAAGTATTCTCCAGGGTACTGATTTTTGTAATACTTAATTTATATTTACTGTGTGTGCGCATGTGCATGTGTGCCATAGCACATGAGGAAGTCAGAGGACAACTTTCAGAAGTTGCTTCTCTCCACCATGTAGGTTCTGCAGCACCTTTAACATTTAGCCATCTTACCAGCCCATATATATTTATTGAGAATAAATATCTGTAATGTATCTTGTTCACATCCAGCACTTACTTCCCCCTCCAATTCTCCCCAGCATGTCCCCTTCCCAACTTCATGGTCTTAATTAATTAATTAATTCATCCACTGAATCTAATTAGTGCTGCCCTCATGCCCATGAGTATGGGGCCATCTAGTAGAGCATGGACAATCTGCCAGTGGCCACATGCCCAAAGAAAAATTTGCTGTCTTCCAGCTGCCATTGGCCATATGCCCAAAGAAAAATTGCTCTCTCTCTTCCAGCTTCCATTACCTACCAGTAGCCACCAAACTAGGGTGCCAGCCTTGTGAATCCGCCCCCCATCCATGCTTTAATGTTGACTGCCCTGTTATTGAGCACATGACCCTAGGTGCTGTGAGTTAATGAAGGCAGTGGCCATCTCATGTAAGAAACAGCATTTCACAGCCCTCCTCCCCACCCTCCAGCTCATACACCGTTTCCACTACAGGTTTTTCTGAGATGTTTTCTGAGACATGGGGCAGGTGAAGTGGTTTCTATAGGTGCTCTAGTTAGGACTGAGGACTCAGTCACTCATTCTCAGCACTTTGAATAATTTGACTGTCTGCATTAACCAGTACCTAATTCGAACAAGCCTTTTTGACCCAGGTTGAAAACAACGCTGATCTCTGAGTATAAGTGTAAATATGAGGAAGGCAGCTGGACAACATGCTCAGTCAGCAGGATTACAGGGATAGATTGTCCACTAGGGCCATAGGCTTTTGACCATGTTTCCAGTACTGTGTTAGTTACTTTTCCATTGCTATGACGATATAACATGACAAGGCAGCTTATAGAAGGAAGGATTTCTTTGGAGCTTACATTCCAGAGGGGTAGGAGTCTATCACCATCGTGTGTTATGGTGCATCATGTTTTGTAAACACTCCAGCACCTCCTGATTGGCTTAATAAAGAGCTGGATGGCCAAAAGCTGAGGCAGGAGAGAATAGGTGGGACATCTGGGCAGAGAGGGAAACCCTGGGAAAGAATCTGAGGCATGGGAGACTCGCCAGACAGGGAGGAAGAAGCAGGTGCTGATACTTAGGAGCGGTAACGGACGAGGCCCATGGTGGAAGGTAGCGTGATGTAAACGGGTTACTTTGAGTTCTGAGAGCTAGCCGGGAACAAGCCTAAGCTAAGGGCGCATTTTCATAATTAATAAAAAGTCTCTGTGTCATATTTGGGAGCTGGCAGTCCAAAGAAGGTCCCATTATAATCACGGCATGCAGGCAGGCGGGTGTGGCACTGGAGCAGCAATTGAGAGTTCACATCCAGATCTACAAACAGGAAGCAGAGAGGGAACAGTGGGGATGGTGCTTTTTGAAACCTCAAAGCCCTCTTTGACTGACACACTTCTGCCATTAAAGACCATATGTCCTAATCCTTCCGGAACAGTTCTACCCACTGGGACCAAGTATTCAAACATGTGAGTCTATGGGGACATTTTCATTCAAACCACCACATGAATGCTAAGCATGAATGCCCTCCTGTGAATGGACTTCAAATCCTATTAGATAGTGGACTATTACCCCGTACCAGCCATGCTACTATAGCACTAGACTGACTTCTTTTTCTTTTTTTATTTAACTGTGGTTGTATATTAGGATCACTTATGAACTAAGAGCTCTTGGCAGTTCAGTTCATTTGGCCCATACTAGAGTCACAGTGTCGATACTTTTGAACATCTCTTAGTCCAGTGAGACAGCTCAGTAGAGAAAAGTGCTTACTCTTCAAGCCTGACCAAATGGGTTCTATCCCTGGAACCCACATAGAAAAGTTGGATATGGTGTCGTGTGCATCAGTAATCCTGTTATTCCTACTTCAGCATGGGAGATGGATACAGGAGAATCATGCAGAGTGCACAGCACAGCCCCCAGAAACAAGACTGCCTTAACAAGGTGGAAAGGGAGACCCGGCGCCCAAAAGTTGTCCTTTAAAAAATTATTATTTTTATGTGTGTGAGTGTTTTCTGTATGGATATATGTGTGCCTGATGCCTGCAGAGCAAAGAGGGCATCAGGTTCCCTGGAACTACCATGTGGGTGCTGGTAACTGAAGCTTGGAAGTGAATGCTGGGGGCTTGGAGTCATGGCTCAGCTAAGGGCACTTGTTCTTGGACAGGACCTGGTTTCAGTTCTGAGCACCCACTAATGGCTCACAACTGTCTATAAGGCCAGTTTCGGGATATCCAACACCCATTTCTGCCTTCTGAGACATACATGTAGGCAAAAATTAATTAATTTTGAGAGGGGAGGGGGATGCTAAGCTCAATTTTGTAACTAACAAACTGTGACTTTTGAGCAAATATGTTTATCTGTAAAGTTGTATCTCTTAGTTTGTAAACACTGATTTCTAAGCCAGTTTCTTACCTTTCGTTTACATCCCTCTGATACTGTTCCTGATTCTGTTTTAGTGAAGTTTACTTTTTCTTGTTCTTAGTTTTCTAAAGAAAAGTCTGCATTGCATTTTTGTTTGTTTGTTTTGTTTTTGAGACAGGGTTTCTTGTATGGCTCTGGCTGTCCTGGAACTCACCCTGTAGACCAGTGTGGCCCGGAACTCATAGAGATCTGCCTGCCTCTGCCTTCCAAGTGCTGGGATTAAAGGTGTGCACCACCACTGCATTTTTAAAGACCATGATTTAAAAGGCTTTAAGAATTTACTGATGGGGTCTTTGTCAGTGGGTCAGTTAATATTCTGGGGCACGTTTCTTATAATGCTAAAATAATTTTACTTCAGTGTCTATCCTGGTGTTATTTCATATTGCAGTTTTCTGCCCATGCTCTAGTCCGGAGACCATACCTGTTTGTTCTCATCTCTTTTAGGAGAAATCTTTGAATTAAAAGCTGAACTCAACAATGAAAAGAAAGAAAAGAGGAAGGAGGCTGTGAAGAAAGTGATTGCTGCTATGACCGTGGGGAAGGATGTTAGGTAAGGGAATGTGTGTTGCCCCGTAGAGCCAGATCCCATGCTGCAGCCCTTACTGCTGTCCTATAGAAGATCATAGACTGCTGAGGTACTGCTGAGGTACAGTTGTGCATGACTATACTCCCAGCTGCTTGAGAGGGTGAGGCAGGAGGATGTCTTGATCAGTGTTGGGCATCTAACTTGGGCAACATAGCAACAATGTCTCAAAAAACCCCAAACTTCTAGAATCTGTGAAAATAGGCTTGTCCCCTTGAAAACACCACAAGGAAGTATATGCACTTTTATATTAGCTCTGACCTGAGTGTTTTATTGGTTTGCTTTTTAAACCTTTGTTGCATACAGGTTTCACATAAATCATCTCTGGTCCTGGCACAGTTATAGATCTGTTGCCTGAGGTCTTAGAAGATGATAAAAATATACTGAGCTCACATACTCTTTAATTGGTTTAAGCCAGTGCTCTCAGCTTTACAGCTACGTTGTGTTGTTGGATTTGAGGTAAAAACCAACACTACCAAAATTCCCTTCCCTGTTGTTACTTGCGGCTGTTTAAGGTGCAGGCTCCACAACCTTCTGAGGTCCTCCCTCAGGTCCGTGAGATCAAAGCTTCTCTTACAGTACGTGGAGGCACTTTCCTCCGTCACCGTTCTGAGCTTTTCAGATGACAGTAAGCAGTGGCAGGTGGATGTGCCAGTACCTTACTGTGAGCCCAGACACTGGTGCTGCCTGGGATAGTCATATTGTTCTCACTACCAAGAAAAAGAGAAGTTAGGGGAAAATGGAGAGTTTCATTTAGGACTGTGTTCATGCTGCAGTAGAGTTTTATTCGTTGGAGAGGTGTTTTGTTTATTTATGTGTGTGTGCTTGCCTGTAGAAGTGAGGGGACCGCTCTCGAGTCTGCTCTCCCTGCCACCTGTGGAATCCTGGGATTAAACCCAGGTCATCTGGCCCATGTGCAAACACTCTACTTGCTGAGCCATCCTACAGCCTTTTTTTTTTTCTTTCCTAAAATGAGTGTGTGTGTATGTGTGTGTTGAAGCTGTGTTTTTAATATATTGTGATTAAGGGGCTGGAGGCTCAGTGGTTAAGAGTACTTGTTGTTCTTGCAAAGGACCTAGATTCAGTTTCCAGCATCCAGGAGGTCCAGAACTCCCAGCACCTTCTGACCTCAGGCATACATGGAGTGTACATACATACATGCAGGCAGAACACTACTATGAATAAAATTAAATATGTGTATGTAGAGAGAGAGTGAGTGAGAGAGAGGACAGTATTCATTTATTTGAAAAAGATACTATTCATTTTCTGAGTCATATATTTATATGAAGCTGAATTTTCTTATACTTAATGTAAACATTCGACAGCAGAGTTAGTAGCATGAGAATCCAGCTGTCTCTACTTAACCAGATGCTATAGAAATTTATGAATGTAAACAAGGGGCTTATGCTTGTTAATTTAAGTGGATTCTTGCTCTACTAAGTCTAAAATATTTATTACTTTGGCCTCTTAGGAAATTTTACCGATCCTTGAAGTCTGCATTACAGCAGCTACCATGCAAGACAGGACTGGCAGAAACCTGCCTCAGGGCATCAGGAGCATGTGAAGATGCTGAATTGTCTTCTGTCCCACCACTGTTATCTAGGCTTCTGTTGCTCATAAGAACAGCTCTTAGCTTTTTGGTCTCAGGATCCCTTCCTTCAGCATCTACTTTCCCTGAGTTCTCCAGAAAACTTTTGTTATGTGGGTCATACCTATTGACATTCAGAAAGGAAACAAACCAACAAACAGAAAAATTTGAGGTGTTAGTTTTTTTTCACTTAAAGTAATAAAAATAAACCTTTGACACTTAATGTGATTTTCTCTTGTTGGCACTGGGGATTGAACTAGGTAGGACCTTGCTTATGCTAGGCAAACCCTTCATCACTACAGTCCTTCCCAGCCCTCTTCCTCCTATTTCAAGAGAGGGTCTCACTACATTGCAGAGGCTGGCTTGGAACTCTTCCTGAAGCACAGACAGGTCTTGAACTTGCAGTTTTCCTTCCTCAGCCTCCCAGATGTTAGGGTTATAAGTATGCACCTGTATGCCCAGCTTCAGTCTTCTTGTGTGGGCTATTCCCATTACTTAGGATAGTAAGCATACTATTGGATAATGTTTACAATTACTGGCTGCTTTTGCAGCCTTTCTGCATTTGCACATTCTCTTCTCTTTCTCCTCCTCCTCCTCCCTCCTCCTCCTTCTCCTCCTCCTCCTCCTCCTCTTCTTCTTCTTCTTCTTTTTTTTTTTTTTTTCTTTTTTAGACAGGGTTTCTTTGTGTAGCCTTGGCTGTCCTGGATTTGCTCTGTAGACCAGGCTGGCTTCAAACTCACAGAGAACTGCCTGCCTCTGCCTCCCTGAGTGCTGGGATTACAGACATGCGCCACCACACCTGGTTCTACACATTGTCTTAAGCAAAAAGAAAAACTTCACAAGACTTACACTCTGTGAAATATACTGACATTTTGGTTTTTGTTGTTGTTGTTTTGTTTTGTTTTTCAAGACAGTGTTTCTCTGTGTAGCCCTGAATGTCCTGAACTTGCTTTGTAGACCAGGCTGGCCTCAAACCCAGAGATTCTCCTGCCTCTGCCTCCCTGAGTGCTGGGACTACAGGCGTGGGCCATGGCACCTGGCTCTGCAAAGTATTTTAATAAAGCTTTGGGAAGGCTATTTGATGACTTTATAGTTAACTTCTGTTTTTAAAGTACAGCTTACTTTGTATTCCAAACTTGGAACTTCAATCCTTTTATGCTAATGGTGCTCTGTGAATGAAGGTAGGCATTTCTTTCTTTATAGGCGAATGATAAATTACGAAATGATGGCTAGTTGGGAAGTGAATAGACCTTTTATATTCAATTATGCCTCAGTTTGTAAATGCGTAGTGCTTTTAAAAAGTAAATAAATTCTTAAATTTTACCAAAAGGAAATTAGGATATCTTGAAGAAATGACTAATTCCAGATCTTAATTAGGAATTTAAAACTTGAACATCTGAGAAAACTTAGAAACACTTGAAAATATAGGTTCACAAAGACTTGGGATTATAAAAATTATAACTGTTGCTGCACATGGTGGTGCATACCTTTAATCCCAGCACTTGGGGAGGCAGAGGGAGGCAGATCACTGTGAGTTCAAGGCCAGGCTGATCTACAGAGCAAGTTCAGGACAGCCACGACTACACAGAGATCCTGTCTGGGGAAAAAAAAAAAAGTATAACTGTTGGAGTGCTTTGATATCTTAGTGAATTGATATAGAAAATTGCTCTTAGGGTATGCCTAAATTATAGATGAACTAACATGATGTACTTTGGAATATAGCTCAGTGGCAGAGCACTTCCCCAACACTAGTGAGGCCCTGGGCTTTATTTTCGTCACTTAAAGACTCCAGAGCAACTAGTCAGGAGTGGGGATGAGGTTTTAGGGCATATGTGAACCAAGATGATGCTCGTACCATCATTTGTGGTAATGCATTTGTCGGGCTTACTCTGTTGCTCTCAAATTTTTTCTCCTCCACAAAAACTATTGAGAGGGCTGAGGCTGGAGCTCAGTGGTAAAACACTTTGGTACCATGCACAAGGCCTTGAGGTCAACCTATGCTCTACAGTTTAGAGACTTGGTAGCTAATAGTGCCTTTTACTTTTATTTATTTTTTCTTTTTTTGTCAACACAGGGTTTCTCTGTATAACAGAACCCTGGCTGTCTTGGACTCACTTTGTAGATATGTCTGGCCTTGAACCCACAGAGATCCAAACTGCCTCTGCCTCCCAAGTACCAGGATTAAAAGCGTGCTCCATCACACCTGGCTATTTTTATTCTTTTAGTTATTTACTGTCATAAAAAATGAGCTATCACCGTTGAACTGCTGCCTGCTTGTCAAATCTTTCTGGAATCAAAGGCTGTCACTTCATCCTTTGTGTAAAGCTTAGCACTGATGTTGCTTCACTGTTTCCTGTTTTCCTCTTCTCTCCTTAGCTCGCTCTTCCCAGATGTGGTGAACTGTATGCAGACTGACAACCTGGAACTCAAGAAGCTCGTGTACCTCTACCTGATGAACTATGCCAAGAGTCAGCCTGACATGGCCATCATGGCTGTCAACAGCTTCGTGAAGGTAGCTCTCCCAAGGACTCCATCTTATTGATCTCACGTAACCTTTTCAGAAGTGACTTTGGATGTAGTTTGTGTCTGCATTGCAGTTAAGCAGCTTGTGTTTCACGGAATGAAGTCCTGAAGTCTGGCAGTGAGCCCCAGTGTTCATATTGTAAGCATTCTGTAAACCAGCATGCAGCATCCAGAGACAATGAAACCATATGGCAAGCCTTCTGGTAGTGGGGCTTGGTACATGTCCATCCTTGCCAGATGAGTAAAAGAAAGGTTTCATCCTTGCCAGGTGAAACCTCATGTTTACCCTCCAAGGCTAATGGAGGTTGGGCAGTTCATCATTCTCTTAGTAACTTGCTGATGAAGGTTGGACATACGGTCCTATTGTTACCTGAGGATTAGGAAGTGCTGCCGCAGGAGGGGCTCTGACACCTTCTACTGGCCTCTGTGGACATGTACATGCCAGTAAGCATGTGCCTACCTGCATACTCTCATAAATAAACCTTTTATTTTAGATTTATTTAATGTGTATGAGCGTTTTGTGTATGTGTGTATCTGTGTACCACGTACATGCTTGGTGCCTATGGTGGTCAGAAGAGGGCATCAGATCCCCTGGAACTGGAGTTATGGGTGGTTGTTAGCTGCCATGTGGATTCTGGGATTAAACCTGGATCTTCTTCAAGAACGAGTGTTCTTAGCCTCTGAGCCACCTCTCCAGCCCTGATAAATGTCTTTAAAAAGAAAAAAAAATAATAATAATTTCCTTCTAGCCTCTTGAGTAGATAATTAAGACCTTTATTTAGGAAAGGAAGGAATAGCATGAGATTGAATTTTTCATGTAGAATATACTAGAAGCTTATGGTTTATGTCAACTGGAATGTTTACTTGTAGTCACCTTGTATTCATGCAGTTGGCTTTTCTTCATAGGACTGTGAAGATCCTAATCCTTTGATACGAGCCTTAGCAGTTAGAACCATGGGGTGCATCCGGGTGGACAAGATTACAGAATATCTCTGTGAACCCCTCCGCAAGTGTTTGAAGGATGAAGACCCCTATGTTCGGAAAACTGCAGCAGTCTGTGTGGCAAAACTCCATGATATCAACGCCCAGATGGTGGAAGATCAGGGATTTCTGGATTCTCTACGGGATCTCATAGCAGATTCAAACCCAATGGTAATACATTGTGCTTTTACAAAGAGAGTAGCATTTAAAATGAACTTTTTCCAAGGTATGCTTAACACATGTGTTGTCTTTTAGATGCTGTCTACAGGGTAGTTGTGGGAAATAGTTTTGTGTAATGTATAGATTGTATACTTCATACCCCTAGGTGATACTATGTTTTTAAGATTAGTTTTTCAGATAGTCATTTATGGTAATTTCTTGTATGAAAATAAAAATGGATCAAAGTGATCTTTATTGACCAACTATCTTACTCTCAAAGAACTCTAGGGTAGAAAATGATTATGTTCTATGTACTTAGCAGCTAGAACATAACACTTAAAATTTTTTTTATATTTCTATTTGTTTGCTTTTGTCAGAGGTGAGGATTAAACCCAGAACCTTGTGTAAGTACACTATTTCGGAGCTGCATCCTCGCCTCAGAGTTGGAGTTTATTTCTTTCTCAGCATCTTAATATTTGTTCATATGCTAAAAGAAGAGCAGGTCCCAAACGATTGATTATTATTGAATTAAATTTAAAATGAGTGATTGGTACCAAGAATATGGAGGATTGCTGACCACTTTCTTTGAAGTGCGTCACCCACTTTTTTTTTGTCTTTGTGTGTTGAAATAAGGTTTTGTGTATTTAGGGTGGCTTTCTAACCTGTTATGTAGCTGGCGTTGAACTCTTCTCTGGCCTTAACTTCTCAAGTGCTGGGATTACAGGCATATGCCACCACTGACTTTTGTTTTCTTTGAGGCAAGGTTTTGCTGTCTTGCCTCAGCATAGGCATGGGTCACCACACCCTGCTAAGGAATTTTTGTTTGGCACAGTATTTCTTTGAAGGTAAATTTTACTGAGATAGTCAGTGGATAACATTCAATTATCTTCTTATTGTTGTTGAATTTTTATGAATAGAGAGAGATCTCGAATTTGCCTGAAATAGATATCATCTTTTCCTGCATAAGAATCTGCTGAAATGTGTGTTTTGATGTATTACTTGTTCATTTTTCCGTGGCCTTCACCTTAGTATCCTTCTAGTGTCGGAGAAAGACAAAGGATGAAGCTTAGAACTGACACCCTCTGAAGGTACATACTGTGCTGAGTATCAGTCAAGAACTTTCTGCGACTTTCTAGGATTGGGAGTAGATGTAAAGGGCTTGGACCTGATAATGCGTCATCACACTTGTTAAAAGATGAACCCCCATTTTTGTTCACTCTCCCAAGCAGCACTATCTGGCACTCTTTTAAAAAGATTCCACGAAGAATTGAGTTTATATGGCAATCCTAGTTTTTGCTTTTTAATTGATTGATGTGTGTGTGTGTTGAGATGTGTACATGCACGCCTTCCTATGTGTTGAAGTGAGGTTCATGTGTATCAGGATGTGCACACATCTTTTCTCCCTCTGTGTGGGTTCCAGGGCTCAAACTCTGGTCATCAGGTACTCATGTTTTAGTGTATTACATGCTAAGCCATCTCGCCAGTCCTGGCAATACTGTTTTTATGGACTGCTTAGCTGGTACCATTGTTTGTGGCTCGCTCTGTCATTCTGTGCAACCGACTTTGACCTTCTCTGCTTAGGGACAGATGAAGTGATAAGCGTTCCAAGCACCAACTAGAAAGGCAGAATGTCATGTTCCCTCTTCCAGAGGGAATAGGTTTCTAACCTATTAAATATTCAGTGGAGCTAAGTAAGAATGAGTTGATGTAAAAAATACATTTTAACTCTGATGCGCAATTCTAGGTTGAAGGGGCAAAGGAACCTCTACACTCAAGTAAGTTCTTCCTAGTGAAACCTGTCGCATTTTAGGGTATGAGGACTGGGAGCACAGCAGTCAGCTTTTCTATTTGTTTGTTTGGTTGTTTTTTTTTTTGTTTTTGTTTTGTTGTTGTTGCAGCTTTTCTATTTGTTTGTTTTGTTGGTTGTTTTTTTTTGTTTTTGGGTTTTTTTTTTTTTTTTTTTGGAGGAAATCAGGTTTGAAATCCTGGTAGTCCTTGAAGATCACTATCAGATTAGCTGAGAACATGCACACCCAGTTTGCCTGATCTGCTCTAAGCTTTACAGAGGAGAGGTCTGATTTTTTTTTTTATTCAGTGCATAGTACTTTACAAGGAGATATAATGAATGGACTTTTGTATCATTGCCAGGTTAAATCACTTATCAATATATTCTAATCTTGTTTTCTTCATTGCCTGGCTTATGTAATTCAAACAGGCCTTGCTGGGTGGGTTCTTATTTAAATTTAATATATCGTTATATATAGTAAACTAATGTTCCTGGAAGTTGTTGTTGTTTGTTCTCACCGTGCTGTCCAGATTGTGTTAGAACTGACTATGTAGCCTAGGTCAGCTTTGAATTGTCGGACTCACTGTCTCAGCTTCATGAGTGCTGGGATTGCCATCACTCCTGACTGTTTGGTGACACTTAACTTTTGTGTGTGTGGGGGGGGGGTTGACATGGTTTCTTTGTGTAGCTTTAGCTGGCTGTCTTGGACTCACTTTGTAGACTAGGCTGGCCTTGAACGCACAGGGATCTGAGTGCCTCTGCCTCCCTGAGTGCTGGGATTACAGGCATGCATCATCACACCCGGCTTTTAACTTGCTTTTATAACAAATTGAGAGGTGATTTGGAGAGGTTTTAAAAATAAGTTTGAGGAGACTTATATACAAAATAATTGTGGTTACTTGGTACGTTTCTGAGAAACTCACACGCTGGGTCGTCTCTCTCCCACCGAGAAAGACCTTTTTCTGCACACTCCTAGACTGTTTGAGTGTCTTGTTTGTTGTAGACTTACCTGGAGCCAGGGTCAGCATTAGATAACAAGTTTGGCACCTTCTTGTTAACCTGAAAGTCTTGCCATCTTGGTAGACTTCTCAATAGTAAGAGAGCTTTCTTCTGGTGCTGGTCCATGTATGACTGCAGAGGAGCCCAGAGTGCAGAGGTGAAAGAGGCATTCTTAGGTAGCCAGTAAACATACACAGATGCCTCTTTTTCATCTGGAACCCCTCCTTTTTTTACCTTAACTGGATTTTTAATCTTAAACACGGACTATAATTACCGTAAAGTAATCTTAAGTAAAATGCTAGAATTAGCACCCTGTTTTTCCTTTTATCGGTGGCATCAGAGGCAGATAGCAGGTAGACCGAGTGCATCAGTGGCTAGGAACATTTGAGGCCTAGTGACAGAGTGTTAGCACACCAGCTCAAACACTCCAGAAGCTTCAAAGGCCATAATCAGCCGATCTGTGTTACTTGGTAAGAGAAATATGATTTTTATTGCCCGTATACCAGGCACAGTGATAGGTGGCTTTTATTTAAGTATTTCACTTCATTTTCATGTCTGTCTGAAGTAGAAGTTGTTCCATGTTACAGTTCAAGACATGCACTCAGAGTCTGAACTGTCTCAGTGTGATGCGGCCTGTTGTAATGCAGCCAGGGTTCCAGCCTGTTTCAATTCCCAAACCTACCCCTGACCACTACCTTCATGGATATATGTAAAGAATCAAATGTGTGTGTATACATACCTCACACACTTAGGTCATGAAAATGTTTCTTTTTCATTTTTTCAAAATGGTTTAGATTTTGAATACATACAAGCCTTTCATTATCTGTATGCTATCCCTATGAAGTGTAGTCTCCTCTAAGGATGGTATGAGTCCTTACCTGATTCTTTGCTTGAGTGATTTTGTTCCACCTGTTCTCGGGCTGTCCCACGTGGTGGCAGCACTGCACCAACAAAGGTTGTCAGGTACGTGAGAAAAATTCTTTCAGTCCTTCGTCCAGAAGGTTTCCTAGAGAGGAAACACCGGAACATTTGCAGAAATGATTTCAGAATCTCTTTTTTTTTTTTTTTTTCCTTAAGATTTATTCATTTATTGTTTAAACAGTATTCTGCCTGCAGGCCAGAAGAAGGCACCAAATCTCACAGATGGTTGTAAGCCACCACGTGGTTGTTGGGAATTGAATTCAGGACCTTTGGAAGAAGAGCCAGTGCTCTTAACCTCTGGGTCATCTCTCCGGCCCTTATTTTGTTTTTCAAGACAGGGTTTCTCTGTGTAGCCTGGCTGTCCTGGACTCATTCTGTAGACCAGGCTGGCCTTGAACTCAGAGATCTGTCTGCTTCTGCCTTCCAAATGTACAGAATCTTTTAATATGAGAATAAAAAGTCAGTCGAGCTGACAACTCTTGGAGTTCTGTTGGCTTTGGGTACTAGCATTGGTTGTTTCTTACTGTAGGTAATAGTACTCTTTTTCCTTCTGTCTTTTTTGGGATTACCACAAAACCTCATTTTCCTCTAGTTATTTCACTGCTTTATTTAAAGCTGACTCAGAGTGTCCTAGTTGACAGAGGAAAAAGCCTAGCTTTGAGGTAAAAGCTTCTTGACTATTTATGCTAATGCCACTCTTTCAGTAGCCAAATTTCTATTTTAAGAAACTTTTGAGAATATTTTAAGAGATAAAAGGTCATGATAGTGGGAGTGGGAAAAGTGGATGGAATTGTGACTGACAAGAATGCATTAGAGGGTTGGAGATGACTCAGTGGCCAAGAATATATGTTGCTCTTGCACAGTAACTGGGTTCCATTCCCAGCATCCTTGTGATGGCTCACAATTACCTGTGACTCTAGTTTCAGGGAATCTGATGTTCTTTTCTGACCCTCTTGGGCAAAAACATGTATGTGGTGCACATATACACATGTTGGCAAAACATTCATATATATATATATATATATATATATATGTATAAATATATATCATATAAATACATATGTGTAGATATGTGTATAATCTTAAAAATTTAAAAGAAGGTATATAAGCATGTATGAACTTGTCAAAAGAATAAATTTTATTCTTACAAAATTTTATTCATATAAAATAATGTTAAATTAATTTTAAAACTTTAAAAATAAAATTTAGATTAAACTTTGTTTATATTGGCCTATATTAATTACTTTTCATGTATATAGACCATGTATTTTGACTACAATCATCTTGCCCCTCTCATTTTTATCCCTTTCCTCTTCTCAGTTAGTCTTTCTCCTACTTCTTGTCATGTGTTTGTAGACCAGAAGAAGTTGTGAGTGCTGGGACTCTAACCCCTGTTCTCTGGAAAAACAGCTCATTAGCTGCTGAGCCATCTCACCAGTCTTAGATGCCAATGTTTTGTAAATCAATTTGTATATCACAAAAGCTCAGTTTCCCCATTTATAATCTTTCTTTCCCCTCCTACTTTGGTTTTTGTGAGATGGGGGCTTCTTTTGGTTTTTCAAGACAGAATTTCTCTGTGTACTCCTGGCTGACCTGGAACTCGCTTTATAGACCAGGCTGGCTTCAAACTCAGAGATCCTGCCTCTGCTTCCATGTGCTGAGATTGAGATAAGGCTTCTTAAGGCTGCCTATGAATTTCTAATTTTCCTGCCACTGCATCCTAAGTGCTGCGATTATAGGTGTATACTGCCACACTTGGCTATAAATTTACTTTTAAAGAAAACTTCCTTAAGAACTCTTTTTTTCTTATGTGTTTTTATTTTTTCTAGATTATAGCAGTGTTCCTAAGGTAAATAATTTCTTAGGGAGGAAAATTAGATTTGTTGTAACAGTTTTGATTTAAAGTGATGTCGTGAATGAAGGAAGCGCACCTTTGCTTCACTGTTGGGATGCTAAGGTGTTTGTTGTCAGGATAGAGCTTGTTTTTTGGGGACCTTTCATTAAGTCCATATAGTGATGTTGTATTGTTCTTTGAGAAGGTTCTCTGGGGAGAAGTAAATTCTAACTTCTCACTCTACATTTAAATTTTATTTTTAAAAAGAGGCAGTATTGTACACGTTTTCAAAAAAATAATAGATAGTGGAAACATTGACAAAAAAGCCTGGTGCACACTGGCTGCCCACTTGCAGTCTTGAAACTCAGTTTTTTCTTCCGCTGTCCCAGAGGCAGTGTGACTGACTGACTGCAGGTTCCTCACAGTGTGGGAAGCCCGGTTTAGCACCATGAGACTGTAAAACACTCCGTCTTGGGCTTGATTTGGGTAATTTCTGGAAACACAAGAGTCTGAATTGATTGGAAGATGACAGTGGAGAGGTAGAGGCAACCTCAGGGAGTTTTCTAGGAATGAGAAGTTTGGTGCAGGGTGGGAGAGCATCTCATCTGCCCTGTCACTTGGCTGGCGACTTGACCGGTGACCTCTTCCCTCCCCAGGCTGTGTTCAACATGGTCCTCTGATCTGATCTTTCTGTATATTTTTATTAGTCTGACTCTATATATTTGCTTTCTTTGTTTTTTATATGGTAATAAGTAGACATTGCCTATTTAAGCGTTAGAGCTTACACTTCATTGGCTGCATTACACCCTTGCTTTAATTTCTAATTGACAACTGGTAACAGGAGATTCTAATTCCTCATATGTTTTAGTATCCTTCTGTGCTCCCAGTTTCTCTTTTTAGCTCTTCTTTTCTATATTTTCTACTGCCAAACCTTGTATTTAACTTTAAACAACACAGACACACAAACTCACAGGGGTGGAAGGTGTGCAGTAGGAGATTTGTTTTAGACTGATGACTAAGATTGTATGTGTGGACAGAACAGTCAAAATAAGCAGTTGCCATACGACATTTTTTTTTTCCTATTCTAAAATTAGGTTAATCAAGCATGCTATGCATGGGAAATAATAAAATAATAATGGGAAATAATAACCCAGGAATGGTTATGGTTTTTGTTTGTTTGGGTGTTACTGCTGTTCTTTGTTAGCAGGCAGGGTCTCATGTACTGCAGGCTAGTCTCAAACTTCCTGTATGACTGACAATGACTTTGAACCACTGATCCTCCTGCCTTCATCTCCTATGCTGGGCTTATAGTCCTTGTTTCACTCTTTGTTTTGTTTTCTGTGTAGCCTTGGCTTTCCTGGACTCACTTTGTAGACCAGGCTGACCTTGGACTGTCAGATCCTCTGCCTCCCCGGAGCCAGGATTACAGCCACCACGCCTGGCTCATTGTTTCATTCTTTATGCATTGAAGTTTTACTAAATCTCGCTCATGATTTATAGAGTGAACAAAGGCATTTGAGCAAAGAAGCTCATGTATGTTGTAGGTTATATAGAAGGTCTGATTTGCTTTGTGGCAACAAAAGGTCTAATGATATTTACTAAATAAGTCTTTGATTCTTTTCATCTGAGACCTTTCGTTTGATTACAAATTATAGCTCAGGAGAATTCTGTTTCTGCCATCCTTGTCCTCTACAGAATGATGATATTGCTACATTGTACTGTGTACTACTAAGTCACTGTCTCTTAGATAGTTGATTTCTCTGTTTTCTTTTATGATTAATATAATCTGAAGATTACCTTGGCAATGTGGATAATAAAACTGATACATAGGTTATACATAGATTTGTTTGTATACATATAGCCATTATATTTTTCTCTTGCTAACTTAACTGTAAAACTCAGTTTCTCAAGCTTTTGTCAGGGGACTTTAGTAAGAATCAACTATGAATTAACATTCTTGAGGATTGTTTTTGAAGTATATTTGTGATACTGACTTCTTGATACATCTCATTTAAATTATGAAATAGTTATAGTCAGCCTTATCATTGCTATCTTAACATCTGGACCATTGCTGTAAAACATTTTTAAAAACACCTGTACAGAGTAGTAGGGTGGTATTTTCATTATGGTGTTTGTTTATGAGTGCTTTTGAAATTTAAAAATAACTTTAAATATTTTTTGTCAGTTGTATTAGAAATAGTCTGTAATTTCGATTTAAAATATTAACCTTCTTTTGTAGCTACACATATTTCTGTATCAGTGAATTAAGGAACAAGTGTACTTTCTTGTTGAGGCAGTTTTTTCATTTACCATCTCAAAGAAGAGGATGTATTTGAAATACCATATTTCACTGAATCTACAGTTTCATTAACAATAATATATATGATTAGGTTCTATATTCCTATTAAAAAAACCATCCTCCACTAAAATGAGGGTGATTGGGGGCTGGAGGAATGGCTTAACCATTAAGAGCAGTTGTTCTTTCAGAGGATCTGACTTCACAGCAACCACATGCTGTGTCACCATTGCCTGTAACCCCAGTGCCAGAGGACCCAACACCTCTTCTGCCCTTCAAGGGCACCAGGCACACACACGGTGCACGGATGTACATACGACAAAGCATCCATGCTCAAAAAAAAATGTGATAGATTATAAGTGTACTTCAGTTTTAGAGATGTTGTGCAAAAAAATTTGCAGCTTTTAATTGATGAATTGTGGTAACAATTACCACCTTAAATTTGTATAAGGCTTTATGATTGTGATTTTCAAGACAAGGTTTCTCTCTGTAGCCCTGGCTCTCCTGGAACTTACTCAGTAGTAGACCAAGCTGGCTTCAAACTCAAGATGCCTACTTCTTCCTCCCAAATACTTGCATTAAAGACATGTGCCACCACCATCCCTAGCATAAAAATATCTTCTTAATTTTTTTCGTTTTTTTATTGATTTATTTTTATTTTATGTGCATTGTTGGTGTTTTACCTGCACATAGTCTGTATGAAGGTGTCAAGTCCCTTAGAACTGAAGTTACACACTATTGTGAGCCACCATGTAAGTGCTGGAACTGAACTTCTGTCCTTTGGAAGAGCAGCCAGTGTTCTTAACTTCTGAGCCATCTTTCCGGCCCCATAAACACTTCTTAATGCATAACATCATTGGACTTATACTGCCAAGCTAAAATTAATCTGCAAAGTAAATTAAATTTCCTCTGGTTTTCAAATGAGCAAGCTACATGGTACAAGGTTTATGTGTTCCCCTAGCATTGTGTACTAATGAATTTTGGTTTCAAGTCCATTTATCTTATTCTAAGCTATGTGATAATACTGGATAATTGACAGTGTCATCTCCCTGTTGTCCACATGCACTTATAATTTGGCCTAGAATTTTCTGTTACATAATGCGAATATTTATTGAGATTTTACTTTATTTTTCTATAGTCCAGGTTGGCCTGGCGCTCACTTTGTTGCTAGCCCATGATAGCTCCAAACTTGAAAGGCTTGAGGTAAAGATATCAGCCACCACCCAATTTAGCTTCACTTTTTATAGCTCTTGTTACGTCTTGATTTTAGTGACAGCTTTGAGTGTTGCTGCAGTATTTAATATTTCAGTTGTGAATTGTCTCTGACTCTGCTAATATATGAGTTACTTTAATTCTGGAGTGCCTCACTGCTCAGAAGCTGTATATGCTATCATTGGTGGCTTAGCACATGTTATGAAAGCAGTCCATCTATTTCCATCCAACTGTTCAGAAGTGAATTGAGGCCTGTGAAGTGATCCTGCCGAGGTGTTTGTGTGTCATCGTTTTGGTTTCTGTTTCCTTCCCAGGTGGTGGCTAATGCTGTAGCAGCGCTCTCTGAGATCAGTGAGTCTCACCCAAACAGCAACCTTCTTGATCTAAACCCTCAGAATATCAACAAACTGCTCACAGCTCTGAACGAGTGCACTGAATGGGGACAGATTTTCATCCTGGACTGCCTGTCTAATTACAACCCTAAAGACGACCGGGAGGCTCAGAGGTCAGTCTGTCCGTCTGTACATCAGCTGATGCTCTTGCCTGACTGAGTACTGTCTAATGTCTGCTCTTAGTATGAGAGGCTATCAGATTGAAGAAGGCAGAAGATTTAGGGGGACATTGCTCTCCCTAGCATATATCTCACTGAATTTAGGAACACGCTAAAAAGAATTTAGTTGTTTGTATGCCTGCTTCTGTAAAACCTCCCTCATATTGTCACCATCTCCCAATTCCTGTCCATTTGGTAAACGGAAGTTGTTAATGACTGTTCTTGTAATGACACACTGTCTATTCTGTTAGATTCTTCATACTAGCTGTTGAGCTGAACAATATAATTTAGTAGTAGGATAAGTATATTAAAGTCAACAACAGATGTGCCTCTTGCCTCTTATATATCGAAGTCATGTTAGACTACATTTGGAGCTTTTGAGAACAGGTCTTATTCTACTCAGTCCTTTATCACTTAAGTGTTGCAAATTTTCTTTGATTGTCAGAACTTTATTACCGAATGTCATCAACCCATCATATATACATAAGTACATCTCAGTTTACAAAGCTGGAGTTACCACCAATTTTTAAATTGAGCATGTTGTATATAAAAGAGTATACTAGGCTAAGTACTTCTAAAGAGTTGCTAGCTCTTCATTAAAGTTGACATTTTAATTATGGTAGATAAGAACCTTCCTTGCCTGGCTGAAGCTATTTGCAGCTATTAGAATGTAAGTTTTCTTCACTGAGCTGGGAATAATTCCCTCTGGACTTAACTAATACTGCTGGTAGTTTTTTTTCCATCCTTGAAAGTACAACTATCTTCTGAAGAGAACTTTACCAAGAATTTTATTTTCTATTGGCCATTGATATTACACTCATTAATTCACTGAATTAATTAATCATTAATTCAGCAAATATTTCTGAAGCCCATTCTATGTCCTAAACTCTGTTCTAGGCTGTGAGGATTCCATAGTAAATGACAAAAATATGGTCCTCATGCATCATTCATTCTGAAAAGTGGGGGTAGAGGTATTTGCAATGTGGGTATTCAGAAAATATGTAATAGGTCATATTTCATAATTGCTAACAGAGGTAATGTAAGGATCTAAGTGATAGATATTTTAGAGTAAGAGATTATAAAGAGAATGCTTTCTACCCCATAGTTTATATTGAGTCAGGGTCTATGCCATGTAGCCTGAGCTGGCTGGAAGCTTGTGGTCCTCCTGCCTCAATATATTTTTTAAAATTTTATTTGTTTTTTGAGATGGGATCTTGCTATGTCGCCCTGGCTGGCCTCAAACTCACCATATAGACCATGACCTCTAGCTCAGAGATTCATCTTTCACTGCTTCCTAAGAGCTAGAATTAAAGCTGTGTACACCATACCCTGCAGGATTTTATTTTATTTTTTTGAAATTATGCTTTTTGCAAAGAGTAATCAAGAAAGTCTGTAAGAGGGTGGACTTTTTCCCCCCCTAAGGCCTGGAGGAGGTCAGCAGTCAGCCATGTGGACACAGGAAGAAAAGAGTAAGCAGCCATTTATCTTGTATTCATAATTGTCACTAAGGATGTTGCCCAAGAGCTAGCAAGGTTAGGCTGGTTTCAGAGAATGCCGCATGTGTGAATATCAAAATTCTAAGCATAGGTAGAAGGGACTAGAAGAAGAAGTTGGGAGAACATCACAACAATATTCTGGTATTAAAAACCAAACGAAACAAAACCCATGTCTGTTTCTGAATCTTTCTTACTAGCCCAAAAGCAAGCGGTTGTGTAGTTTTTCCTGCCAACACTTTTCCTCTTTAAGTCCCAAGTGGTTGACATCTCTTACTGTGAATTAAATCTTTAGGATGCTTGATTTGACTTCCTGTAGGTTGAGTAGAGATGAGCTGTGAGGCAGGGAGCCCTAACATTGTGTGGGGAGACAGAGGACTAAAGACATGAAGGTAACTGGCGTGAGTGCAAGCGTCTGTGGTTTTGCTGGTTTCCTTCTGGTTTGGATATCCCTGTTGCTGGCTTCTAGAGTTTCCTGATGCCCCCGCTCTGCCTGTAGTTCGCTGGGCATGAGGCTTCTGCGGTGTTGGATCCCATTTTGACCCACGCATGGAGCTTTGACCTTTCTAACTTGAGTCTTTGATTTCTTGATACTTGGGTCATGGAACTCTGAAGCATTACATTGTGGAGTGAACTGAGCATAGGAACCGTAATCCAGGGTACTAATTTCCCTCTCTGCCCCCAGCATCTGTGAGCGAGTAACGCCTCGGTTATCCCATGCCAACTCTGCAGTAGTGCTCTCAGCGGTGAAAGTCCTAATGAAATTTTTAGAATTGTTACCCAAGGACTCTGACTACTACAATATGCTGCTTAAGAAGTTAGCGCCTCCACTTGTCACCCTGCTGTCTGGGGAGCCCGAAGTGCAGTATGTCGCCCTGAGGAACATCAACCTAATTGTCCAGAAAAGGTGGGGAAATAGTGATTTGGTGATTTTTAAAATGTTTGTGATCTTGAAGTTAAGCGTCACATAAGTGCTGCATAGATTGGTGCTGTTTTGTTCTTTATGTGTGGAAGTGAACATGTTTAATTCGGGCTGGAGAGATGGCTCAGATGTTAAGAGCACTGGCTGCTGTTCCAGAGGTCTGGAGTTCAATTCTCAGCAACCACATGGTGGCACATTACCACCTATAATGAGATCTGGCGCACTCTGCTGTCATGTAGGCAGAACACTGAATATGTAATATAATAAATAAAACAAATCTTAAGAAAAAGGAAATGTTATATTCACTTGTTAAATTCAGAACTTGGCCCAAGAATAGCAGCTTATAGTTAATACCATTTTTTCCATGGTAATTAATCTGGTGTTGTAGTTCAGGGTTGTTTTGTTGTTTGGATTTTGGAAACAGGCTCTCACTGTGTAAGACAGGCTGACCTCCAACTCAGAGAGATCCACCTGCCTCTACCTTCCAAGTTCTGGGATTAAAGGTGTGCAGCACCGCTCCCAGCCAGCTTGCTTTCTTCTTCTTCTTCTTCTTCTTCTTCTTCTTCTTCTTCTTCTTCTTTTTAATATGTAATTTATTTTATTTTATGTGAATTGGTGTGAGGGTGCTAGACTACCTGGAACTGGAGTCACAGACAGTTATGAGCTGCCATGTGGGTGCTGGGAGTTGAACCTGGGTCCTTTGGAAGAACAGACAGTGCTCTTAACCACTGAGCCATCTCTCCAGCCCCCCAGCTTCCTTTCTTAAGAGCTTCTTTTGGACGTGCTACCCATGGAAAGTTGTAGGGAGAAAGTTGTTCTTCCTCAGAAATTCTCTGTGATAACACCTACTCTCATACTTTTAAAGGATGCAAATTAGATGTCAAATGGTGTTGATGAGAATAGATGGGCTGGTAATATAGTTTCGTGGTAGAATTCTTGCCTAGAATGTGCTAAGCACTGAGCTTCACACCCAACTTTACTGAGTGGAAGTGAAAATGTTATATTAGCACAACTACTATATGGGGGTGGGAGGGAGGCACAACAGACATTTATAGACAAATTTCTACAGGACATTTGTGAAATTCCCCCGCACCCCCAGTAGGGGCAGAAAGACTGACTTGATTTTAATACAGGCTGAGCAGGATATGTCAGTAAATACATTCCGTCATCTTCCTTTTTTGTGTTATTGTGTACCACAGGCCTGAAATCTTGAAGCAGGAAATCAAAGTCTTCTTTGTGAAGTACAATGATCCTATCTATGTTAAACTAGAGAAGCTGGACATCATGATTCGTCTTGCATCCCAAGCCAACATTGCTCAGGTCAGACCTTAAGCTGTCCTAAAATTTATGCCAGGTTAGAGCTTAAGATCTGGCATTCAGAAGCCATGAAATTGCTGTTTGAGAATCTTTAAAGGTTATCCACTTCTTTGCTATTTGACAGGTTCTGGCAGAGCTGAAGGAATATGCCACTGAGGTTGATGTAGATTTTGTTCGCAAAGCTGTGAGGGCCATTGGACGGTGTGCCATCAAAGTGGAGGTAAGGCTCCAGAGGAGTTGAGATCGCATGTTACGAGATTCTGAGTGTTCATTACTTTAAAGCATCTGTACATTGATGTCTATCAAAATAATAAAGCATATACTTCATGAATTAAATAATTTAAAGAGTTAATTCAGTGTGAATGGGTGCTTTGTTTGTGTTATATCTGTATACCATGTGTGTGCCAAGTACCTGTGGAAGCCAGAAGAGGGTTGTGCACCAAGGAACTAGTGTTACCAATGGTCAGTCATGAGCCAGTATGTGGGTTCTGGGAATCTAACCCAGGTCTTCTGGAAGAGCAAACCGTGCTCTTAACCCCTGAGCCATCCCAGCTCCAGATTAAAGAATTTTTAACAAAATGCCACTGTCCCTCATTCTTTCCCTTCTCTACCTAGACATACTTCCCTAAAAATGTGACTTTTAACTTTTTTAATTTTGGTTTTTCTTTTGATACTTCCAGATCTATAGATAATTTTCCTATTATTTATTGATTTGTTAGTTACAGATTTTTATCTTTTCAATTCCTCTGAGCATTTTGGGTGCTTGTTGGGTTTACTTTGTAAGAGAGGGTATTACTGTGTAGCCCCATAGCCACATTCCCTTTGCCTCAGTCTCCCAAGTGTAGGAGTCCAGGCTGAACCACTATGCCTGGCTTTTGTTTTCTTTCCCACACATTGCTCTTGGTTAATATATGTCCTTAGGTGTTGTATTTTGTCTCGGCTTTAATTTGTTTTGATGATATTTTTTACATTTATGTATTTATTGTTTGAGGAGGCAGCATGTGCCAAGGTACATATATGGAGGTCAGAGGACAGCTTGTAGGAGTCGGGTTTGTCTTTTCCACCATGAGGCTCTTAGGGATCAAACTCAGGTCATCAGGCCTGGTGGCAGTCCTTTTATCCAATGGTCCATCTCACTGGCCCTAATGTCTATTGCTTATTAGACTTAGAGACTTTTCTAAAGACAGGATTGGACTTGTAGTTTACTGATTCAATTTAGCTCTTATCTCCATGCCCTTTAGATGACTAAATCTGGAGGGAATTGGTGATCTTCAAATGTTTAAGGTGATGCTGTGTGCTTCTTTAGAATCCTGACAGGAGGCACATGAATTAGTGACCTGTAGTATGTAATAGTTCAGAGGGATAGATGGTACAATTGTCCTTGGATTTGGGAGATTTTTCTCACAGTCCTGTCCTCTTAAAAAATAATAATCTGTCACAGTATCAAGAAATCTATTTTATCAGTTTGTATTCCATATTCAATTAATAAAAGATTAAACTCTATTCTAGACTATTTTGAGTCACAGATAACTGAAAAGAAAATGAAAGCTATGGACTTTATATTTATAAATATTTTGTAAGTCCATATAGAATTTGGTGATTCCTTTTAGGAGGTCTGAAAACACTTTGTGCTGGAGACCATAGAGATGTCTCACTGGTTAAGAGTATTTGCTGATCTGTCATGAGAACTGGAGTTCAGTTTTCAGCAACCGCAGCAGGCAGCTCACAAGCTCCTATAACTCCAGCTTCCATGGCTCTTTATGAGTGCTGTGTGTGTGTGTGCATAACAGTAAAGAAATTGTTTTAAAACACCAAAAACCCTATGAAGTCTCTGTTTACTTTAGAATTCCAGTTAAGTACCTCCCACTTTGATGTACTGTTTAATTGCCTTTTTTTCCTCATGCCCTGGCTTATTTTTTCTTTTTTTCTAGTCTTCCAGCTATCCAGCTAAGGTTTTCTCATTTAACTGAATTATGTGGGAGATAGAACTATAGCTCAGTGGTAAAGCTTTTGATTAGCCCGTGTGAGGCCCTAGGTTTGTTCTTAGCAGAACACACAAAGCCAAACCCAAAACATTTTCAATATGTTTTCTAATGAATAAAATTTGGTATATTCCTAGAATTTTTAATGTTGACATACATCAGATAATTTAGCTTCTAGTACAGCTTGAGCAAATTCAGTGCTTGTCTATTTTAGTCAATATACTTATATGTTTCCTTTTTTTTTTCTTTTTTGTGTTGAGTTAGTGTTATTGGATTGACTTACGTTTTGATGTTTCTCTCCCTAGCAATCAGCAGAACGTTGTGTAAGCACACTGCTTGATCTAATCCAGACCAAAGTAAATTATGTGGTCCAAGAGGCAATTGTTGTCATCAGGGACATCTTCCGCAAATACCCTAACAAGTATGTCAAAATTCCTTTGCCCTTCTTTCTCAAATCATTTGGGAAATGTTTAAGTAAGGGACTTTGAAATTGACTAGGTAAGATTTATCATTCTTAATATAACTGGTCATAGTAGATATTTTATTAAAAGCCAGAGGTACCTAAGTGGGTACTAAAACTTCTCATAGATGGAGATGGGGTTTCAAGTTGGCTCCATTTGCGGGTGGGTACGTGAGCCACCGTGCCCAGGTGGTTTATTATTTTTATAGCACTGAAACTCTGATTGAATATACTGCCTATTGGCGTAGATGAAATCAAACACACAAGATTGTTCTCAAAGTTGCCATTAAACAGGAAACCTATATATTCCCAGGTGTCTGGACACACCTTGTGCCTGATAAATGATTGTGTACTTTATCATGTCTTAACATGGGAGATGAATCCTACGGCCACTCTTCTACAAAAGCAGGGTGGTATTAGCCACGCTGTTTAGTTCACATGGCACCTGCTACCTTGTGGGAAACAACAGAATTTATTGTAATAAATTACCTGCCTCTGGCCTTTTCTGAAGTGGTGTAGCTCCTCCCACAAGAATCTGTGTTTTCACATCACAAAATTTTCAGATTGAGGCTTTGTAGTTTATAAAATAAAAATACTTAGATCCTGAGACACTAGTCTCACAGAATTTGTGGGGTTTTGTTTTGTTTTGAAAAGTGTTATTTTTAGAAAGAGGATCACCGCCTTTTACTGAACTCCCCCAAAAAGTGGAGGATCAAATTTTTAAACTGTTTAGTTTTAAGTTTAAAAAAAAAAATATATATATATATACACACACACACACACACACACACACACACACACACATATATATGTGTGTATATATATATAATCATAGAGAAATGTATAAAGCTTGTATAAATAAGGGATTATGGCAGTTTAATTTTAAGAAAACAGTCAAAATCCTGGAATAGGAGTGATGCTTGACCTAGTACACTAGTTATCCACATTAATTTAATTTGTCTCAGTCTAATGTTTACATTAGCCAGATGGATCTGGTGACATAGGCCTATAATCTCAGTTATTTAGGAGGTCAAGCCAGCCTCTGCACCCTAGCAAGATTCTGTTTCAAAACAAGAAGAAAACAAAAGGCCGGGACACAGCCCATTGGAAAAGAGTTTGCCTAGCATGTGCTCGATCCTAGGTTCAGTCTTCAGTAATAAAAAACAAAATCTTAAATTATGTTAGTGAAGGACATAGATTCAACATGGTGACCATGAAAGCTGTAAATCTGTAAGACTAAACATAAATTATGAATTTCTTATTAAAAGCAGGTCATTAGTGTATGTGCGTTAGAACATAAAGGTGTCTTTTATAAAAAGTGGGGAGATGGTTCAAATAAGGCCGAACCCTATGCTGCATAAGGAACACAGTTCCAACCCCTGCAACCCATACACACACACACACACACACACACACACACACACACACACACACACAGAGTTACGCTGGTACACGAAAACAGAATGAGAAGTACACTAAGAGACAGAGTTATGGTATCCTATTGTTATCTAATTCCATCTTCCTAAAAAGAGAAATTTCTAATGTTTTTATATACTCAAAATGCATACTAGGAAAATTCTTTATTGTAGTTATAAAACAGATTGATTTTAGACATTAGAATTTTCTTATACTACAGGTTATTTTTTTTCCCTTTATGAATGAAAGTCTATCTCATGAACGCTTGTAAAAGTTTAAAGCTTAGTTACTAAAACATAATTGATCTGATTGTGGTGGTACACGCCTTTAATCCCAGCACTCAGGAGGCAGAGGCAGAGGCAGGTGAATCTCTGTGAGTTCAAGGCCAGCCTGGTCTACAGAATAAATTCTAGGACAGCCAGGGCTATATCGAGAGACCCTGTCTCAAAAACAAAACAAAACAAAAATACCATAACTGAAGAATGGTGGCTCACAGTCATCTGTCACTCCATTCCCAGGGGGTCCAGTGCCCTCTTCTGACCTCTGTGGGTACCAGGCCTGCATGTGGTGTATATACATACATGTGAGCTAAACACTCATGTACACAAAATTATAAAATAGCAAAGTTAAATCCAAAAAATAATTTTAAAGAAAATTTGAAGAAAAATTTAAGCCATAAATTTCTGACTTACTACATTCTGTTGACTAAAAAACCTTGTGCCTTGTGTATGGGTTTTACTCTAGCTTCCATTATTAATACCAGTCTTACTTTTGGCCTTAGTGAACACAGTCCCTTTGTTGTAACAGGTATGAAAGTATTATTGCCACTCTCTGTGAGAACTTGGACTCCCTGGATGAGCCTGATGCTCGAGCAGCTATGATTTGGATTGTAGGAGAATATGCTGAAAGAATCGATAATGCGGATGAATTACTAGAGAGCTTCCTGGAGGGTTTTCATGATGAAAGCACCCAGGTAAGTTCCCTTCTAGCCTGTGTTCTAGATCTCTTCAGGTGACTGAGGGGATAAAACGTTGGTACTTTCTTGTGTGCGTTCATACGTTGTGGGTTCGTTTTCTCAGGGGATGATCCTTTCATCAGCACTGTTTTGTACAGTAAGAGAGCCGGAGCTTAGAGCAGTGGACTCTAATGGGCGTGGGAACATTTGAGGGCTCTGGAAACACAGGTTGGTGAGCCTCAGCCCCCACGCGAGTGAGAAGCACCTGCTGTGGGCGCTGCTCCAGCAGTGAGCTTCCCTGCAGTGGTGCAGAGCAGTCATCAGGTTTTTATTCTGTCACTTAAGGGTGATTACATATTGTCCTCAGCATTTGCTCTTGCTTATTACAGTGGAGCACAGCCAGGTTTGAAAAGATTCTCTGCGGATGATTAGATTGCTCCCATCTGTCCCCCTCTCCTACTAAAATTAGAGTCAAAGGCCCAGAGAAGCATTCAGTTTATTAAGCCCTTTCTCCCTGGCATTTGTGCTAGTAGCAAATAGAAGTTTGTGTATGGAACTCATTATAGTAATTTTAATAGGCTTAATATTAATAGTGCCACAGCAGGCTCCCTCTAATTGTCTCTAATCTGACATAATTCTGTTTTGGCTCTTACCCCAGTATGACAAGTAATTTCATAAGTCCTTCAGATTTGTAAGCTTTGGCCAAAGTAAATAGTACATGATTTTACCAACAGCCGGTTTTACTACTGTATGTGTATATACTTTAAAAAATACAGCTGAGGGCTGCCTCAGAGTGTTAAGGTGACTGCTGCGCAGGCCTGGCAACCTGAGTTTGATCCCTGGAACTCATGTAAAGGTGGAAGGAGAGAACTGCCTCCACAGAGTTGTCCTTGACCTCCACATGTGCACCATGACACGTACTCAAACACATCATGTATAATAATAATAATAACAATAACAGACACAATAATAATAGCAATAATAGCAGTAGTAGTAGTCATTTTTTTTTTTTTTTTTTAATTAAAAAGAAAGAACAGTTGAAAATCTGGCCCAGAAACAAGCCATTTTGATACCAAAAATGCACCTGGAAAATAAGTGGCCAGTGAATGGTCAGTTGTACTTTAGCGACTACCTTCGGCTGCTGCTTGTCACAATTGGCTAAGCTTTACCCTTTCATCTCTCAACCAACATCAGCGATTCATAGTTGTGGAAATGTGAGTTGATGTTGCATTTTGTTTTTTAGGTGCAGCTCACTCTGCTTACTGCCATAGTGAAGCTGTTTCTCAAAAAGCCGTCAGAAACACAGGAGCTGGTCCAACAGGTCTTGAGCTTGGCCACACAGGTGAGTGATCGGAAAGCATCCAGAGAGGGTTGGTTTGTGCTGCTTCAGATGGTGAGACTGATGACACTTGCTGTCTTATTCAAGGCTGCTATCGCTGTGGTGAACTCCACAATGAGAAGCAACTGGGGGAGGAAAGGCTTTATTGACCAGGACCACTGAGGGAAGCCCAGGCGGGAACCCCAGGAACCTGGAGGCAGGAGCTGCTGTAGAGGCCGTGGACGAGTGCTGCTTACAGGCTGGCTTCTCGTGGCTTGCTCAGCCTGCCTTCTTACAGAACCCGGGACCACTGACCCAGGGCGGGGCCTTCCCCCACAAGAACGGCTTGCCTACAGTCCACTCTACAGTCTGATCTTATGGAGGCATTTTCTCAGTTGAACTTCTCTCAGGTGACACTAGGTCAAGTTGAAATAAAACTATCCAGGACGCTTCCCAAAAAGGTTCTTTTGGGACAAGTTTTAATTCTGAAAATATTAGAATGATGCCTCTTAACAAATTCTGCTAAATTATATCTGGCTAATGCAGCTTTTAGTTCAGCAGTTAAGAGCATTTGTTGTTCTCACAGAAAACCCTGTTTGGGTTCTTAGCACCCACATGGTGGTTCACAATCAACTGTAATGCTAGTTCATGGGATCCCACATCTTCTGATCCGTGCAGGCTCCTGAACACATGTGATACACATGCACACACGTAGACACACCGATTTTAAAAGTAAAATTTTAAATAAAAAAATTAGATTGGCTGACTCCAGCTTTCATGATCACTTTGAAATTTTGATTTAGATTGTTTATTGTTCATAGTTAACCTTCATGTAAAAATAACACTGAGTGTGATATCTTGTGGGTGACTTCATGTGCTTGATTTGCCTTTTAGAGTGGCAAATTTTAGAGAGCACTTTAAAGTGCTTGTGCTGTTTCCTTAAATGTTTTGATAGTTGAATTCTATGATGTTTATTTCTTTTTCTGTCACTGTGATAAGATACTCTGACAGGCAACTTTAAGGAGCAGGGTTTATTCTGGCTCACAGTTCATACTATAGTCCAACATGGCCAGAAGTCACAGGAAGAGGAGCATAGGGGAGCTGGTCACATTGTATCTGCAGTCAGGAACAAAGAACTAAGCATGTGTGTGCGCTGCTCAGTTCCCTGTCTCCATCTGTATCACGAGGACCCCCCCCCCCATTAAAATGGACCTTTTATATATATCAGTTACCATGATGGAGATGGTAACTGATATACCTCCCCTCCCCAGCATGCCCAGAGGCCCATCTCCCATCTCTCAGGGTCTACCTGGGAAACTTAGAGAGACCCTGTCTCAAAATAGATTTAAAAAAGGACAGGAGGTCCACAAGGAGAGCAGCAGAACCAAAAAATTTGAACACAGGGGTCTTTCCAGAGACTCATACTCCAACCAGGTACCATGCATGGAGATAACCTAGAACCCCTGCACAGATGTAGCCTATGGCAGTTCATTGTCCAAGTTGGTTCCATAGTAATGGGAAGAGGGACTGCCTCGGACATGAACTGATTGTCCTGCTCTTTGATCACCTGCCCCTGAAGGGGGAGCAGCCTTACCAGGCCACAGAAGATGACAATGCAGCCAGTCCTGATGAGATCTGATAGACTAGGATCAGAAGGAAGGAGAGGAAGACCTCCCCTATCAGTGGACTTGGGGGAGGGGCATGGGTGAAGAAGGGGGAAGGAAGGTGGGATTAGGAGGGGAGGGGGGGGCTTATGGGGGGATACAAAGTGAATAGAGTATAATTAAAAGTTTAAAAAGATTTTTTGGTGATTTCATGAATTAGAAAGTGAGATACAGCCCAGTATGGAAGCATAAGACACTCCTCATACTATAATGTGTTCAAAAGACAAAATGTAGCCACAAAAGGGAACAAGATACTGAATAGTGTTTTGATGGATCCAATTACAAATGTAATAATGAGTGAAATTCAGCAATGTTGTGTGCAAAGGGCTTTCTGTGTGTTTCTGGAACAGTTTTCTACCTGCATTTGAGTCCTGTGTCCCATGGAGGCTCTTAGCTTCTTTCATTAAATTTAAAGACCGATTCCCTATCCCAGCATCCTGTGCCACAGTCATATGTATTCTGTGGTTGCAGTTTTAAATGAATGATGTTTAATAAACTACATAGTTCTATTCTGAAAAAAAAAAAATTGTTAAAGTTCTGAGGATATATCCCAGTCATATAGCACTTGCCTAAAATGCACAAGGCCCTACATTCAGTTTTCAGCACTAGAAAAGAAAATCAGGTCACCCTTTAGATCCATAAAAATCAAAATAATTTGTTATATGTAGTGTAACAAATATGATGATCACCAGTCCATCGGATTTTTAGTATCTTGAATTAAACTTGAGAAAAGGCTGGCTTTAAGAATTGTCATTTAAGATGTGTATCTACACATGGAATGTGATTTAAATATTAACTATTTTTCTGTCTGTTTTTTCTGTTTCTAATGGTATGTTATCATCAAAATTTCAATCCTTTCAATATTACTTTGCCTATTTCTGAGTTGTCCTTTTCCCATTACTAATTTTACTTCTTGAAGATTTGTTTGTAAGTGCTCTTGGAAATATTTTTAAATCTTATTTTAATTTTATTATATGTATGAATGTAGTTTGAAATGTTTTTGAAAGTAGCTTTTGGAGTAGTGTGTATAGTGTGAAACTGGTTCCTATGCCAAAAGCATGTGTGCTCATCAAGTCAGAACATACAGCCTGCTAGTCATGGTTATTGGGAGTGGAGAGGTGAAATTAGGAGGGGATTGGATAATTGTGAGAAATTTCCCTTATTTATTTTATAGGCCTATAAATCTTGGTGTGGCATGATTATAATTTGTTTGCTTATTTTTGTATTTCTTTCTGGGACAGGGTCTCAGTATGTAGACCAGGCTGGCCTCGAACTCAGTGAAATCAGCCTGTCTCTGCCTCCTGGGTGCTGGGATTAATATTTTTGGTTTTTTGAGATAGGGTTTCTTTGTGTAGCCTTGGCTGTCCTGGACTTGCCTTATAGACCAGGCTGGCCTCAAACTCACAGAGATCTGCCTGCTTCTGCCTCTCCAAGTGCTAGGAATACAGGTGTGGGCCACGGTACCTATCTAATTATAACTTTTTAAGCCATGAGCATGCATAAAATTATTTTAAAATTACAACAAAAAGAGCACTAAATTCAAGTGTTATTCCTTTGGAAAACACATTTATACGTTCTTTCATGGTTTGATGTTGAGTCATTTGGGGGTTTTGTTGTTATTGTTTTAGTTAATAGTACCTTTATGAGTTTTCGTAATTTATTTTTTATTTTATTGCACTGGTGTTTTGTCTGCATGTCTGTCTGTGTGATGGTGTGAGATCTTGCAGTTAGAGACAGTTGGAGCTGCCATGCTCCCATTGAACCCAGGTCCTCTGGAAGAGCACTCAGTGCTCTTAATCACTGAGCCATCTCTCCAGCTCCCCTTTATGAGTTCTTTAGTCAGGCATTATGTGTAATTATATGTGACTTAGCCAATTTCTCCATAGGGGATGCATATAGGTATTTGAATCAAGAAAAAAGCTATAGGGCTAGAAAGATGGCTCAGCAGTTAAGAGCAGTTCCTGTTCTTGCAGAGGACCTGGGTTTAATTCCCAGCACCCACATGGTGGTTCACAATGTCAGTAACTCTGGTTCCAGAGAATCTGATGCAACCATCTAGTCTCCACAGATTCTGCACATATGTAGCACATATATAGGCAAGTAGACACATACTTACAAGTAAAAATGTTTTTGAAAATTAAGGAATATATGAGGAAAACAGATATTAGGTAAAATATGTGTTAAGAAAACACCTTCTAATACTTATGGCCATATTTTTTAATTATTTAATTAATTTAGCAATGGTGTCTTGCTATGTAGCCCAGTACTCTTTGCATACTCCAGGCTGCCCTCAATTCATAAAATCCTCCTGCCTCAGCATCCTGAGTACTGGAATTAGAGTTGCTGGCTTATGTAGCAGTTTGGGTTGGTTTGTCTGTTTAAGCTGACACATGAGAGCTAGAGAGATGACTGAATGGTTAAGAGTTCTTCAAAGGACCTGAGTTCATTTCTAGCACCAACATAGTTGCTTGCAGCTTTCTACAGTTCTAGTTCCGGGGACTCTAACACCCCCTCTGTCCTCAGTGGTACTGTAGGTACATAGTGCACTTACCTGTGTGCAGGCAGAACGCTGCTACAAGTAAAATAAAGAACTCATTTCTTAAAAGGCTGACACACTTTTATCCGCATGTGTGTGTGTGTGTGTGTGTGTGTGTGTGTGTGTGTGTGTGCATGTGTGCTTGCACGTGGCATAGTGTGCTTGTAGAAGTCAGTTCTCTCCTCCTACCATAGAGGTTGCTGAGGTTGAACTCAGGTCACAAGGCTCAGTAGCAAGTGCTACTCACCATACCTCAATATAATAATTTAAAATACTATTTTTCTTTCCCAAGGCTATTTAACTATTGCTGGTTTAAAGTGGGGTTTTTTTGTTGTTGTTGTTTTTTGTTTTTGTTTTTTTTTTTTTTTTTTTCTTCTCAACCTGCTTTGGAATTTAAGGCTGGGCATTACCCAGGCTCACTGTATAAGTTCCTTGAAACCATAGGCATGTAGAGTTATAACTATAGACTGATTAAGTCCCAGTACGATATCATTTTAATAGCCAGTCTGCATGAGTCACTACAACAGTGCCTTGACAGTAAGTCTGGCATGTTGGTGTCTCTGGAGGACAGAGCCATCTAAATCATCTTGCCTTTGCTTCTCTTTAGGATTCTGATAATCCTGACCTTCGAGATCGGGGTTATATTTATTGGCGCCTCCTTTCAACTGACCCTGTGACAGCCAAAGAAGTAGTGTTGTCCGAGAAGCCATTGATCTCTGAGGAGACAGATCTGATTGAGCCTACCCTTCTGGATGAGCTCATCTGCCACATTGGTTCCTTGGCCTCTGTGTACCACAAACCTCCAAATGCTTTTGTGGAAGGGAGTCATGGGATTCATCGCAAACACTTGCCAATCCATCACGGGAGGTGAGCAGATGCAGGTCCCTCTGATGAGAAGTAACTTGCTGTTTGGGCAGTTTTTCTGGAAAAGAGCTTGCTGTGCATCTTGTGATCTCGCTGCTCTAAAGGGCTTCTTTCTCTGAGTTCCAGTCCAGGGGCACAATAAAACTGTAGGAAATTATGGCGAAAGCCTTCTATAATTTGACAAAATTTGAAAGTTGCTTAAGTGTCTGGTAATGTGTTGGATACTGGGGCTGGGGAGATAGCACAGTTGATAAAGTGAGTTTGCGCTCCAGAAACCAAGTGAAAAAACCTGGGTAGCAAGTGCTTCAGGTTGAGCACTGGGGAGAAAGTTCCAGGGGCGCACTGGCTAGCCAGACTAATGAGTAAGCTACAGGTCTCAATGAGAGGTGCTGACTCACAAAGCAAAGCAACATGAGCTGCAGAGATGGCTCAGTGGTTCAGCATGCTTGGTGCTCTTCCAGAGGACCAGATTTCAGTTCCCAGTACTACACTGAGTGACTTACAATCACAAGGGGACCAGCAACTGGTCTCCTTGGATGTGGAACACATGCAGCATACACTAAAACAAATACAGAGATAAAATGAAAAGAAAATGAAATGAAAAGAAAAATGTCTTTAAAGATAATGAACAAGGCACCTGAGGAACAATACCTCATGCTATCCTCTGTCCTCCACTGGTTGGCACATGCCTACATACACACAAAAACATTGCTACATACGATTTTTCTAGTATAAATTTCTTATGGCAGAACTATAAATGGAATACTTTGGCAGGATTGAAGTGTATAAACAGCTTAGAGTCTATATATAGACATAGCTTTCAATTTTGTATGCCTACTTTGTTTTGTTTTTACCAAATTAGGTTAAGGAAAGTGTTTCGAACAGACCACAGTAACATGCAGCTGTTGCTTTCTAACTCCCTCACTTTTATAATCAGAGTAGAGGAACACTAGTAAACTCTTTTTACTTTATTTATTATTATTATTTTTTTGAGACAAACAGTCCCAGTACAATATCATGTTATACTTATGTGCCCAAGGCTGGCCAGAACTCATTGTGCAGAGTAGAAGCTTTTCCTGCCTCAGTTTCCCATGAAGCTAGGATTGCAGGCCTGGTCAACTGGGGCCTGGCTTTATACATAGGTCCTTATCAAAGCCCCTTATTCATTTGTACTTATTTTTTACTTTAAATACTAATACAAGAAAAATACCTTTTGGTATCAACTGGGATGATGGCTTAGGAATATACTTCAGTGGCAGAGTGCTTTCCTCATACCTGCAAGGTCCCTAAATTCAATTTCCAGTACCCCAGCCCATCCAAAAAACAAAAAGAATGTGTGAGTGTGTGAGTGAGTGTTTGATGAATTGCTGCAAATGGCATGTCTGTAAAGTCCTTTCCTAACTCTTCAGCAACAAAAGTTAGTAAGTGATACACTTATGACATGAAACAAAGCAACTTGAAGGCTTTAGCCTTCCTTTTTGTAGAGGTTCAAAAGGTGATATCACTAGTAGGTTTTTCAGAATCACTTAGAAGAGTGAAGTGCTGTCTACCCAAGCACTTCTTGTGCTTCATATCTGCCAGCTGCTCTAGGAAGGCAATGTGGTAAACAGTTGTCTGATTTAGGACAAGTTAACCTTTTGAGAGTGTTTCTTTGATGGCATTTGTACAGTTAACTTTACATGACTTCATAATGGGAAACACTGATACTGATTTTCTTGGATGTATACTCACGATTTATCTTGTTCTTCATGTTTCTCTTGAATCTACAGGACTATATATATCTTGTCCTCTGCCTGACTTTACCTTCTTAGAATATTGTTTCTTTATAGTGAGGAAAACTCTCTCTCTCTCTCTCTCTCTCTCTCTCTCTCTCTCTATATATATATATATATATATACATATATATACATATATGCATATATATATGCATGCATTTTACCTTCTGTTTTGGGTTACTAATAAATGCATATATTCTGTCATTTTTTTTTCTCAGGTGGCTCATAGTTTAATTTGGTGGACTTCCATGTGTAAAGATTAGCTTAAGTCTTCATGTGTTTCTTACAAGTTGTGAGATCATCTGTGACCTCTGCCCTTATTTGTCCCTTCTTGACATGGCTTTATTGATACTTCTCCTCTGAAGTCATTTTTCACAGGTTGTCTTTCTCTTTAATCACTGCAGTTACATGTTGTTTTGGTTAGTTTTCATGTGATAACTTCTGACAGGAACACCTTAAGGGAGGAGGAGGGGAGAAGGGGCCTTGTCCTTTAAGGACTGTCCTGTTCAGGATGGTATTTGAGCTTATGGTTTCAGAGAGATTTCAGTCCATCTTCCTGGGGAAGACATGGCACCAACCGTGCTCCAGGCAGTAGGAGTGTGAGGCAGCTGCTTCTTCACGTGGCAGCAGATGGAACAGAGGAGAGCAGGCTGGTACCAGAGGCAAATGCAACTTCTGGTAGCCCTCTCCTCACTGTCTACTTCCAACAACTGTGGAAACCAATGTCAGGGCTTTTCTGTGGAAATTATATAGATTGGGTTAACTTAGTTGGGAAGGCTCACCCTAAGTGTGGACTGTACTGTGACGTGGGCTGGGCCCAGGCTGAATAAAAAAGAGAAAGTAACCTGAGCACAAGTGTTGATAGCTCTGTGCTTCCTGATTGGGCAGAGTGTGAGCAGCTGACTTCTGCTTTTGACGTGATACCTTCCCTGCCATAATGAACCAGCCTTCTAGCTGTGAGCCATAGAAACTTTCTTAATGGCTTTCATCAGATATTTTGTTCCAGCAAAGAAACAAGTAGCTAGCACATTTATCCTATTACTGTGGCAAAATACGTGACAGAAACAAGAGAGTGGGGTTTACTGCGGTCCATGGTCTCAAGGGGGGTTTTCTCTGTCAACAGAGAGGGCATGGGGGACAGGAACAGTGTGAAGCAGCAGCTTGCTCTCATAGAAGTAAACAGGAAGCTGGTATAACTTGCAGAAGCCTGTTGGGCCCTGTCCCCGAAATATTCCACAGTCTTCACAACAGTGTGACAAGGAAGGGACTTCAAGCTATAAAGCATGTGGAGGACAGTTCAGATTAAGGCTGAACACCTGTCCCTTTTCTCTAATTACTGGTCTTGGTTAATTCAAAAGGTTTGTCTGAATCTGTCTTCCTGTGCTTTTCTTCATACTCCTTTAGGGGGCTTATGGGGTACAAGATTCTGCCACATAACCTGCTTTTGTTGGACCCTTACTTTGATAGCCCACCTGGGGTGGTATTGTTTGCATTCTCTTGATGAAGAAACTTTGCCATAGAGTTGTCACCCACAGTTAACACTGTAGATCCTACCCTTGGTCTTTGATGTCTGATTCTAGGTCCCCTGCTCTTACCAGCACAACGGCCACTGGTAATTAGCTGAAATGTGTATATACATTCCTTTCCAAGTTTTTTGTCCAGCTCTGACGGCCAGTTACTTGTATTTAGTTGACTGCTGGGCATCTGTGGTTATTTTTCTTAACACATAACAGAATTAAGTGTCGTGAAGCTGTGGTTGTAGATTGTGTTTTGCATGTGTGATCCCCAGCATCAAAACAAAAACAAATAAAACCTGAGTGTCTTACATTTCTATCATCCCTCCAGATTCCCCACTAAGAGCATCAGTTACATTTTTCTTAATGTTTGTTTACTGTCAGTCTCCTTACTCCTCCATGTTCATATTTTGTCAAAAGCTGCTTAGGTATTTTTGGTTTGTTTTTGTTGTTTTAATGAGTATTTATTTGCTGTGTGTGTATGCGTGTGTCTCACGGAGGACAACTTGTAGGCGTCAGTTCTCTCCTTCCTTGTTGACATGAACCTGTACCTACTGAGCCCTCTTGGCCCTGTTTAGTCCCTTGATTGCATTTTTAGTGTTTTATAATTATACTTGTGACAGTCACCCGCTGCTTTGCTGTATTATGGATGAAGACGGTTTTTCTCATTTCTCCTCTATATGTTTGATTGCAGCGCTGACGCAGGTGATAGTCCTATTGGCACCACCACTGCAACCAACCTGGAACAGCCTCAGGTCATCCCCTCTCAAGGTGACCTTCTGGGGGATCTTTTAAATCTTGACCTGGGTCCCCCAGTGAACGTGCCGCAGGTGTCCTCCATGCAGATGGGAGCAGTGGACCTTTTGGGAGGAGGACTGGACAGCTTGGTAAGCATCATTGTTTCTCTCGGTGATTTTTAGTTGTTGGTGGACTAGAGAACTTGATTTGGCTTTCCTTGATGAGCAGAAATGTCCTTGGTAAAGGACAGAATTATCCATCTTTAGAGAGTTAATTAGCATTCTGTTTATCATTGGGATGCAGTATGTCTGCGTGTACATAAGTTTATCATGTTGACCTGCTTATAATCAGAACTTCTGGTATTTAGCCAACATGTTATTTGGCAATCTTAATTATTAATGTCCTCACCAGAGTTCATTATTTTTCCTGCTTCTTAGCTTCCTTTGGTCCTGAATATCATTAAAGTGGCTCCATAATGATCACCCTCTTTCAGACTTCTAAACCTCTCCCTTGTTGGGTGTGGTGGTTCATACCTGTAATCCCATTACTGAGAGGACAGGGAGAAGGTTCAGGAGTTCAAGGTCAACCTCAGCTACAAAGTGAGTTCGAGGCAAACCTGAGCTACATGAGACCCTGCCTCAGCACACACACACACATACACACACACACACACCCTAAAAAAAATACCCTCTATGTTTTAAATGTTTATTGGTTTGTGCCTTTTTCAACTCTGAAGTGTTTTTGAGATTATTTGAGCATTTTTATCTAAAGTGTATCTTTATCACAATTGAAAAGAACTGCTTGACTTTTTTCCTTCTTCTTCACTTCTTCTACCTTTGTCATACTTCCAATTTAATTAGCTTCCAGGATTCTAATAATAAAAGGCTCCAAAGTCCAGAAAGACTGTGGACATGTGCCACCAGTTTGTTGTTGTACAAGATGGAGAAATATCAAATGCAACTGTCAATGTCTAGGGAAAAGTCTAGGAAAATGCTAGGTTGCAAGACTCCCTGCGGATTAGGTGCTTAACCTTGGAATTACAGACTGGTGTCTGATACTCTGATGACTGTCAAGATGCCTGACAAGTTGACGTGTTTCCCAGCAACACTGGAAAACACACACCTTAAGTAGGAAATGTGCTTTCAGAGAGGATAGAAACAAAGCTCCTTGTTCTCTTCTGTATATAATGGTGTTGTCTCTTAAGCTTTATGAGGGTTGTGGTATCTGTGGCTTATCCATGTCAGTATAAATAGTACATTGAAGTTTGGCAGAGTCCACTAAAGTACAGTCAGACTCTGTGGGTTGTGTACTATATCCAGAGTCTAGGCACACACCATGCAGGGGACTCCAGCTTGTTGGCACAGTAACCCCACCCCCTATTGTCTTTCTTTTGAATATAGCATTTAGACTTGACTGATTATAGAAGGAGAATAGTTTTTTGTTGTCATCATTCCACATTGCTGCATATATAGTCTCCTTAGACTCAAGGTAGACAAATAAATATCATTGATTTGCCCAAGAAATGGAAATAACTCTCGTTGTATTGACATATCAACCACAGGCTGAATACTGTATGCTCAGGTGTATGCTTTGACTTCCTACTGCCCTCACTGAAGGTTTACTACATGATGGGTTCATTGAATCTAAAGAAGGCAAATATGGGTTTAGAAATGGAGGTGAAAGAGAGGCACTGATTTTGCATTCCCAGACTTACAATTATAACAGGTGGATAGGTATGCAATACAAAAAGATGAAACTCCTTGTAAGCACTGCTCCATTTAAAAAGGCTGCAGGAGTGGCTGGGAGATGGCTAAGACTTGAAGTGTGACAACCTGAGTTTGGTTCCCAACACCCATGTAAAAAACTGGGTAATGGCTGGGTGGTGGTGGCACATGCCTTTAATCCCAGCTCTTGGGAGGCAGAGGCAGGCAGATCTCTTAGTTCCAGGCCAGCCTGGTCTGCAGAATAAGTTCCAAGAAAGACAGGGATACACAGAGAACCTTCTTCTCTCAGGAAGGAAAAAAAAAAAAGAAAAGAAAAGAAAAAGAAAAGAAAGAAAGAAAAAACAGGTAATGGTGTCAGTTTGTAAGTTTAGTACTCAGAGGCATAGACATGTTGATCCCCAGGGTTTAGCCAGCCAGCATAGGCTAATGAGTGAGTGTAAAGGCTCTAAGGACATGTTTAAGGTTAGGCATAGTAGCCTTTAATCGTAGCACTGGGGAGGCAGAGCTCTGTGAGTTTGAGGCCAGGCTGGTCCTCATAGGAAATTTCAGGCCAGCTAGGGCTATATCATAAGACTCTTGTCTGGGGGGGAAAAAAAAAAAAAAAAAAAGTAAAAAAACTGCATGGCACTATTTCTTTTTTTTTTAATTAATTAATTAATTAATTAATTAATTAATTAATTAATTAAAGGCATATGGGTGCTTGTCTTCATTTTATGTCTTTGTGTACCACATCCATGTTCAGAGACCAAAAGGGGCCCATCCTATCTTCTGGGACTGGAGTTACACATGGTTGTGAGTACCGTGTGGGTGCTAACAGCCCTTACTTTTACTGTGGATCTGTATGCAGTTTAATATATTCACTCACAGAGTAAATTTTTTTCAATCTGTATAAATGGTGCCATTTCTAAATGAATCCTTATCTTATAGAAGCCTTTCACAGAACTATATAATGATGTGTATAAAGAGAGATCCTTCAGTTAGTCTCTGGTAAAAACCAGTAGTCTGCATTTGGGGTTTTTGTGTTTATTTTAGTTTGGTTGTGTCTGTTTCTTAGTATTTGCGTGTGTTCCTGTGTGTGTGTGTGTGTGTGTGTGTGTGTGTGTGTGTGTGTGTGTGT